CAACCCCAACCCCAACCCCAACCCCAACCCCAACCCCAACCCCAACCCCAACCCCAACCCCAACCCCAACCCCAACCCCAACCCCAACCCCAACCCCAACCCCAACCCCAACCCCAACCCCAACCCCAACCCCAACCCCAACCCCAACCCCAACCCCAACCCCAACCCCAACCCCAACCCCAACCCCAACCCCAACCCCAACCCCAACCCCAATTTTTATTTTTATTTATTTTGTATTAATAATATTGAAAATAATTGAAATTTTATAAAAATTTATAATTAATAAGTTTAATTATTGCATTTCATATGTTGTAAGATAATTAGGGTGTGTCTTCATCGAAAAAAACTAGCCTTTTTTTTAAAATAAGTAAGTCTCTTAAGCTATTTAAAGCATAAGAGAATTAGGTATAAGGATGATAATTTCTTTAATATAAAATATTACTCATTTTTTTACAAGTCATAGAAACAAATAAATTTTATATCATTTTCTGTAATCAAAATACTCTACCAAGCAAATATGTGCAAATTAAATTCCAAATTTTTCCTCAAACTTACAATTTTTTATAGGAAATTTAAAATTAATAAACTAATTGGTTTTAAATAAATATATTATATATTTATTAATTAAAAAAATAATTTGAATTCTAATAATATTTGTAAAAAAATTCATTGAAAAAATTATAAAAGCTAAAATATTAGTAAATAATTTTAATACAATTATAAATAAATATTAATAAAAATATATACATAATATAATAAAATAAATATCAAAATTTTTTTAATTGAATTAGATTGGTTATTGATCAATTTATTGAAGTAGAAAGTTCTGTGCTTACAGAAATATTTGAGTTGTTAACTTTTATTACTTTTAGTTTTGCTTGAGACACAAATTATTTATAAAATCTAGGTGGATACTACAAAATGTAAAAGAATGAAAGAAAAGATATGAATATTAAAAATATTCCTGCTCCAAATTGGTACTCTGCTATTATATCAACTAGATTAATAACTGTATATTACTAAATAATTCCAATTATTGAATATGTAAAAGAAAATACACCTAGAAAAGTTCCTTTGACTTTATAAGGACATCCATATAGAATGAGCAAGTAAGCAAATAAGAAACAATTACCAAGTCCTGAACCAATTAAAAAAGACAAAAATAAAACTAAGTAGAAGGGTGTATTGTAAATATCATTAATATTTGGATAGTCTAAATTAAATACACTAGTGTGATTTATAAAATTTAAAAGAATAAATGATGTGCTCAATATTAACCCATTTATAAGCATTACATATTTTATTTCACGAAGACTTCTTCTTTTCTTATCTATGTATATTCCAGTTAATAGAGATACAAGTAGTCCTAATACGCTGACAATATAAATTATTGAAGATTGGTAAAATATTTGTTAATCATACTACTCATCTTATAGTGTTGGTATATAAGCTCCATTATATTAACTAGGATCATTAGAGTAGAAAAATTTGACACCAGCGTAAATTTGATCTTGACAGAATGCTATTTATAAGCTAAGAAATATGAATATAACCAGCACACGTTTACTTCCTCTATTAAAGAAAGTAGAAAGAACTGATTTCAGTGGTGCTCTACTATATGAGATTCTCCAAAGTCTATCATACTTTGGATCTTCTTCTCTTTCAATTTATTTACCATGTCTATAAATTTTAATTACTTTAGGAATTGTATAAATTAAGATCAAAAGCTATACAATTAAAATAGAGCATACAATAGCGTATCGATAACTCCATTTAATTTTTTAAATGATAAAGAAAACAATCACCTTAGGAATTATAATGCAGCAAATTAAATTTATTGAAAGAGTAAAAAATAAATTTGATTGTTTGTAAGAGAATCTCATTAGGAGAGTCATCGAATTGTCTTAGTAAATACCATTAGAGATACCGTACATATAGAGATTCATTATATAGTAGTGATAATTAGGATGCGTCAAAAAGATAAGCTTAAAAATATTCTACATAATCATGATAACACCTCCAAAATAATAAGTAAATGCTTAGCTTAAAAAATCTCTCATATAACCTAAAGCAATTGAAATTAGCAAGCCCTATAAGAGAGAGGAGTATAGGGATACATTACTATCTATGTACACTTGTGCATTTTAATTTGCTAGCACAATTTATTCTGCATTACGCTTGAAAAACTAATTAAAAAATTCAAACTCTAAAGAAAACATTAAGTTGGATATTATGAGCAAAAATCTTAACTAATTTTGATATTTTTTCAAGTAGTCACATCCTTTTTATCCTCTTATTGGTGGATTTAAATTGAGTTTTGTTTTACGCTTTATTTTCTACATAAAGGAAATATTATTTAATTAATTTATTTTTACATATTAAATTGCCTGTAATCCAAATCTATGAGATTCTATCAATAATACCTCAGTAACTCTAATTTTTGTTAGCTATTTTTTTGATAGATCAAACTTCTATCAATAATTCCTAATTCTGAGACATCAAAAATATCAAAAAGTAATTCTTTTAAATTCCTTTATAAAAAACATAATTCAGTTAAAAAAGTAAGAAAATGCATTATTTTTCAATAAAACAATGTTATTTATCTATATAGCTCATGAAATAGCAACCGTATTTTCAAAAGCTTATTTGTAAAATTAGAAGTAAAATTAATTGAATTTTTATTTGTACTTGAGCTTTAGTTTACAATTCAATTATTTCAGTAATTAATTAAATAGTAAAAGGAAGAAGAAAAATTATGATTTTCCCTATTTTATTCTAAATTTATGATATTATATTCTTTTTTTGGAATACTGTAAATCTAATATTTTAAAATCAAATTATTGTAAGATTATTTGAAAAACTTAGGTATATCAACCAAATAAAAAATTGTATCAAAAAAAGTATCTTCTGTTATTATAATCTATTATTTTTGTAAGCTTAACTTGGTTTTCTTGATTCATCTACTTAAGTAAGACCCTCTTTTTTAAGTAAAATAAAAGTTATTGTACCTTTTTTTAAAAGTATAATGTAAAAAGATAACCAAAGCAGAAAAAAAAAATTAATTTAATTTTCATAATCAGCTTAAATATTAATCAAGGTATTTAAAATATTTCTTGAATGATTTAAATTTCATAAGAGAAAAATAAGCCAAATAATCTATCTATTTATTTAAAAAGCAAAAAATAATCTTAAAACACAGATCTGGTGAAATAGTTAAATAAGTTGTGGGGGATAATAACTACTAATTAATAAAACTTAACCTTAATCAGCTCATTTTGAAAATTTAACTCATTTAAAGGCATAAATAAATATTATAAAGTTATTATTATTATTATTATTATTATAACTTAAAGAAAAAATAGTTTTTCAACAACAAACAAACATTCTCATTTTTTTTATTTAACAAGTAAATAAATTTTTTAACTTTAAAATGTTAATCCTTATAAAGATATAATGTTTGAAAGTTTATTGAAATAATAAAGACAATATTATTAAGTTAAATAAAAAATATTTAAAATGTTAAATTATTCAAAATATAAGATAAAATTTTAATTAAACTAAGTTAAAACATTATTTATTATTTATAATATGAATCTATCTATTTGATATTAGATAATATAATTATAAAAAAAGTAAATAAAATCACATAAAAAATAATTTAAATAAAAATTCTTTTTATATTTTACCAGCACAAACTGTTCAAAAGTTTATTTTGTTACTTTTGCAGACACTAATTGTTAAGAATAAGGTTCTCAAAATTCTAAGATTTTATTTATTATAATTTGAGGGTTCTTCTATTTCTTGGGATTCAAATCTGATTAATCAAATTTTGGATATGAAATATATATTTCTTAATAATTTTAAGATAATTGTATAAAGCTATTTTTTGTATATTTTGTTTTTCTAAATTATAATATGAGTGCCTGATTATGCCTAAAAGAAAAACTGATACCTTATAATTATAATATATTAATTTCTCATTTGTTAAAATATGAATTTATTTGCAATTATTTTGAAGTTAATTTGATGAAAATTTCATATTATAATAAAGTGAGATTAAATTTTATATTGAAAAAAGATTCTAAAATGGTGGAATTGCTTAGTCTGAAGATAATTTACTCAATACTTTAAAAGTGTATTTTAATAATGTATTTAAAAATCAAATTATTTAATCTTATGATTTTATTTTATTAGAAATAACAGGATAAAACGATTTGCATACAGTTTGTTAAAGGTAAATTTAGTATAAATATCTATGGATCTACTAATTTATTTGAAGGAATTGCATATACTTTTAATGCTAAATTTGAAGTACCAGTAATTTCTATATCAATAGAAATGTATATTTTGAAATAATTTTTTAAATAAGAAGAAAATTATTTAATTTAATTAATATCAAAGGTATAAAACATAAAATTCATGGTTTAATCAATATTAGCTTCTTCAATTCTCAAATCAGCTACAATATAATTTAATCTAATAAAAATAAGATATAGCTGATTTATATATGAAGTTACAAATGTATTACAAATCTCTCGAAATACTCTATATCTTGAAGATTAATTTTTCAAGAGCTAATTGTTACTAAGTAACCATTCAAAAATTTTCAGCAATTTTTAATTCTTTATTAATCAGACTCAAAGTTAAAAGCACTTAGCTAAGGAAAAATAAATTCAAAATAACTTGCATGAGGAGGTAAGAGAGAGATTGTCGTATTTGAAATCTTATTTGTGTAATAAAGTTTATCTAATTTCAATTCTTATGATTAATATTATGTAGAAGTACCAAAGTAGAACTTTTTCTGAACAAATTAAGTGGTCATGAAACTTTTATAAGATTTAACAAAAAAATTTCAAAAGTAAAATTTACATATTTTAAGTATCTTTTTCCATAAATAACTAAACCTAGAGTAATCATAGTTGATGAAAATGAAGTTAGACGAGCTGAAATTATATTCAAACTAAAATTCTATGAATCTTAATATCTTTTGTAATTTTTCTTGGTATTAATATTTTGCATTGCCTATTTGAAAATAGTTTATGTCTTTCTATTTAGTTATTTAGATTTCTTCTCAATATTAATATCACCAAATCCAATGTATATATTTTTAAAGGTTTCCTTTATCATTTATTATTTTTAATTTTCAAAAATTTTTGAAATTTTCTCATCAACAAACTTAGAATGAAAAAAATAATATTTATTATTTCCAGAAAATTTTTAATTATTTATATATTTCATATATATATGTGAAGAAAAATATACAATAATACTTTTATAAATCTTTTAAATACTTAAATAGACCTGTTCTCCTTCATCCTAATAATAGAATATTAAAATCTTCTCTTAAGTTTATATCTTTAACTGTATAATCATTATTTTTAAATTTACTTTACATTATATAATATGAAGATTATTAATAAAATTAAAAAGTTAATTTAAAGATGTACATTTTTAACATATTACCTTATTGATCTCTCATAATAAGACACTTATTTATTTAAAATAAAAAAATAGAAAATAATATTATTATTACTATTAATTACTATTATTCAAATTTAAATTAATGATATTTTGCTATAGCATATAAATTAATATCTGAGAAAGTTTTAGAAAATTGCAAAAGTATTTTTTTTAAATATTTTTTTGGGAATCTAATTTATTTACTTAAAAATATCTTTTTTAAGAGTTGATTTTTATTTTTGATAAAAATATTTAATTATTAATTTATATAAATTGATTTTTTTTAATTATGATTTTTTAATATTATTTTCTTAGATACTTTTTTTAAATTTTAAATATTTTAATGATTTTTTTTTTAATGGTGATATTAATTAATTTTGTAGTGATCATATTTAAAATAAACTTACTAATCTAAAAATTAGTCTTTATTTTATTTTTAGATGATGAATAGATGGAATTAAAAATAGATAGGGATTATTTATTATAAAAATATCAATTAAGTTTGAATTTTTTTTAATTTAAAATTATTCAAAGAACAATATTTGCAATATGTGTGAATATGAATGTACATTTAAATTAAATTATTTTAGTTTTGTGTTTATTAAACTCAAATTGTAAATACAGTAATGATGCCATAAATAATAAATAATATTCCTCCTGCTAAAGTTAAAGTTCTTTCAGAGAATTTTTCAGCTAACATTTTACCTCCTGTAATTGCAAGGTAAGAACATGCTGCATGCCCTAAAGCACACCCAATAAATACCTAAATAAAGTTAAAGGAAGCACTCATAGCTATTGTTGAAATCTATGAACGATCACCCCACTCTCCCAAAAAATTCTATGTAAACGTTTGTGCAGCTACAAGTGTATTTGGAATAACTTGAGCATTCTTTTTATTTTACTTTTCTTGTGATTTAAGCAAACTCTATTACAATTGTTAAGTTTCTAAATCATTTTATTTTTCTTAATTTTCTTCCTCATTTTACTTTTCTGTGTCATTGTTTTCATCCTTATTGATATGTGCCTTTTAGTTTATTTTTTCTTCAAGTTCTTTAATATCATGCTCTATTTCTTCCTCTTCATCTTCTATTTTGTTAGTAATTGCTTCATATACAGCTTTACCACCAAAGCCAAAGAATAAAGCAGCTGCTACAATCTTTATGTAGCTTTCGTCAATAAAAGACAGAGAAGCAGTTCCTATAACACATGAGATAAGAGTCATCAAGAAAAGAGCCCCAAAACTACCTATAAATACCCACTTTTTATCATACTTAGTAGCTAATATTGCGGTAACAATAAAAGTCTTGTCTCCTATTTCAGTTACTAAAATAGAAAGGAAGGATCCAAACAAAGCACCATGATCTCTTAATAGCTATAAATCATCATCAACTTCATCATCTTTATCTTTAGGTTTTTACTCATCTAACTAAAGACCGCTTTCTTTTTTTTCCACTTAAAAATTTTTGTGTTCTTATTTATCACTAGTAGAATTTTCAATAATTTAAACATATTTTTCTTCTTTGCTAGGAGATTACTGGATCTCTTAAGTAAGCGTCTAGGGTAAACTTGCTAAAAAGAAGAATGTTAAAACTAAAATTAGCTATCTAGAGTACTTCATGAAATCAGCTTATTTTATAACTTTTTATTTGATTGAATGTTTAGTGTAAAAAATTATTGTATTTTATAATTATTAACAGACGTATTTAATGTAAAAAAGCTTAGACAAATAACAATTTATTTGTAAAGTATAATCTTTATATATTGGATTATGAAACCAAAAATAAATTTATTGACTAGAAAAGCACATAAAGAGTAATTTTTAAGTAGAATTGATTAAATCTTCTAAAAAAGTATAAAGTGAGTTTTTCTTTAAAATATTTTATATTGACTTCACTCAAATATTTAGATATTTTCTTAAAAATTTTGTATAAGTTTGTTTTAAATTTACATTTAAAACAAATCACGATCTGATAAATTCTATTTGGTTATACTTGCAATTATTTGATATTAAATTTTTACCTGAAAAAAATTTTCTTAATATAACTAAACTCCAAAATACTTCTATGCTTTTTCCTTATTTGTTTAAATTACCCACATTCTCATTATTTTAAATTTCAATTAAATATAAAATTTGTTTCTAAAGTAAATTATTATGTCATTTTTCATATTGTTTCTAAATTTTGAGATTATCAAAACCATTAAAATCAAGTAAATTTGATAAAATCTAGCAGTTTACAATTAGCTTTTAATTTATTGGAAAAAAACTTATGACTGATAAATATATGACGAACGAAAATACAGAGATAAAAATAGTAGAGAACCTAAAATTAATTCAATAATTTATTAATTTTATTTTATTGAATAACTACTAATTAATATTTTCAACTGGAATGAAAAAATTTTTATTTTTTAAAAACTTTTGCATAAATTTAAAGCTGAACATTTTATCTTTCTTATTTTTATAAATTCATAATTTAAAATATTTTTATTAAAAATTATTTTTAATAGAAGCTCTTTCTAATTTAAAATGCTATCTAAACCAATCATAAATTGTTGATTGAACAAAATATCAAATTTATTATTAAAATCAAAATTTTTAAAGCTGTTTTAGATCCTTTAATTAAAAAACTCTTTGATTATAAATAAGAACTTTTTAGATATCTTCTTTTATAAGACAGAATATTTCGAAGATGTTTTTCGCTAAAAAATTAGAAAAATAAAAGATATTAGCTTTTCTCATTATTTTGTTCTTAAATTTACGATGCTTTTTAGGTGAAGCATTTTTATTATTAAGCCTTTCTAAAACATATTTTTATCAATTATTATTGTCATCATCGCATCATTAACTATGATATTTTATTTCATTTTTTTAAATCAATCGACATTTTTGTATGACTAATTTAACTTTAAATGATTAAAAGGCTAGTTGAGTGTTAATATAGCTAATGAATTATAATATACGATTTGTTCATAGTCACTTAGTACAAACATAAACTCGATTTACTGGGTTGCTAATAATAAAAATACTAATACTGTATAGACAATTAACAATTGTATTTAAAGTTGTCCATCACAAAATTTTTAAATATTGGGTCTTTTTGACAATACAATCACCTTGTAAAGAATCTTAGGCACTCCTGAACCTCATTATTCTATCCAATTAGAGGTAAATTAACAGTTTAACTAACCGTTAAAATTATGAATAATTTATTTATTTATTAAATATGTTTAATTAGATATCACTTGTTAATTGTTAAGGATGGTAATTGAATAATTACTTTAGTGTTTATGTTGATAATTAAATGGTACTATAATGGAATGTTGATTTATTATAAGCGACATTTATATTGAATGTTCCTCATAGCTCAAATTCTGTCAATATCATGATTTCTCAGAACTTCTAAAACGGAGGTTCTTATTAAATTGTAGATATACAAATTTCAAATCTATTTTTAATAAAATAGCTCTATGGGGAATTAAATCTTTTGTGGCTATTATGCAAACATGCATTTATGATTTGTAAACTAAGTAGTGTTTATGTCCGTAAAATTATATATCTTTGAATGGAGAATGTGTGAGCTGTTCTACTTATCCAGGTTTGTCGATTAATCCATCTACTTCGCTTTGTTAGGAGTAGTGTGGAGATGGTAAAAGAATTACTAATTAAAAGGAATGTGATGATGGTAATACAATAAGTGGTGATGGATGCAGCTCTAGTTGCAAAATAGAAGATGGATGGAAATGCAGTGGTGGTTCAGCTACATCTCCTGGTAAAAAAAATAAATTCTACATATAATACAGCAAAAATTTTTAATTTCAATAGATATCTGCTAGAACATTGCACCAATTATTATGACTTTGTCTTCTTAAAATGTTGATAACGGACCTATAATTACCATAACATTCAACAAAAATATTAGGATAGCCACAAGCTGGGAAGGTAATTTAAGTTAAAATTCATTTATAAATTTGAATTTATTGTTGGTTTTATAGATTCAACTCAAATGTAAATTAATGGTGCTTCAGATTATAAATTAAACTATCCTACTGATTTGCAAGGAACTTCTTTCAATGTAACAATTACTTCGGAAACAAATATACTCAATGCGCAATTTCAGATTACAATACTTAAATCATAAAATATTGTTGATGATATATCACAAACAAAAATTTACACTAAGGTTTAAACCTTGAAACTGCAAGATTTTAGTTATATTCCTTTTGAACAGCGTAAGTTTGCTGAAAATATATCGGAAGCTGCACATGGAGTATCATTGTAAATATTATTTTGACTTTACTTTATGATTAGCATTTTAAATTATTTAAAATAAAGAACAGTTATTGCCTCTTTTATTCCACTTTTGTTGAGTGGCAATTTCTTTCTACTAGTGAATACTATAGAAATAACTGAAATGATATTTCATTACTAATTTATAGATGTGCGTTATCCATTCAATGTTAATAAGTTTTTTGCTGTTTTTAACAATTTTGAATTGCCTATGATTCCGAATATATTTGAATTTTTCTATGATGAATCAATTAATATGCACGCACCAGAACGTTTAAAAGAAGTTAAAGTAAAATTTTAAAAAACACAACACAGAAATACATATTCATTATGCTTTTATACAAAAGTTAGATAGTTTCTTCATGAGAAACTCTGGATAAGCATTTACATTATTTTTGCTTCTTGTAATAGTTCATACACTTTTAAAAATGTTAAGCTCTAAATACAATAAAATAAACTGTTTAAAGAAACTCTGCCACGAGCTAAAAGAAAATAAATTTAATTACTCATTTTACTTTGATGTAATGACAGTAACATATCTTAACTTGGCAGTGAGTTCATTTATGCAGTTTTATGATACTAATGCTGAAACAACAATTCTTCTCATAAATTAAATATTATCTTATCTTACATTCGTAATTGTTTTATTTTGGCCATTTTTCATGGCATACTACATTTACGTTAGAAGAGACATAATTGGAGATGAAGAAGTATAAGAAAGAATGAGTTCTCTTTTAGAAGGTAACTTTTAAAGCTATTAAAAGATGTTAAATAAATTTTTTAAATAGGACTTAAAACAGATACTCTATTTAAGGCTATGTTTTAAATCTTAGTGTTTTGCAGAAAGATCTACTTAGCATTTATTGTTAATTTTATGATTGCTGCTCCTCATATGCAAATGAATTTCTTGGGAATTTATAACATATTTTTAATTTTACTAAGACTAAAGTATAGGCCTTAAAAATTGGTTTTTTAGGAATTGGTTAACATAATAACAGAAGTACTCTTGTTTGTTATGTAAGTTTGCATTTAATAACTCAGAGATGATGTAAATTAAACAGAATATTAGAGAGTACAATTTGGGTGGGTAATTATAGGCTGTTCTTCAGTAATTATAGCTTTTCATGCTATCTTTCTAACATATGAAGTTTTGCACACAATAAAAAAGTATGTCAAAAAATGTAAGGAAAAAAGAGCTAAAAAAAAAGTTGCCCCAGTTAAAGAAAGTCATTCTACAACTTCTAAATAAAAGCTAAAACAAAATAATAACTTAATAAGTATAGAAAATCTAAATGATGAAATTAAACCTTCAATCGAAACAAAAGAAAACTTAGATAATCCTCCAAAAAGTAAATAAAATAAATATCATCAAATATTTTAATTATATTTTTTTATTATTTAGATAAAGATATTCAAATGAATTTACTTTTATAATCTGTGGATGATTTTAATTTATTTGGTAAAGCTAGCCTCAATACTAACAGATAAACTAATGATCTTGCTTCAAATACTAATCGTAATTTAATAAGTAAAAACACAAGCAATCTAGATTATGAACTTTAATCACAAAACATAACCCAGATTAACCTAGGTTCGATGACAAATAGAAATAGAACTAGAGTAGGATCTACTGTTGCTTTTTCAAAGACTGGTTCTTAATAAGTTATCCCACTAAACGATGGTTAGAACTGATTTAGAATTAAAATAAAAAATCTTGTTCTATTAATATTAGCCAGAAAAAATATAGAAGTATTTTTGGCTTGTTAATATTCTTTTTTAGAATTTAAAAAATTAAATACACTTTTTACTGATTAAATCAATTAATGTTGTATTTTAATTAATTAATATATTTGCATAAATATTAAATTGTTAAATTATTTGTTAATATATTCAAAAAAACAAATAAGCAAACAAACTATCAATAAATTAATATCTTTTCTTATAATAGTTTTTTTAACATAAATTGCATAATAAAGTTTAATTAGAAAATAAATAATTTATTTTTAAAATGAATCAATTTATGCTTGTAATACTTATATTCTTTAGGTGTGTAATATCTTAGAGTACTTTTAATATAACAGAATATATTGACTCCACGTTTAATTGTCAAATTCAAACTAATGTTAATATCAATTATGGTAAATGGACAATATCTACAAAATCAGGATTTACTGACACTTTTAATTTGAATAAATGCACTTAAATGTGTTAAATATAAACAAATTATCAACTTGTGCTTGGCCCTATATCTAATTCATTTATATTTGAGAGAATATTTTCTATTCCAGAGCCTCATTACTAAATAAAAATAATTGGTAATTAGAATTATTATTTATTTTTAAGCCAAAACAAATGAAAATTATCTATTTTTTATATCTCATAACATTTTTATTTTAACCTGATTTGCATGAAAATATCATTTTATTTAACTAATATTTAAAGCTTCTAATAATAATTTTATCCTCAATAGCTTTAAAGAAACGAATTTTAAATTTAATTAGGTTAGATAGATAAATGTGATGGTGGTCTGAATACAATAGATTATACTGGCGATTAAATTATGTTAGTAGTTGATGGTGTTACTGTCATAACTCTATCATCAAATTAAAAAATAGAAAGCTTTGGATTCGTAATTCCTCACTCAAAAAACTAAATGCATTTATAAATAATTCCTAACATTAAAAGCAATCAAGGGTTTAAGTTAATAGGTTTATAAAATATATAAATTACTGTATTTAGCAATGCATTTATTTTGGCTAGTAGTAAATGTATATGTCCACCATATTATCTGCCAATAAGCAATGAATGCATTTTATGTAATTAAATAACAGGTATTAATAATTGTGAAAAACAAGTATTTATAAACTAAGTTTAATTATAATTAGGTATGAATTATAACTCCTAAACATAGTAGTGTAGTGAGAAATGTGGAATAGGATAGATAATCAGTAGTTCAAAATAATGTGATGATGGGAATTAAGTAGATGGTGATGGCTGTAGCTCTTACTGCGCTATAGAATAGAATTATATTTGTAAAAAGCTAAATAATTAGTAATATGATACATGCTATTTGAGTACTCCTATTACTTTTAATATTCAAGAAGGAGAAGATTTTGATTCAGCAAACCCTAAATATTTAATAGTATTTAATAGGTAAATTTAAACTATCTTTTACTATTAATTTGACAAATAAATGATATTTAATAATCAAAAAATATTATTTTAACTAAAAATTTAATTGCAGAAATAATTTTGATATTTTTATAAAGTTAAAATAATATAAAAATTTAAACAAAAATGATTTATTTTTTAATTTTTGTTATTTTTTTCTTAATAATTGAAAACAATTCTCAAATATTTAGCAAAGCTTGTAATAAAAATTATTTAAATGAATATAGAGCTATATAAGATATAACAAGCCAATTAAATGTGATATTTTAGGTTTAAGTGTAAGATATTTAATCTAACTAATACAGCTACTCATGGGCAAAAGTATCTCCAAATATTTATTCTCTAACTCTGAAGTGGTAAACATCAATTGTAAACAAGGTTTTATAAGTTTCCATAGAATAACCTAGTTTGATAAAAGATTCTAACTCAATTTCTATCCTTGATACAATGCATACAATAGGCATTTAAAATTTTTATTTTGTTTCTTCTAATGATATGGACTTAGCTTAGATACTATAGATATTAAGTAGGGTTATTTAAGTTTTATAAATTTCTACTATACCTATATTTTTAATAACTAATAAATACCATGCTGTTATGAATGCTGTAGATATGAATTAAATAGTAACATATCTTCCTTTAATCAATATAAGATATCCTGGAAATGTCAAAATTTTTTTCAATGCCTTCTAAGATTTTGATTTTAACTTCTTCCCTAATCTTTTTTATTATTTGATTCCATCAGACTTATCAAGTTATAGTTTTTCATATGAACAATTCATTGAAAATGATATCCCTACAGCTTATTTTCTCAAAAATGCTGGATCAAACTTAAGCATCTGGATTATTTTTTTGATAATTTATTGCATATTTAAAATTGGTACATTGCCAATAATGACTCATAAAAAAATTAGATTATTTTGCATAAATATTGTTGAAAAAAGATTTTAGTGGCTTTGGTTCATAGATATGATGTGGTTGCTGGGAATGAATATAATGATAAGTTGCTTTCTTTAATTTTCTTCAATAACTGTTTCTAAGTAAAATCCTTTAATTTATTCATTATTTAAAAAATTTTATATAAAAGTGCTCTGGAAGTCATCAACATAATCATAACCTTTGCTTGCTTTATATCTTTTTTTTTAGCTTTTCCTCTGAGGTGCTATCAGATTCTTATAAGAAATTCTTACTTGTAAGACTAAGTGTAATACATACATCTGTGGAGTGGTCTCAAGCAAAATGAATATAAAAGCTGCTTTTTTCATTTAGTTTATTACATCAGAAAAATGGTTTTTGCTTGCACTATTATTACCCTTTATAACTAAACCCAAGTCTAAATAAATATGCTCAACTTCTTTTCAATATTTACTCTTTTATTTTTATTGATTAAAAATCCTTTTAAAAAATATAAGCATAATATAAAAGTAAATTTTTACATTTTTAAATCTAAATTTAGATAGTTTCTTATAAAAAGGTATTCTTATCAGAATTATTACTTTTCATAGCCTAGATAGAAATGATAGAACTTAAAAATAATATTGATAGTCCTGAATCATCTAGAATAAAAACAGGTTGGGTGATAGTGTTTGCATTCTTAGGAGTTTTAATACTTTAAGCGATGTTCACTATTTATTAAGCTTATATAGTAATTAATAACCTTTATTAATATAAAATATATTAAAAATTTTTTATTTGCTTAAAAATTTTAATTAAAGGCAATTAGAAAATGGTGGAGAAAGCTTAAAGAGAAAGACAATCTAGATAAAAATAAGCCTCTAGAAAAAGTGAAAAGCCCAAGAATAACAAAAGAAATAGAAATATAAACTTCAAATGATAAAGCTAATATATAAAATGACAAAAATAATGAAGACGATATAAATTACTTTGAATATGGAAATGTTTCAAGAAAATCTAAATTTAATTATAATAATAATAATAACAAATTTAACTTTAACTTTAAAGAGTAAGATAATGTTGAAGAAGATAGCAACTCAAGTATATCTCTCCCTGAATTCGAAAGGAATATAAGAAAATCAAGTCGCCAAATTCCTCCACCTTTCTCTAGTAGGAGAACAATATTTATTTATAAAAATTAAGAAAACATAGATGAAAATACAATCAATGTTTGAATAAAGTTATTTAATCTTCATTTATTCTTTGATTAGTTGTAAATTAATTAAATTATTTATTTATTTGTTTGTATTTTTTGGGATTACAATTCTTTTGATGTTTAAAATCTTAACTTTTAATTAATCAATTAATTAACTATTTTACAATTCTTTTTACACAGTGTTTCAGAATTAATTGCTTCTTTTTTGTGTTACAAAATCGAAAATATTTTATTTGGATATTTTTAGTAAAAATTAAGTTTTTAAGAACTTTAAACAATATGTAAATCATATAAATAAATTAATAATTTCATTTTTCAGTTGGTTTTTAAGAGTTCACGACCGATCAACCATCTTCTAATTTCGTTAGTGCCTGCACCGATTTCGTATAATTTGGCATCTCTCATAATTCTATTAACAGGGTAGTCATGAGTATATCCATTACCACCGAGTGATTGAATAGCTTCTAAACCTACTTCGGTAGCGCAAGTACTGGTGTATAAAATTAAAGCAGCGCAATCCTATCATTTAAGAAATTTTTAATTTTAAACATTTGGAAAAATCAAATTTAAAAAATTTTAAGCTAAAAATATAAAGATATGTTTTTACTGTGTTAGAATATTTTCCATTGTCGCAAGCTCTTGAGCAACCGTAAAGCATAGCACGAGAAGATTATAACTTAACATACATGTCAGCAAGTTTACCTTACATTAATTAGAAAGCACCAATAGGTTAGCCGAATTGTTTTCTTTCTTTCAAATAGGGAGTGACATAGTCAACTGCAGCTTGCATCAAACTATTTCATATAAATAAATAAATTTAATTAATAATTAAAAAACAGAAAATTTCATAAGCAAATATAAATTAAATTGATTGATTGATTGATCACTTTCTATCAAAATTAATTAAAATAAACTATTTGACTTTTTTTATAAAAATTTAGTTTTGGAATCGAATTTTTTTTTTGGGAAAAGCCTACTCAATTGATTTAAAATAGAATAATATTTATGATGATTTATTAATCTCTCATCTTATTGAGCATTATTATATTTTCTTTTTTCTTTTTTAAATTTCTGCTTTATTTTAAACAACTGTTATTAACTTTATAATTCCTTAAAAATGCTCTTTTTCTTTAAAGTAAGCTAATAATTTATTAAGTTTTAACCATAAACTTTAAAATAAAAAATAATTAGTTTTTTTTACCCAACAGGTCCAGCTGCAAGAACCAAACGTTCATAGTCAAGACCATCCATAAGTACATAAACACCTTTATTGTAGCCTCCAAGAATATTTTCTTCAGGAACTTCAACATTATCGAAAATTAACTCACAAGTATTAGAACCTCTCATACCAAGCTTATCTAATTTCTATTTATTTACATTAAAATTTGTTTACATATCTTATCATTAATATGTGTAAAATTTACTTAGGCAGTGGAGAAACCCTTATATCCTTTTTCAATAATAAATGCAGTGATACCTTTTTATTTTAATTCAGGTTCAGTTTTAGCATAAACAACCAAAACATCAGCATCTGGTCCATTAGTAATCCACATCTATTTATATTTTAATTATTTGTTTTACAAACATCTAATTATTATTATTATGAAGGTTACCTTATTGCCATTAAGTACGTATTTATTTCCTCTCTTTTCAGCTTTAAGTTTCATAGAAACAACATCTGAACCAGCACCTGGTTCACTCATAGCCAAAGCACCAATGTGTTCACCACTACATAACTTTTTAATTAATAATTAAGATATTTTTACAATTTCATAAAAGAATTACTTTAGGCAAATATTTCTTCTTTTATTCTTCAGTACCATTTCTTTCAATCTTTTATTTTAAGGGAAAAAGGTTATAAATTTATCCATATTTGATATGTAGAATTAGTAGGAAATTTTTTTTTTAATTTAAAATAAAGCAATTTTATTATTTTTAAATTATAATTTACCTAACCAACACAGAGAGCAGTATGAGCACCATAGCTTAAGCCAATAGAACCGCTTGCTCTTGAAATTTCTTCCATAATCATGCAATGAGCGCTATAATTCAAACCACTACCACCATATTCAACTATTATTTTAGCAAAAAAAATTTGCTATATTTGAACGATACAAATTGACTTTTTTAATAGCATTTTTATAAAAGTATACCTGGTACAGTAGCTCCTAAAAGTCCAAGGTTACCGAATTCTTTCCATAATTGATTAGGGAAGGAATTCTTTTTATCAGTTTCTTCTGCTAAAGGAGCAACAGTTTCATCAGCAAACTTCTTAACAGTTTCTCTGAGCTTTTGAAATAGTAAAATATAATTAAATTAAAAGATTTAAACCAAATATCATGTTTAACAATTAAATAAGGAGTAAAATTCCATTTTTTTTTTGAATAAAGGTTTAAATTAGTAAGAATAGGAATAAACTATCTTATATAGTTAATCAATTATGACGAATTCTAAATAAAAGCATTACTTATTCGATATCTTCATCTAAGTTAGAGATGAAATTATAATTTAAGACACTAAATTACTTCTTTTAGCCACAGATTAATTGTCTAGTGACCTTGGATGCGATTCTGCTAATCATCTTCTTCGTAAAGTTATGAGTAAAAGATAAATTAAAGTTTTGTAGTTTTCCTACTTTCTGAATTATTTATGAATTTTCTTTTTTATTTTTTTTTTATTGCTTAATTTGAACTGATGATTACTTATATTCAAAGTTGATTTTTGCTTGCAAAGCTATACTTACATTATTTTTTGAGGTTAATTTAATTATTCATGGATGAAATTTATTCCTAAAAGATACATTCTCTGCATCATTTTTAATCAAAAGTAGGAGCTTTTCGTCATGATATTTTTACTTTTCATTAAATTTCTTTGTTATAGTCATTTTTTAACAATCAATCTCAAACAAATAAATCTAATTTTATAACTATAAAATATTCATTATAAATTATAATCTCAATTATTGCAAAGATATTTTTTATAAACAGTCATTATAAATATTTAATTTTAAAATATATTGATTAAATTTAAGCATTTCGATTTGCTATGAATAGGTTATCTTAAGATTTTTTTTGAGTCTTTAAATTCGAATTCATATATCAATTATATTTTTTTAAGGTTGTTATAATACCTTCAATTGAACTATTTTTAGAATGTTTTAGAATCATTCAATTTGTATAAGAAAATTTGTTTGTGTAATTAAATATGAACATTTTTAGTATAAAAATTTGAATCTTTACAGTATTAAAATTTAATAATATTAGTTAAAATTTTCTTTTAATTAAAGAATAATATATTAAATATATATTTAGTTATAAAAATAAATTAACAATTTTACAATTAAGTTTTTATGTATTATTTCTCACTATTTATTTAAAACAATTATTCTAAAAATTTAGTTAATTTAATTAAATAGTAAAATATGTTAATAATAATTTAATTCATCTAGATATTTTTCTCTCTTGTTTTCTTGTTAAAAATGTCAACAAACAAAACAAATAAAATTTAAAAATATTTGATCTTAAATTAGAATATTACAAATTAATTTATTTTTTCCAAAAAGAGTTTAGAATTAGTAAATAAATGTGTATCATCCAGTTCTTGGTTAAAAATTTATAAGTTCTAGCTATTCCAAAGCTCTGTAAATCTTTAACTAAAAAACTTTTAGCTAGAGCTCATACGTTTTTACTTTTGAATGCTTTTTTTAAATATTATTAGTAAATTTGAAAAAAAGACTTTTTAAAATCATCAAATTAAATTCATACAATATTCAATTTAACCATATTTTTTAAAATTAGTTAAAAATTAAATAAAATCTTATTTTTTTTATCTTTTATCTAAAAGTCTTGTATTTTTATTTACTTTATAAAATAATAAAATCATTTCTTTTATTAAATGTGTTGCTAGTGTTAATAATAGCAATAGTAAAAAAAAAAATTTTTTTTTCTTCATTTTCAAAAAGACAAGAATGATTGTATTTTTAAATATTTTTTATAAATGTATATTTAAGGTAATAGCTCAAGCTAAGCATAGCTGATAAAATTTCTTTGTTACAAGCTTTGGATCTAAATATATTTTCATTATTGAGACATGTTCTCAACATATTAAAATATAAGTAAAAGTTTTAAATAAAAATGAATATTAAATATTTCGTTTTATAAGTTTAGAATGATTGAATATATTCAATTTTTTCGAGGGTTTGAAATAATTTCATAATAAATATTTACAAAATATATACTTTAATACTTTTTTTACAGTTTATTATATCAGATGTTTGTTTTTTTGTTTATAGTAATTTAATTTTGCTTAAATCAAATATAGGTATTTTTTATTTTATAATTTAAAGATATCAGAATTATCCTATTCTTTCTACTTTTAACTAACTTGTGCAAACAGGGCATTTTATACATTATTATCCAGAGTTTTTTACTTATTTTGTGCATCCATAATTCTAGCCATATGTGTATCTTCTTGATCCACTAAAATCGCTACTTCTTGGTGGACTTTTGTCATGACAACATTTAGAAATATTAAATCCCATGTCATTTTTTCCTTTGTTTATACTAGGAAGTCTTCTAGATGGGTACAATATGGGCTTTTGGATTGTACTTCTTTAAGAAAAGTCACTATCGATTCTTGAATTATTTAAACTATTTATTTAACTATGATTATTCTTTTTATCAATAAGTGCAAAATCATCCATTTATGGTTCTAAAAAGTGCCTTTTAGGATCTTTTTTTTAACTTAATTCGCTAGGATTTTCTAGTTGTTTAAATATTTTTTCTTTTGTACTTTCTCTTGGTGTCATATTTACAGACTAAGTTTTTAAATCATTATTTTTACGAGGAATACGAGCACTTTGCATCTCTAATGGAGCATCTTAGTTGTTATTATTTGATAAATTGCTTAAATCTAAATTTGTGTTAGGTGTTTTTTTGACAGACTAAGACAATAAGTTTCTTGGATAGACACCTCCTTAAGTATCGATTCTTGTCCTTAAATGCAATCCGGTTTCGTCTAAATTTCTGCTATTAGCTTTTTCTAGAGGATTAGAAGGGTTAGGATAATTGACAAAGTTATCCATTTGTTTCGAGTATACTTTTGAAGAAGGGCGTGGTTATGAGCTATATCTTTAATTTGGTTACTAGATATTCCTAGTAGAGCTAGGCATTCTAGGAGCATAATCATTATTGTTAATATTGTTAGTATTGATAGGGTTTCCATAAAAGTCTCTTCTTTATGAATTTCTATTTTAAAAAATATTATTAAATAAACAAAAATTAAAACAAAATTAACTACCTTGTTGATAAAGGTATTTCAGCTATGTAAGCTTAGCTAGGCTATTTAGTGGAGTATCCTCTCTATAAATTTTAAACTTTGTCAATATCTAATTCTGTTTAGCTTGGATTATATTTTCCGTTTGAATTGAATTCGATAGGAGTTCCTCTTACACTGCCGGTTTTTGAAAGCAATCCTTTTGGAGTAGCTCTTGGAGTTTCCTAATCTAAATCAGCCTTATCTTTAAGACTAAAGTTGTCATCATCTGTGGAAGGAGTTAGTCTTTTTCTTATTGTGGACTTTAATGCTTCTTTTTATTTTTTATAGTCCTTAATAGATTAACCGACATTATATGTAGATGAAAGTTTATTAATTAAATCTCTCTCACCAAGTGGCTCTTATTTATTGTTATTTAAGTAATGCATTTGCATTTAAGTTTCATTTGTTTTAAAATTGTATGTTAATTCCGAATTCTTTCTGCTTTTAGGTTCATCTTAAAGCTTACTTTTAAGTAGAATATCTTTTCTTTGTTGGGCTTCATTCATATTTTTCATTTAAGGAAGTAAATCTTCGTCTTCTGTTTCATTATGTCTTCTAGGTCTTAATTAATCTAATTAATTCAATTCCTATTCCTCTTCTAAAGGAATATTTTTAGGGACGTTTCTTGGAGCAAATAGTTCTTTATTTTATCTTTCTAAATATATGTCTTTATAACTGGCAAGGGTAATTTGTCTAGGGCTGCTCTTTTCTTAAAACTGCTTATAGCTTTCAGGATAGACTAAATGGTCATATTACTATACTTGATCATCATCATCTTTATAAGGATATTCATTTCTAACATTTGATTTATGAGGATAATGGTCTAATGCATGGTTGTTATGATTTAGAACTTAATCAGGACTATTATAGTCTAATTTATTTTTTTAATTTTTATTTTCAAGGCTATCATCGCTTATTCCACTATCATTTCTAATTGGATTTATAGGTTTTTTTTTCTTTGTTTAGCTAGAAATTGGGTTTTCGCTTTCTTCAGGTGCTGCAGGATAATCATATTTGCTGCTGTATGGCTCATCTAAGTATTTAGTTTAATATTTATTTAAGAATTCCTACTTTTCTCTATCAATATCTCTTTAAATTCTATCAATCATATTCCTTTCTTCTAAATTATTAGTAACTGCTTCATCTAAAGTTTTATCCTCTCTATCATTATTTGGATAAAATGGCTTGCTCGTGTCATAGAAATTTTTTTTGACTCTCTATTTAAATTTATTATAAATTTAGTTAAATAAAGAATGAATTTACTGATTTGGTGTGGCTGAATATTGATTATAAAGGGAAAGTGCAATAAAAAATGATAATAAAATAATAATTTGATGGTGAATGGATACAGTTCACAATTAACAAATTAATTAATTAATTAATTAATTGTATTTTTCATTAAAATAAATTCAATTAAATAAAATTAAATTAACCCCATTCTTTATAAATATTATACATCAAATCAATTAATAACATCTCCCTTTATATTTACATGAAAAAAGTAACAATCAATCTATCTATCTATATATCAACCAATTACTAAAAAGTAAAAAAGAAAAGAATAAATAAGTGTACTTTATAGTTATTTGGAGTGCGAACAGGTTTCTCCTCAGGAGTGTGTAAATTGTGTCTCAAATTATTATTTTCTTCTAAAAATTTATCACGAAAAGTGTGGTATTAAAGAGTGTCGTTTGGTTTGGAAGAATAAAATTTATTATTATTGGTTACAAATTCATTTTATTTTTTCAAACGTTATAAACTACTTTGTGTTTTTCTTAATTCTTATTGCAACTCATCTTCTCCGTTTTTATTTTATTTTCTATCCTTTTCATTAAAACTATTATCATCAATGTCATTTATCTGACTTTTATGAGCAGGGAAATTTTCACTTGGCTTTACATATTTTTTTGCTACAGGTTTCAGCATTTATGATCCTACTTGATTATCTTCCTCATTCCTATTCTAATTATTTGGTTCAAGATAATTGTACTTTGCCTGAGGGTATCTAGGGCTTTAATGGTTAGGTTGATTATTTGATCCATTTCTTGGATGATGCACTATAGAATTATTGTTCATATGAGTAATTGTTTCCTCTGTTTCATTGTCTGCTTCATGAACAATTTTAAGATTATCATCTTAAGGATTGCTAAACATTTTATCAACCAGCTTTTATATATGTATGTATGAATATAATTAATTATATATCCTAATTATGTGTAATATTTAGTAAATATATTTAATACTTATTATTCCTTAAATCCTTGATTAATTGAACTTTGACATCTCAAACAGAAACGATAATGCAAAATCAAATAAATATATTAATTAATCGAGTGGTAATTATTTGTGTTTCTTAATACTCATCATTTGTAATAAATTTATTAATTTCTCCACAATATGTAATATTTTATAGGTTGAATCAATACTAAAAAACTTAAATCCATCCTAAACCAATCAATTTAAATTGCTTTAATTAAATGTTTATTTTTAATATAAAATTCTCAAAATATAAATACATATTAAATCCATTATTAAAATAATTTTATAATACTTTTTCGATTTTTAATAAATTTATTAATTTTTCATAAACAGTTTCGTATTTCATTTGTTAAATCAATATTAAAATTTAAATTCATTTTAAATAAATAAAGTTACACTACTTTAATTAATTAAATTAAGTACTCTAAAAAAAAATAAATTAAAGTAAAATAAATTTTAAATTAAAAAGAGTGAATATATTTTTTCTAAAATTTTTAATATTTATTCATTTTAATTTTTCAATTTAAAGTATTTAAAATAAAATATCATTAAACACAGTAAAAAAAAAAAATTTAATTTTAAAAACAAAAAATGAATTGTTTTTCCTATTATTTTATAATATTTTAATATTCTTGATTAAAAAATCAAACTAGATTAATTATAAACCTATCAATTTAAATGACTCTATCTAATATCATTCAATTATTGAAATTAAAATAAATTTTAAATTTAAAAGAGTGAATATATTTTTTCTAAAATTTATAATATTTATTCATCTTAAATTTATCAATTTAAAGTATTTAAAATAAAATATCATTAAACTCACAAAATAAAAATAAATTTTAAATTTAAAATAAGTGAATTGTATTTTCATAAATAATATTTTATTGATTTACTTAGCATTTTTAACATTAAAATCTAAATAAACTATAAATAGTCAAATTAAAAATTAATTTTTATGTACTAAATTCTAAAAAATATAATACCTTTTAGATTGATTCAAAATCTTTGAATGATTTTCTGCAATATTTTAGCATTTAATGAATTGATTTAAAACCAAAAAGTTAAAAATGATTTATATTTATTCATCCTTAATCAATAAATTTAAATTAGTTTACTATGAATTTTTCAGAACAGAAATAGTTTTTAAGTAAATGAATTACATCTTATATAATACATAACTTTTATTTATTATTGTGAAAATAGTAAATACTTAAAAAATAAATTAATTCTCAACCAGTCAATTTAAATAAATTAAATATACTTTTTTAGTTTCAAATTATCAAAATAAAAACATAATTAAATTATAAAATTAAAATTTTTTTAGGAATAATGCTGTTTTAATTTTTGAAAAGTAATAAACAAAATATAAATTATTTATTTGCAAAAAATACACAAAAACTTTTATAATTAATTTAATTTTAATTAAAAATAATTTTTTTAATCAATTTATATTGCATTAAATATGAATCATATTTTTCGTGCAATTTATAGTGAACTCATTTTAATGAAATCAATAATTTTTGTATAGATTCGTTATCTATATTAATGAATTTGATTAGAGTTGCAATAAATTACATCTTTTTTTTATTATTATCTACCTACATTTAATAGCCTTATAACTCTTTATTACATTTCATTTCATTCTAATCATTTATTTATTCTTATCGTATTATTTTTTGTTATAGTTTTTAGTCCTGTCTATCTCCGAATAAGTCATTATCATCTAATATTTGTTAAAAATTATTTAATACACCTTCAATTTCGGATATTTAAGATTCCAAGCTGCTATTTGCATTTTAAATAAGCTCTTTTTAACTATTTAAATTTTTTAACATTATTGCCTTAGATTATTTTAAGTAAAGCTATTCAGATTTATTATTTGTTTATAGATTTTTCAATATATAAACAACCTTTCTGATAACCTAAGTATCAAATTATAAGAGTACTCTTTAAAATGCCTCACTCATAAGTCTAATAGGATCATCTTTGGCCATACTTTATTATAAGGTAACAAAGTCAGTCAATAACTATTTAAATTATGGTGACTAATATTGCTATTCCATAATTTTAAGCATAATTTATATTAACTATTATAGATTTTTGGATGCTTTGTCATTTTATTTTAATTTATACCACATTATTGCTTCTAATTCTTCAATTTCTTCTTCTATTTCGCTTATTAATTTTAAGTTTTGCTGGATTGTCTCTTTATATTATAGCATATTCTACTTCATCTCATGTTCGATCTACTTTCCTGAGCATACTTAAACATTTTTTTTTTCATCCTATAGGTTTATCATTTCTATAATTTATTAGTCTTCTATTTTTTAGTTTTCACATTTTTTCTAAATTTCACTCTCTAGTTTTTCAAGACTATTTCCTACTTTTGTAAAATTTTCATTTAGATTTTCTAAAGTTTATATAGCCTCAACAGATTAACTATTTAAATCAAATTTTTTAATTTCTTGCAAAATATTCTTAGTAATTGGATTATCCCAAGCTGTCCTGATATCTTTAAGATCATAGCTACTTAATCTTGCATTAATATAGTTTAATAGTAAACTAAATAATACGATTTTAATAAATGCTAAAAATTTTTTCATATAAATGAACTCTAAGTGATTTATTGCAATTTCTTGTTTTAAATAAATTAATATATGATCAAATTCTTTTAGTTTTAAATTTTATAAATAATATGATCAAAAAAGTTGAAAGCTTTTAAATTAGATATTTTATATTTTAAAAACGCAATATCTTTCTTTCAAGTTCATTTCGTTTTTTTTTTTTTGACTCAAAAAGTAAAAACAATTAAGTTTGGATTAAAAATAAGTTTAAACATTTTTGAATGAATATTACTTTCATTAGTAAAAGCTTAAAAAAATGCAAGTAACTCTACATAAACAAAAATTAATTTACATAATATTTATTCATTTTCACTATCAAACATGTATTATTATTTTGTGGCTAAATATTATTTAGAGTTAAAAAAAGAAATCTAAATAAGAAAAAATCTAATAAAAAAAAGAAATTATTTTTGTAAGTAAAACTAAAAAAAATAGATTTAAAATGAAGAATTTAATTCTTATAAATAAATAATAAATAATTAAATCAAGTAATTAATAGTTTTTTTTGTTTAAATAAGAATTTCTTTTTTCAAATATCGAAAATTTAGTTATTAAATAAATAAAAATATCAAATTAAGATAACGATTTTTATAAAATTCTAATAAAGTATATTTATATTTCTATATTGTTAAAAGAAAAAAATCACATTTTTAATTACTAATTTTATATTTATCAATAATTGGATTTTTCAATTTTTTGGATGTATCTAATATTCATTAAATTAATTTCTATTAAATCCTATTTTGATTAATAATATTTTGATAAAGGTCATATTATAAGCTAAAGTAGTTTAATTATTAAATAGTTATTTAATAAGTACTTTTTTTATACCTTAAAGTTAAATAATACAAATAATTTTCTTCTTTAAGAATTTTAGAATATAAATTTTTACTAAGAATTTAAAAATTAATTATTAAAAATTTTTTTTTGTTGATAAAGACTGTTATTTAATTATAAACTAGGAAATTTAAATACATTAAAAAAAAATATATGTTTACAATTTCATAATTTAATATTTAGTAAAATCTATTAATATTTATCATAAATTATGTAAAATTTAGATTATTTTTTTGCTGAAATCTAATGAATTTTTTATTACAAAATGTTTGATTATTTAATTTAATTGATTATATATTTAATCTATATATTAATAAATAATCATGAATCCTAAAATATCTATATTTGATCTTACAATAGATTTATTCAGTAAGTCTGATAAAAAAATTGGCTGAAAGAAAATCAAAATAATCTAATACTGGCATTAAAATTAATATTAATTATCACAGTGAAAAACATTGATTAAAATTTGATAGTTAAAATTTATTAAAACTGGAAAAATGAATGGGAATGTAAAATAGTATCAATAATTAAATAAAAGCATTTAGTAAATATTTTCTTCTACAAAGAGATTAGAACCTCTATCAAAATAACTAAGCAAACATGCTAATGATTATTTGAAGTCAACTTTAGAGTAAGAAGATAATACTCTTAATATGTAAGAGAGTTAATTGTATGTGTAAAAAATGGATTAAAATTTAATGAATGAGAGATCAGGATTCTAAAATTTTAAAATGAATATAAAAGATTAAGCTAAAGCAGAAAGACTTTTTAGTGATGAAAGTGCAAGTGACTGTTCTCCTGTTTTGAAACCTTCTTTACCACAAACACCAACATAAAATAATTAAAATAACTAATTGAAGAACAAAGGCATATCATTTTCAAATCTCAGCAAAACTTATACAAATACAAATGCAAGCTTATCCCCAAAAACAACCACTTCAATACCTTAAACTCCTTAAAAATAGAAGCTTGATAAAACACTTCAAAATTATCATACAATTGGTGAAGAAAAAAACATTTATACATAAGACAAAAAAAAATATTTCTCACATTTTAGGAATTTTTCCAATCCTTGTATCCTAAACACTAGTTAGTAGGAGTTTGTGGATCAAAATTGTAGAGAAGAATCTTGCAAGACTAAAAGTTAATTGAAGTAAAATCAAAATTTTTAATCAAATGAAAATTAAAGTGATACAGAAAAAAAAGAATAACTTTAAATAAAATTTACTAATCCTATGATATAATCCAAGTTTGCTTCTCTGCAATCAACTCCTAAAAATAATTAATAAGATACTAAAAACTAATAGAATCAATAAAATAAAGCAATTATTTTGACAAAATCAGAAAATGCATATGGAATACATTTATTTCATAATAGAAATTAACAGAAAAAATAGATGCTTAAGCAATTCTCTATCCAAGAATCATAAAAAAAAATGAATAAAACAATTTTTAACTTAAATGACATTATACCGAATCTTTATTATATAAATTCTTCATACAAAAATGAAAAAGATTTGTTATAGCTTATTGAAAAAAAACAATAACAAATTAAAATGAGTTAAACCGCTAAAGATACCCCTATAAGTATACAGTCCTAATAATTTATTAATATTAAGCAATCTTAACCTTCAACAAAAAATTAATTTTAGCATATCTAAAGATAGATTAGATAGAATCGCTCCCCTTAAAATATTTAGAAATAAAATAAAGTAGTTTTCAGTAGTTTGCTATCTTAAACATTTAATAATAATTTTGAATAATATGATGTGATCGAATCAGGTATAACAAGAAAACTAAAATAAAACATTAGATAAAAAAGCGCTGTTAGCTAATCTCTTAATAATAGTTAAATTAATACTAAAAACTTCAATTAACAAGTCAGCTTTGAAGATGATTTATAAGAATTAATTTAAAATTATCAGAGCCCAGGTTGTGATAGCATACTAGGAAATCAAAATTTGTAGAAAAAGCAAGAATAGAAGGGTTAAATCTATTTAATAGATAATAATTAATCAAAAACACCAAACCAAAATTTTTTGTATAAAAGCTTGTATCCAACAAAATCTAGCTTAAATAAAAACTATTAGAGTAGTATTCAAAATATATTTTTCAAAGAGTAATCTAAAAAAATGGAACCTGATGACAGTAATAATGTAAATAAATCAAACAATAGAGCTTCTTCTAATTTAAAAAATATATAAAGTAATTAAATTAATATGAATCCTAATTAAAATATGAAGCCAAACGATGAAAAAAATACTAAGTACGTAAAGCTTCTGCTTAAAATGGAAAAGAATTAGCAAATTGAATAATTTAAAATGATGAATAAAAATTAATCTTTTGCAATGAAAAATAAAGAAGACTAAGTAGAAAAGTTATATAACTTTTCCAAAAATTAAATAAATAAAAATCATTAAGATACATAGAGTTAAAAAATATTAGTTAAGCAAAATAATCCTTTCTAATTGCTTTCATCACCAACTCAAGCTTAGCATTAATATAATTATATATTAAAAAAAGACTTACTTTTTAATAAATTTCTGGAGCAAGAAAAACTAAAATTAAAATAATGAGTTTTTGAAATTAACACCATAATTTTAAAACTAATCAAAAAAAGTTTTTAAATTATTATTCTATAAATTTTCCATAATATTATCTTTAAAAACAAATAAATAAGTTTATCTAATAAACATATTTTTTTACAATTATTTCAAAATCAAGCATTATATTTATCTAAATGTTGTCGAAATAATTTTTATTTTAAAGCTGAATGATAAAATCATTTCTTTCATATTTTGAAAATTAAACCTATCTTATAAAAATAAACATTAAATAGATATTTTTAAAATGTCTACTTCTTCATGTTCGTGAATATAAGTATATTTATTATAAATTTTCAAATCTTATAAATTAAAAATACTTGGAAATTGCTTTAGAATAATGTAATTTTTATTAATTAATAAATAAATTTAATTAATCCTTTAATACTTAGAAATTAACTCTAAAGATTATTAATTATATTTTAAATTTATATATTCAGAAATCGTTTTGTTCATATTTTGAAAATTAAATTTATCTAATAAAAATTGTGGTAATTGGGTTTATATTTTAAAAATTTTTAATTCTTCATTTTTATTCTTAGATTTTTGTTTAATTACTTGTTTTTTTGTGAAATATTAGAATATTTATAATTATTTTCAAATTTTATAAATTACAATACTAGATAATATTTTTAAATCATTGATTAATTATGAAATGATAAATCTAATTGAGCTTTTAATCTTTTTAAACTACTTCTAAAGCAGATTCATTATTTAATAAAATAAATTTCGAATAAAATTTTTAGGTTTTTCTTTATTGATAGATTAATTAAGAAAATAGATTTTTTTTAAATTGAAATTTAAAAATTTTGATTGAAATATTTAAAGATTTGTATTACTCTTTAATTAAATTTGTTAAACTCAAAAAAAATTGATTGATTGATTCAGAAAAAATATTTGAGTAAAATTACATAATGAATGGTAAATTGAATTATTAGGAATATTCAATATCTTTTGTTAAATATAGAACTAATTTTTCAAATATATTTATGTTACTGATCATAATCTATTTAACAAATAATTCTTGATATGAACAAGCATCACTAAAATAAAATATTCAAAGTTATTATATTTATTAAAAATTATTATTTTAAATATTATAAGTTAGTGATAATTTTTGAGTTAGAAATAGTACAAGTGAATTCTTAAATTAATTTTTTGAACATAAATTTTGATTATGATTGATTCTTAAAGTGAAGTAGAATATGCTGAAATAGGATTTCAAACTGATGAAAACAGTATTGATCAATATGATTAACTCGAATCTTACTTTAATCCTACTTATTACTTAAACTAAGAGTTTCTTTTAAATGAGCTATTTTCAGATTCTAATGAAGTAAACGAAACAAAAAATAACCCTAAGATTCACTCTCATAGCTTGGGAAATTTAGAAGATTTTTAATCAATTTAAGTGCAAGGCCGTCCATAAACTTTTAATTTTTAAATGCTTGATAAGTACGCAGAAGTAAACTAACAAGCTAAAAAACAAACAATGAATATAGGGTAGTTATATATGCAATAGTTGGAAAAATAAGCTTAGACATTAAAAAAAATAGAATTAAAATTTGCTGTAAATAATGATGAGAGTTAATTTAATCTAAAAAAAGGTTAAAGCATGGGGAAAATACCTATAAAAACAAGTTTGCTAGAATTAGATACTTCTTCTTAACCACAAGCTAACTAGGAATTGAAAAGAGCAAGTTGCTAAAATTATTTTTTAGACTATAAAAGCAATAGTAGTATAAGATTTTATGGTAGAAATGATGAAAATATGAGCTAAAAATACAATTCTTAATAACTTTGTTAAACTAATACATTTAATGAACATGCATATATTAAATAGAAATATAAAGGGATAAGCTAACATTCTGCTAATAATTTAGCTTATTAAGAAGAAAATACTACTAAATCTCCAAACAAGAAACAAATAGTGATTTCGAAAAATATAAGAGCAATGTCTTCTAATTAATAATTTAGATAAAGCTTTCATTATATTAAGTAAGAAGATACAAATAGTCTATAATAAAACACCAATAATTAACTTAGTATGCTCAAAAGCATGTTTTCAGATTTTCAATAAGAAATTAAATAAAGAGAAATAAATACAGCCATTGATTTAAATAATTTGCAAGAACAAAAGGCAGAACAGCCAAACAAACCTATTAATCTAACAAATATATTAAATTTGCAAAATTAATTAAAATAAAATCAAAAATCGATTACTGTTTCTCGGATACCAATCTAATAGTAATAAAAATAGAAGGAGATAGTTAGATAAAGACAAATTCATTCTTCTAAAAAATAATCTTTTGGAAAGTTAATTTAATAATAAATTGATAGCAAATTTTAACAAAATCTGACATCTAATTAATCTGAAAATAACATATAGAATTAATATAATTAATAATAAAGCTAGTTATAGAAGTATTAAAATTCTCAAAATCTAGGTATTTAGAATTAAAAGCTATTAAGCAATCACAACAAAAATAACTCTGTATCATGCTTAAATTGAAATAAAAACTTTTATAATATAATATAATTAAAAAATAAAATGCTTAGTTAATATAATATTGTATAAACTATAATTTAAATATTTGCTATTAATTACCATTATATAGTAGATAAGGGGAATTATTGCCGGTCAACCAATATAAAGAACCATAAAACCAAAAATTTAACGTAAGTTAAATTTTTGGTTTTATGGTTCTTTATATTGGTTGACCGGCAATAATTCCCCTTATCTACTATATACCATTAAATCAAGTAATTATAAACAAATCAATTTTCAAACTTAAATTTTATTAAAAATTAAACAAATTTTTTACTAATAATAAACAACAAAGAATTTAAGGCAAATAATTTGCCTAAAATAATAAATTAAAAATATTAATAATAAGGTAAATATTTATTTTAGATAATAAACTCATTTACGACATAATTCTATTTGGTTGATATATGTCATTAAAAATGAAGATGCTCAGTAAAATCTTAGCACATGTTGCAATAATATATCAAAGAATCATAGTCTTCATAAATATATCTGTTAAGAAATTTGCAAGCCTTACAATAATATCCTGACTCTTATTTATTGTTAATTTGCTTTTATTATAATTTTTAGGTATCTTTATCAATCTATATTTATTTATTAAAAGGTTCGATTTGTTACTAAGTATTAATATATTATTTAAGATTTATTTCATTCAATATTTCTTATTTTTCATCAAGTTACTCTTATAATTTTTTAATAATTTTGCTATTTTCTAAAATTATCTTTTCTAATTTTTCAATTTTATTTAGCTGTTCTTTAAATTTATTTTCCATGATTTCAAATTACTTTAAAGGTTTTTTTTATTAGCATTTTATATATTTTTCAAATTCTTCTTCTTCTTTGATAATGGGAAAGTATTTGTCTTGAGCTATTTAAGTCCACAATATTTAAAAACACTGCAAATCCTTGAGGCTATCTAAATGAAGGTACTTTTCTTCTAAGTATGTTTCATTAAATAAGCTTTCTAAATTTAACTCAACATCTAAAATCCCTTTAAATCTTAAGAGTATTTCATACAAATCTATAAATTAAGTTTGTTCAGGAACCATGAATTATTTAATAGTTTATTGAAAAAAATCTTTGTAAGCAAATTAATCTGATTAGCTCATAATTTTAATTATTTCTTCTTAATCATTTTCTTCTTTGAAAGTATTTTAGCTAGATATTAAATTACAAAATAGCTTCCCTAAGCTCATACATTATTTTGTATAACCTTATTTAATTTTTGGATTTACAAGTGCTTTATTTAATATCTTCTATAAAATATCTTAATTTTCTTAATTGTATACAAAACTTAGTTTTTATAAATCATCAAGAAGTCCTTAATTTTCTTAGATGATATCTTTTTATTCCTTAGTTTCATTTTTTAGATAAATATTTGGTTTTTCATTATATTCTAAAAACATATTTTCTAGTTTATTCATGCCTGTTTCATTTTCTATCTAGAAAATACAAATTTTAGCATTATTATTATAGTCTAAAAATATATTTTCTAATTTGATATTTGGTAAGAATATTCCCAGTTTGTTAGCTTAAACTACTCCTTCAAGAATGTCTTTTAAATACTTTATAATAGAATTTTCAGTTAATTTTTCTTTGTTTATTAGACATAAAATATTTTCTTAGATCCCAGTTATGCTTATATAATGGTATTAGTATCCTTCAAAGTCGTCGAGGTATGAGCAATTATAGAATGAACCAACAAGTTTTTTATAAAGATATATCAGCTTTTAACAGTAAGTTTTTTTATTTTCTAAGAGATTTCCAATTTGATCTTTGATTCTTATAGCTAAAATAGTATATATGATATCACTCTTCTTTGAGTTTAAAATAAAATCCTCCTACTAATCAGCACTTAATATTTTAAATTAAGTAAATTCAAGCTCTTAAAGTTCATTTTAAATAATATCAAAGTTTAATTAATTTTTTAAAAATTAATTTTTATCAGTCTAGAAAGTAGGCCTAATAATTTAAATGTTATTTTTCAAAATAAATTGCTTATTTTTATTTTTGCTTTCTAAATGGTTCAAAAGCCAGTCATATTAGGAATTTGACATTTATTTAACTTAAAAATTTAAATTTATTTTTTTTAATTACAAAATATAATTATCATTTCATAGATACCAACATTTCTTTTTAAAGAATCGAAATCGAACTCATCAGTAAAAAATTGAATCAGAATAATCTTTTGAATTAATTATTTTTTCTGAGTAGATTTTATTAATATTTTCTTATCTATCAAATTTATGAAATAGAGGTTTTTGATAAATAAAATTTTCAATTCTTTTCTAGAAACAAAAAACAAATTATTTAAGATAATAAATAAAATAATACATTTTATTTCATTAAATTGTTTTTTTAAATAAGTCTGATAATAATAAAAATTTTAAACTTAAAAATAAGAAAAATATTAAAAATTTATAATTTAAAATGAAGAATCTATTAAAATTTATTTTATTTCATTTAATAGATATATTTAAATATAAAGATAGATAGATAGATAGATAGATAGATATAGAGATATTTATGAAGTAGAACATTTATGTAAAATATGTGAGATATTAATGAAATTGAATCGAAAATTAAATTTTTAATTTAATTATAAAACACTTTTAAGCCAATCTATAATAATAAAATATTCTTAAAATATGCAATATTAAAAATTAGAAGCAAGTTCCATTATTTAATTATTATCAAATAAGTATTTATAAATACAGCTTATAATGATTTGAAGATTGAATTATTTAAAAAATTAATTTTTATTCTATTAAAAATATAAAATCTTATCTTTATATAAAAAAATAGATATTTTAAGTAGAAAATTTATGTAAATTAGAAGCATTAAAAGTTGTTTCAAAAATTAAATTTTAAATTCAAATTAATTGTCAAATGATTTTAATATTTTATTAAGCACATACCAATCTATTTCAATTATTTAATCTTAAGAAAAGTGAAAATTAAAAATTACGAGCAAATTATTTAATTGCAATCAAAGTAATTATTAATAAATGCAGTTTAAAGTAATGATTTGATTTTGAAATTTATTTTAATATTTACTTAAATTTAAAATAAAAAATCCTACTCAATTTAAATTATTTAGAATTTATACTTTTATAATTGACAAGCAAAATATTTTTTTATTTATGGGACTAACTGTATTTTTTAGTATTTAATTCAATAATTAAAAGAAAGATTAAAATCTATTTCAGAGAAATACTGATTGATCAAAATTTAAGATATAATTAATTGATGGTTTAAAATAGAAGAAATTATCTACAATATAGATATTTGTATTTTTTTTTTCATGCTTTTAATTTAAAAAAAGGCATATGTAATTAGGATTTTAACATTAATGTAAATTTTAAGAGTAATAATTATGATTTGCAAATATTAATTTAATTTAATTTAAACAATATATTAATTAAAAAAATCAGTAATTATTATTAATAGTAAGTAATGAGTTAGATTGATAAGTATTTGTTTGCTAATACAAGTAAAGTTTCAAGTAAAAAGGAAAATGAAAGCTATAAGCTTTCTAAGTCAAGCAATTAATCTCCTATTAATATGAGTAGAAAAACGTCTATAACTCCTACTAAAACTCGCGAAACTTCTCCTTTTTCAGTAATTAGAATATCATTCAATTAAAAATATATTTAACAAACATTTTTAATTAGAATAAATTTTACAACAGAACATATGAAAGAGATGAAATAAAACGATTAAGGGAAGAAAATGTAAAATAATTTTCTAAATTTTTTACATTTATTTATAATTTAATTAAATAATAGGAAATGAAACATATTAATGATCTCTCTTAAACCAAAAAATTGAGCCAAAATTCATACAGGATTCTATGTAAATAGCTTGAAGAGAAATTAGCTCTTGAGATATAAAAATTGGATATGCAGGAAACGAAAAAGCTAAGTTTTGAGCAAATAGGCAGACTTTTGACAGTATTTGAAGTATTTGATGCAATTTAATATAATGAATAATCAGAATGTAATATTTAAGTAAACAAAATTTGAATTTTTTAAAAGCATTATTATAAATTATTAAGTGATGAATTAAGAAATATTTTACAGTCAGGAAAGCCATATTGTTAGCAGAAGAGATGAAGAAGTAATATATTTAACTTATTTGTTTATTTTATTTATTTTGTATCATTTAAAGAATATAATTTATAGTTTAGCTTATTTTAAGAATAGCAATTTAAAAATTTTTTAAATTTAAATTTAATGAAAATATAGATGGAATTTCACGAATAAATTTGGATGATACTTAGCAACTATGAAAAAGATGGATAATATGTTTAAGCAGATTTTGTATTTGCTATTTTAAGATTGTTGTTTGACCCAGCATAGCTAAAAGTAGACTAACAAGAAACATTATTTACCCACTACATTTTAAAGTAGTTCCCTAATACAAACGACAAAAAATAGAAGTTTATAAAAGAGATTCAGGGTCAATAGTACATGCCTTGGAGTACTAAATAATTTATCCACAAATATCGTAAGTTGATTATGACAAGAGTTTCAAAAGTCTAATTAGGATAAATGAGAGAAAAAGCTCACTAAGAATTGCTAAACTCTACATAGTATTCTTATAAGCCTCAAATAAATGAAAAATCTAAAATTTTAGACGAGTTAAACAGGTCTAAGCTATAATTAGACCATTTATTATTTAGTAAAGGTAAAATTATTCAAATATAAATAAAAAATTATTTATTTTTTTTCATTCTATAAAAGACGGTGAAAACAAATAGAAAGGAACAAGCAGATCTCCAACACCAGACAGAATAGTTCTCCTACACTAAAAAAATGAAATAAAAAACAATAAAATAAAACAGCAATAAGAAATTATAAAATAAAATGTATATTTACAAAAATAATTAGAAACAAAATGTATTTATTTATTTTTTATAATTTTCAAGGAGTTAAAGTAGTGCACTTTTCACCCATAAACAAATCATAATAGTATTAATGCTAGCAGAGCACACTCTAAGTCTCCTAACCGCTCTTAGTCATAAAAATCATTTGACACAGAAAATACTGATAGAGTCTTTGAAAGATTATATTCTTAGAGAAGCATTTTACCAGATAAAAATGAAGTTGAATAGAGAAGAAAATAATTAGAAGAATAAAAAGAGCAAGAATAGCTCAGATAATGTACATTCTAACCATAGTTAACTACTTACTCTCCTAACAACAGAAGTAAAAGTCCTAATGGATTTGATAGAACAGTAGGAAGACTTCGTTTGGGACATTAAAAGCATGTTGAACACTAGCAAAAACTGGAATTGTAATTTCTTTATCTTAATTGTATATTTTTGAAAGCTAATAAATATATTAATTAAATAGCAAACCTGCTGGGGAAGGCTATGAGTAAAAGTAAAAATAAAAATTTAATCCTCCTGAAATGCTTGGGAGAAATGAAGCCAAATATAAACCTTTTATTGTACTAGACATAAATGTTAGACCTGGCAAGTAAAAAATAATTACTTCTGAAAACAAATTTTAATTTTTAAATTTAAAAAAGAAATGGTAGAATAGGTATCTGCGAAGGAGATAATCCAGTAACTTTAGCAAAAAATTTTTCTAAGGCTTATGACTTGGATTAAGATATGGAAGAAACTGTTTTGGAGATCATTTAGCAATAAATATAAAATTATTACAGTAAGAAGCAATTAAAATCAGTTAAATCCTCATCATAAATCTAGAATAGCCAATAAATATACTAAAATAAAACAACTTATACACAACGTGATGAAAATTATTACAATGATAATGATGACAGTAATTCTTAATATTATAGCTAAACTCATCACAGTTATGCTTCATATTCATGATCAAAAACACTTAAATAATTTTATTTACGTAAGTAAAACTGCATTCAATCAAAAAACTATTAAAAAACTAAATATGACTTCAATCAAATAACAGAAATATAAAATTGTATTAAACAAGAATCATTTCTGTAATCATAAATGAATATGAATTAATAAATAAATAAATAATAATTAATCAACTCTTCAAAAATCAGATAATAAAAAATATAAAATATATAACTAAACTAAATATTTTAACTAATAATATATTTCATAATTCTACTTTAATTCTAATTTATTAAATTTGTGTGCTTTAATCTATCCATTAATTATATTTCTCTAAATATTTCTTGCCAGCTGCCATCTTATATATAAAAATCATATTAATAAAATATCATATTTCTCTTCATTTAAAGAATGAAAATATACCACTTAAAAATATAGATACATTCATCATAGTTATACCTCCCACTCATGATGAAAGAACACTCAAAGTTTATTTTAAAAATTAAAGCAATTGAAGTACTGAATATGACTTCAAAGATAAATGATAAATTACAAAATTGTATTTAAAAGTAGCATTTCTGTAAAAATGAATAAAAAATAAGTGTATAAATAAATAAAATATAATTTATCAACTCTTAAAAATCAGATAATAAAAATATAAATAACTAAACTATAAATTTTAACTAATATATTTCATAATTCTACTTTAATTATAACTTATTAAATTTTTATGTTTTAATCTGCCCATTAGTTACATTTCTTAAAATAATATTTCTAGTTAACTACCAGCATAACTATACAAAAAAAAATCCAAAGAATTGAAATTATCTATTCCCCTTCATTTAGAGAGTAAAGCTTTAAATTCATCAAAAGATATTTTACCACTCTTATCATGATCTATTTCATGTATTAATCTTTCGATATCTATAGTCATATTAAATTCATCTCTTACAATTTATATCAATTTAGCAGTATCAACGTTTCCTGATTTGTCAACTGAACCTCCCATTGCAACAAAAGCTTCCACTGTTATTAATTTTTTAGAATAACACTAATGATAACTATATTTAAAACAATTAAATTTTACATGTATCATCGTTTTCTGATTCTTTTTCAAGCATTTTATAATATGCTATTGCTCTCATAAAGTCATTGAATTCTATTATCATAAATTTATTAAACTTTATATAAATACTTTTTTCAATACCTATATATCCTTTATTAGTTTTATCTACTTCACTTATCATTTTGTATAATTCCTCCTTAGTAGGTTTTTCACCTAGTTCTATATATATAAAATATCATCATTACATTTTAACATTTTTAAAAATTGTAATTAATAAATAGAAATTTTTTACAGATTTTTAGTTTAATCAATTAGCATTACCTTCTAATACTTTTTAAAGTTCTTCTACTTCTAAAGTTCCATATCCTAATTTATCATACGCATCAAATGATTCTTTGCAAGCTTTTTTTTCTTCTTCGCTTAAAATCTTTTCAGGATTTATTTTATCCATTTGTTTGATTTTTTTTGACTGTGCCTTGAAAATAAAAAGAATATTTACTTTGCGAAATTAATTATAAAATTTATCACCGCTAATTATTTTTCATACAATTACTGACTAAGAATAGTAGAAAAACTAATTGGTATTAATAATTTTAATTATTCTTAAGCAAAAAGAAAGAAAAAACGCTTTTTTATTGTAAAACATTCTTTTTTGAAGTATGAAATTTAGTCAAAGTTTATTTATATTTTAGGTGTATTGATAGATAAATAAGATAAGAGTAAATTTTTTGCTCATTAAAAGTAAAATTTGTGTATATCATATGTGAATTTAGTTAAATTAATTTATTAAACAGGAAAGATAAATAATATATAAGATTAAAATTTGATAAGCTTAAGTATAATCAAAGATTTTTGTCAATAACGATGTCGTATAAAAGCACTACTATTGCTGCATTTATGCCTATTAAAAGTAATGCAACGAACATCCATCTTATGAACCTTCCTTTTACTTTAAGGAAAGAAGTATAATTTTCGTAAAATCTAATATCATATACCATAAATTCTACAATAGAATCTTTAATTCTATCCTTAATATATTTCATAGTATCAAAATTAAATGAGAAGTTATTCATTTCTATGTAGCATATTTAAAAATAATATTAATATAATGTTTTTTTTTGTCAAAATTATTTTCAAGATAAAAACAATTAAGAATAAATATATTAAAAGTGTTTAATTCAGTCTAAATTAAAATTATAAATTAGAAATTACCTTCGACATTTAGTTTAAAATAGTACCAGCTCACATTCAATTATTCACACATTTCTTCACAATAAATCATTTTCAAAAAAGGATCAGGAATTTTAGATTCATTTTTAGAATGGATACTGTAATTTGATAAATAGATACAAAAAGTAACTAAAAACAATAAGAAAAGCAATACATTTAGTCCACTTGCAACCAAGAAAAATATAGCAATAATCCATCTTGAAGAAGGTTTTGTAAAGATTTTATTAAACCATCCAACTAAGAATGAATCTTTCAGTTTCTGCAAAGTAATTCCATCAATTTAATTTATTTCATTATTGTATTCATTTATCACTTTATTGTATCTTTCAATTGGGTTTTCGTAGTTCAATACCTTACTTTTAGTCAAAGAAGAGATGTTACTTTCTGCAATTGATTCAACACTTTACTTTAATTGCTGATTCTCAATATCACCTTTTGTGTAGTTTATTGAAGGAATATTCTCTGAAGAACTCTAACGATTCTTCTCAAGTAATGGCATAGTCGACATACTATCAGACATTCTGTATTTTTTATTTTACGTTTAACTATTTAATCCTTTATGAGGCTCTATAATTAGGTCTTTGAGTTTTCAGATCAAAATTCTTTTTTGCTTGTTTGATGATTAAAATTTCAGTTGATGAATTCTTTTATTTAATAAAAAAGATTAGCATCCTTATGTAATCTAAATCAAATTTTTTGCATAAAACTCAATTAAATAAAGAATTTATTTGTATTTTTTCATTCAATTATAAATGAAAATAGAAACCATTGACTTTATATTCTTATCTATTTCATGTATCATTCATTTACTATATTAATTATCAATCAGCCATTATATCTGTTCTCTGATTTATTCATTTATCAATCAATCCCCTTATAATTTTTGAATGTATTAGAATTTTTTTAAACTACAACATTTTTTATAATAAAAAGACAAATTTTAATGCATTTTTAACAAAAACTTTACATTAAAAATTCAAATTAAATAGAAAATCAAAAATTTTAAATATAAAAAAATCTTTTTCTTTAATAAATAGATTATTTCTTTTATTTTTATAATTTAAGATGAGTATTTTAAAAGTTTTATCCTCTTGTTTATTTTATAATTTATCATTTGTTACAAATATTAATAAGAGAAAATATCCATTATATATAGAATGCTAATTTAATTTATTAATCCATCTACATTAAAAACATATTTCGTCATACTTACTAATAAAATAAAATATCAGTCTTAATTTTGTTCTTAAATCTAATTTATTAATGCAAAGAATGAATATAATTTTACTTTATTGTTATTTTAATTGATTATCTTACAAAAAATCTTAGTGATTTTATTTGATAATTATAAATTAATCAAATTGGAAATATTACAAATTCTAACTTTTTATTTGATATTATTTAAGTTTAATTTTAACTCTTTTATTTTTTACTGAAATTTAAGAAGATAAAAATATAAAAATTAATAAAATAAATTTCTTTAATTAATTAATAAATTTAATTCTTTGATACATTTGAAGAGGCCAACTAAATAAAATCAAATTATATATTTATATTTACTATATATTATATTTTTATTAATCATACTTATTTTACTTTTTGTTTGTCTTACAAGATACCTTTTATAGCTTCACTGTTGCTTTATGTTTACTACTATCCTTTTTATGGAGAGTTATTTTATTATTATTACTTATCGAGTTATGTGATAGTTGCTTACTAAGATTTTTTTTCACCACTAATTTAGTTTGGCATTTGCTTAGAAATTAAAAAATTTTAGAGCAACTAGCCTTGTGATGATAAATTTTTTTTAGCAAGCAAATTATTAATTTTATTTTTTTCATTTCCATTATATTCCTTGTCAAAGTATTTAGCTTTAATTTTCTATTTATTTTGAAGCATAATAAATAATTTAACCTTTTAGCTTCCAGAAGAAGATCTTTTTACTTTAGTTATTTGATCTTGCTAATCTAGCTGAGATGAGTCTATAATAGTGTTACTTTCTATGTTTTTAGTTGAATCGTCTTATTTGGATTCTTAAGTATTTATTCTTGCAAATGAAGAGCTTTTTAACATTTTGACAGGACTCCTCTTTTCTCTTTTTTCCTTCTAAGAATGAATAGGTTGTGTAGAATTTAAATCATAAGATTAATATTTTCTTCTTTAAGGAGATGGCTGAGTTTCTAGCTTTTCTGATTACACTGAATTTCTAAAATTGACTGCACTTTGCTAAAACTTTGAAATACCAATGATTGTTTTTTAACCAAAATATTTTTTGTCAGGCTCTGTTAATTTAAAATATTAGCTTATCTTAGAGTTTTTAAAAAAGTTAATGCTTTTTTATATTTCTTCATTTTATTTTGCTATTTCATCACTGTTAATTTCGCTTTATTAGTATTTCTTTAAGATAGCACTAGTAAATGAAGAAGATGAAGTTTATGATTTAGCTTTAGAAGCTTCTCCTCCATTGCTTTCTTTTACTTCATCAGAAACTTCATTTTTTACTTTTTTAGTGTTTGGAGAGTTATCTTTTTTAATAGTATTATCAAAGCTATCAATCTACCCACTTGTAGTCAGCTTTTTGAATTTTCCTATCAGATAATTTTAAAGAGCTTCTTCTTAACAAATTTCATTCCTGTTTTTTTTGAAGTGAAAATTTAGTTTAGATTCTTGACTCTGAGGTCTTTAGATTGAGAGTCTTTATTGATTTTAAAAACCTAATGACTTAATTATTAACTTCTCATTCTCAATATCAATATCAGAAATAAATTTATTTAATAAGTCACTTTTAATACTCTCTTTTGAAAGACTATATTCTTCGATGCTTTCCAGGCTATCATTTTTAGAATTTTTTGAATCTCCTGAGACATCTGCATGATCCTTTTCAAGAATAGCATCAAATAAAAATAACTACTACGCTTCACTCATATATCTGATTAGAATTTTCAAAAAATAATTTTTTTCAAGCGTTTTAATAAAATACTTCTTTTTAGTACCTCCTTCAATATTTACTCTTCCTCTGACAATAACTTAATTCATTGCCTTTAATATTTCTAAATTAAATTCTGTTTATTATATTTCCCTGTTTTTTTCAAAAATTTTTTGAACAGAAGAGCTGTTACCCTTTTTATCTTTGGGAGTATTTTCATTAGTTTTATCTAAAAATATTGCATCCGAAAGCCTATCGAGATAAATTTTTTACTTAGATTCTTCTAAGTTTTATAATAATATCCTGTTCTCCTATTTACTTCTATGTCCTTGTAAAATGCTATCGTTCGAGCACTTTTTAGGTCTTTAAGTGAGGGATGTTGAATTAGGCTTACATTTAAAAAAATACATAATTAAAGAAATGGAAATAATTTAAATAAGTCATAGTAATAAAAAAACTAAATAAGTTAAAATTTTGTGATAAATATTTACTCAAAATTATTATTAATCTTAATTTGATTTCAGTAATCAAGATATGAGAAAAATTTCCAATTTCATCATTATAAAATTAAATTATTGTGTAATTATAAAGGATAAACTGTAATCATTAAATTACTCTAAATTGATTAAGCTATATATGGTTCATGTTCTATTGTGTGCTGAGAAGTCTATTTTGATTTAGAATAATTATATACATTTTTATTTGCTAGCTAAGCTATTGGGTTAATTGTATTATTTTACCTAGGAATAATTTGGTTGTTTTAACAAGAATCAAAAAGATCATCTTATTCTTATTCAAATAAATCCTCTTATGTTTTTGTTCTTTTCATAATATATGATGTATCAGGTCTAAAATCTTCTTTTGACCCATAAAAGCTAGCGGTTTTCATTCTAATATGGCTATTCAGCCTGTTTTTTTGTGATAACTTTAAAAAATTTGAATATTTTATGTAATCCTAGGTGTTTTTGTGGAAGTTTATTGACGATTCTGACTACTGTATTCTCTTAGTCATTTATGCATTTTATTTATCAATTTCATCAACCTTTTTAATTCTTTCTGAAATCGCTTGCATCATCTTTCGATGCTTAATGTCTTTTAATAATAAATTATAAATCATATATTTTTAAGTTTATGATTATTATTTTACCTTGCTAGAGTTCATTGTATACCGAGGAGTTTTTTTACTTCATCTAGAACAAAAATTTTAGCTATTAAAAGTACTATTTTGATATTTGATTATTAAAATATTCTTTTAATAAATTATGAATAATTATGATAGTGAAGAATATAAGATACTTATTTACAAGTATTATACCTCAATAATCTTAGTTTATTGAAGATTATACTTGAGTAATAATAATTTACTTATATTCGATTAAAATACTGCTGGATTTTCTTTACATATATGTCCGTCCTTAATATTTATTAAAAATGCAAAATAAATTAATTACATTTTTCACTATTAATTTATAAGCCTTAAAATTTAAAATGAAAAGAATATTTTAGTCGATCATATTGTATATATTGAAGTATTTTAGGTTTTAATATATAATTAATATAACTGCTCAATATTTGAAAAGAATGAATAATCTTCTAATTAAATTTGGTAAAATTAATTAAAAATTTCTTTTATTAAATATTTTAATTTGTTTCAATCAAATACAGTAAAACCATAAACAAATAATTAATTAAATCAATTTTTTAATATGATTAATGGTAAAAAATATAACATTTTTAATAATATTCCTTTTTATATAAAATGGATACATTTTTTAATTTCTAATTAATATTTATTTTTAGAGTTTTAGGATAGCTAAAAATAAATATTAAATCACAAAATAATGATTTATTGATTGATTGATGATAAAAGCCATCTCTATTATAAGTTTTATTAAATTATTTTCAAATTTAAAACACTTAATTTAATTAAGTTTTAAACTCTTGAAAAAATCATTGAAATCAAAAGAAGATCTAGAAAGAAAATAAAAATCTAAAAATTTGAATGAAAAATATATTTTTGAAAACAAAAAAATGAAAATTTTATACACAAAATTATTTTTTTAATCAATTTTGAACTTAATAACGACTCTGTATTTAATAAATAGTTTATTTAGGACTAACGTTTTGTAAATTGCTGTGTACTTAATTACCAACATTTGTTTAGCTTTGAGTATTATTCAAAAGATTAATAATCAGAGATGATTAGTATTCTTAAAAGAAGCTGTTATTGTTATTTTATGTTATATTTAATGGGTTGTTACTTTAATTTGCATTGTTTTATTAATTTACAAAGCTTTTATTACTTTATTAATTGATAAAACTTTAATTTAATTATTAATTGTTCAAACTTTAGTTATTTTAATTTAATTAATCTTAATTCTATTCATAGGATTGCTAGTTTTATTATTTATTTTCATCACTTTTAATAGATACGCCCTAATCTTTTAGGTTTGCCTGCAGATCTTTTGTTTCTAATGTAATTTGCTTCTAAAATGAATTCTTGTTCCAAGCCACACCATCACCATAAGGTCTTCCAGACTCCCCAAAAACTGGTAGCAGCCATAAAATAGGATTTTGGCCAAATACTTAATAAAAATTTTTCCTTTTTCCAAGATCATAGACATTTTAATTGCTCTCTACGTTGTCTAAAACAGATAGTTTATCTTTTTAGTTTCCATTATCTAGCTATTCTTTTATTTTTTCAAGCTATTCTATAGTAGTAACATTGCTTAGCATAAGCTTAATATGGAAATAAAAGAAATGGCCAATAACTGGACAAAAAACACAAAGGCAGACGAAACTAAGTAACTTTACTATAAAATTTGATTGAAAGAAGCTGCTTTCATTTACATAAATTTCTATTACTTGCTCAATTAAGGGTTGCACCATAGTTAAAAAACAGAATAAGCTTATGATGCAAATATAAAGCAACATAAGCATAAAAAATTTTCTATTATTGAAGCCTACACAATTGTTAATCCATGGGCAATGATGATCCATATTCAATACACATCTAACACATGTACTGCAGTGATGACACCTTAGAAAATAATTTGAATAAATTAAATTAGTAAATTTGAAAATTTAAACAAATCTAATTTTAATTTATTATATGTTTTAACAATTATTAACGGATTCTAAAAAATAAAACATCAAATTTTATAGAAACGTCTTAAACATGATAATTAAAAAAATGAACAAACATACCTTTCTGGCTTAAATACATGGCAAATTAAGCAATATCTTCTTTTTTTAGATTCAGGATCATCTAAAAATAGACCCCAATAAACAGGAACTCTTCCAGGATCAGTGATTACAGATCTTATAAACGACCACATCATTAAAAAGAAAGAAATATGAAAAAATATCAGCTTAAAAGAAACAGAATTGACCCTCTTGTAATACTACTCTTATAAGTAATGAAACACATATGCGTAGTAAATAAAGAAGATAAATGCTAAAGCCATAAGAGTGAATCTGAAGCCTAGAATATTCATTTACTTTGATGAGCGAAGCATTTTTATATCTTGTTTTGCAAAAAAGAGATTTGTATTAATTAATTAAATGATATTTTTTTAGTTCTTATTAATTTAGTAGAAATATTTTGTTTATTCTACTTTGGCAGTTTAATTTTAAATAATAAAAGGCGAAATTGCTTGTCTGCTTATAGTTATTATATTTTTAGATAGCTAATTAATTATTTAATTAATTGAGTTATTCTTTGTTTAACGATTGTAGTATTAAAAGCAGTTTTAAAAATAAAACATATTTAAAATTAAAAATAGTTAATTATTTTATTATACACACATACAATATTGTTTACAATAATTTTTTTTATTATAATTTATTTGTTTATTTTTTATTCGTTTATATCAGAAACTTTTTTTAAGTAAAATTCTTTCTCCTTGCTCTTCGTATTCCTTTTTTATTTAAATCAAATAAAAATTACATATCAAAAATTAGTTATTAATATTTCTTACTGCTTTAGTAATCCACATATTCTTAAATGATGCTAAATTACTTAAAATAGAACCACCAATCCAACACAAGTCTTCTCTGTTTTCTGGAGAATAAGCTCTAAGCTTTATTTTCAAAAATATAAGTTTTAATAAAAATTATTTATATTATTTAAAAACATTTTTAATGATGCAAAATTGGAAAGTTTTTCATTTACTTTTTCTAGATTTTAATTATTTTTAAATTTAATATTTAATTACCTTTTGGGCTTTAGGAATACTCTTTTTAACTTCATTTACAAATCTATTGGGGAAATCTTTAAGCTTTGTGCAACCACCTGAAATAACTAATTCCTAATAGAGAGTGTTTCTCAAATCAATATCAACTTTTTAAATAGATCTGATGAGTAGTTCAGAAATTGCTTGTTTTAACAAAGTTAAATTAATGATTTCTTTATTTAGTATTAATTTTTACAAGGATATTCTAAACCAATTATGGAAGGGTTGAAAAGTATTTCAGCAGCTCTTGATTTTTCGAAAGTAAGAGAAATTTAGTTTCCATCAGGGAGACTAACTTAATCAGTGATTTTTCTTTCTTCAAATATTTTATCATCAGTTTAGCTAACTAAACTTACGAAGCATTTCTTTTCTTTAATTTTTTTAATGATTTCCATCTCAGCCTAGTGTTTAATTGCAAAATTTATCATTAAATACAATAAAAATAAAATATTTATATTGATTACTGAGGTATGGAAAAAGTAGCCTGAACGACGGAGCAACAAATTAAGGTGTTCAGTTATATCGCGGCCACCTAAATCTATTCTTTGTTATGCATATTAAAGGGAATAACCATCAAAAACGGGAACTATTTAACTCACACCATCTCCTATTTCAACTACAACACCAGTAGTTTTTCCACTTGCAAATCTATTTATTTAGAAAATTATTTAATAGTATCTTTTAAGCTTTTAAGAGTGTAGAATTACAAAGAAAGGACACCCTAAACAGCAATAAATAAAGCAGGAGCATTAAAATTTTCGAAGAATTATTGAGCTACTCTAAATTTATGATTGATTGGGTTTATAGCAGGCTCAGTGAGAAGAACAGGATACTAGTTTGATTAGTTTAAAAAATTATAAATTCATTTATCACAGAAAACGGACAAATTTTAAAATTTAAATTGGATTTAAATGAATTTTAAAGCTACCTCTTTTGCTGATACTTTTAGTTCAGAGTAGCAGTATTTCCATATAAGATCCATATCATTCCAATTTTAAATGATACCATGGTTGATTGGATACTGCAATTTAAGTAACCCACGTTATTCATCACTAATATTACCTAAATAATAATCTGATTGAGTGTTAGTTGGCAATACCATTTTATACTTGGGTCTACCAATGCTATTATAATTTAAAATAATATTCTTAAGGTCTTAAATATTTTATTTTTATTTTTGTAAAATCTCTTAAAAATTGAAGACTAATTTTAAATGAATTTGTAATTGATCATAATTACTATGAATCAAATTAAAGTTTAGCTTTATCTTCTCCTGCGATACCAGCTCTAATAATGCCAGAACCCTAAATTTATTATAGAATATTATTTTCATCTTAAATATGATAAATTATTCTATATTTTTGTTTACATTATCAATAACAACAGGGTTTTTAGTCAAAAAATCGCCAAATGTATCCATTTTTCTACTTAAACAAACTTTTTTATATACTAATTTCTGAACAAAATTTTTATTAATAAATACTAATATAATATCTTAGATAAATTTTCTTTTTTTATTTAATTCAAACTTTTTTATTTAAATATATTAATACAATTAACTAATTATTCATTTAGAGTTTCGATTCCTCAAGAACTCATTTTTTATTTTGCTCGTTTGTTTGCTGAATTATTAGGATTTGACTATCTCTTTTAAAATATTTTCTTTAATATTAATTTATTTTATTTCTTTAAAAGAATGAATAATTTTATCAAAAATATCAAAATTACTTAAGAAAAAGGATATGTTAAGTATTTGTGCGAATTATTAAAAACTTTCTGAAAAGAGAAAAAATGAAATAAAATATTCTTTTTTTATTAATAAATAAAAGGAAAATTTTTTATTCTTAAATATAATTAAAAAAATAATTTTTATTTTCTCATTCTTTTATTTTTTAAACAAATAATTTAATTTTTATTAATTAAAGAATAAAATTTTATTTAAAAACTTTTAATATTTTTTGTGAGTTCTCAAGTAATAAATGAATATTAAAAGAAATTTAGATTATTTTGTAAATAATAAAATTTTTTAAATTTTAAATAATGAAATAAAAAAAATAAAATGTTCTTTTTTTATTAAAAAGTAAAAGGAAAGTAAGTATATTTTTTATTCCCTAATGATTCTATGGAAAAAAAATTGAACAAAATATTTTTATTTTCTTTTGGTTTTAAATAAATATATTTTTATATCTAAATGATTCTATAAAGAAATAACTCAAGCAAATAATTTTTATTTTCTCTTTGTTTTATTTCTGAAATAAACATTTTATGATTTTAATTACAAAAAAATATGGCGTTTAAAAACTATTTACATTTTTATACACTCCAAAAAAATAAATAAATATTAAAAGACATTTAGATTATTACATAAATGATAATAATAATTGTTAATATGTTTATAAATGAAAATTTATTACTGTTTTTTAATATTTGTAAACTTTTGTTAAAGTAGATTCTTTTATTTGTGTTACTTGAATAAAGAAATAAAAAATTAGGTAAATATTAAACACAAAATAATTATTAAAATAACTACTTTTATTTTCATTGCAATTTAACACCTTATGAGCGATATAAATCAATAAACAAATTTAAAATGTGAAAACCAAGATTTAGGGAGTAGTATTTAGTATAGATATGATGATGAAATGTTGCCAGTAATTTACTTCTACAATTATCTTACTTAAATTAAAATATATTCATAAATATTAATTAGGAATAAGAATTAGAATTGAGGAATTTGTACTTTGAAGAAGCACTCAAATAAATATAAAATTAGAAAAGCTAAAAAGTAAGCAATAAGTTATTTAATTCTAAATCTTTTAGCACTTATGTATTTTATTTGAATATCATATTATATTTGTTTTTAGTAAGCAAAGCAGATTTGTGGAGATGTAGTAGAATCAGTATGTAGGCGAATCTATAAAAGTTCTATAGCTTTTGGAAAAGATGTAAAGAAATATATAAATAAATAAATTCTTTTGGTATTTATGAAAATAAAATAAAATTTATAAATTAGCATAATGATATTATATTAGATTAATCTTAATCTATTTACATTCATCCTAATGAGAAAATCGAAAATAATATCTAGAAGCAAAAATTGAAAGAATAGCTAAGGGTTAAGTAGGTTTTAATGGAAAAAATTTAATTTGTAGATCAGGATATAAATAGAATTATATCTGATATTGAAACACCAAAATTAAGTAAAATATTTTATAATAGATGGCGATAATATTTTATGATCAATTTTGATTAAGGAAATAATAAAAAATAAGTAAAGGAATTAACTGAAGAAGAAAAGAAAGAAAAAATGGAGTTTCTAAAATTAAAAATAAAGGAAAGAAACGAAAGAGAAAAGTAGAGGTAGAAGAGATATTAAGAAGAGGAGGAGTTGATTTTGCTTGAAGAGCAATAAAAAAAGTAATAAGAGGAAAATGAAAAAAAATAAAGAGGAACTATAAAGAGAAAAGAGATTTAAGAAAGATTAGAGCATCTAAAAATATAATCATTAGAACGTGAAGAAAAATTTAAATAGGAAAATGAATTGATTAAAAAAGTAAAATCTGAGCTACCTCTATATGAAAAGCTTTAAAAAAAAGCTTCATTAATAGAGATCGAAAATTTATAGGAGAAGAAAAAAAGGCTTGCAGAAATAAGAGATTTCCATAAACCTATTAACCCAGATGAATTAAAAGAACATGAGAAAAGATTTTATGAAAATTTAAGAGCTTTGTCTGAAAAGTCTCAATCTCAAAAGATAAAAACTAATAATGATTATAAAGTTTCATACATTAGTGGAGTTTATAAAAAGATTAAAGAAGAAAGAAAACAGTATTTAGAAATACTCAAACACCCAGAAGAATTAGAAAAAAATAAAGGACCTAATTTATTAGAAAGGATACAAGAATATTCAAAAACAAGCATTAAAAAACCTAAGATTGATCTTTCAAAGCAGTAAGAAATGAATTAGCTTGTAGAAAGTTTAAAGCACAAGCCTAACTATAAGTGGTTCGTTGAAAAAAAGAGAGACAAATCTACATCAGTTCCATCTAATAAAACTGAGGCAATAGAATAAGAAAATTCTTAATCAAAGACATAAAATTTAAGCGATATATCTCCTAGAAAGCTAGGAAAAGATTATTTAAGTAAGCTAAAAGAGAGAAGACTTAGAAATGTATCAGATATAAGTCACAAGTAGGGGGCTGATAATCTAGAAAACGATAATCCATATTAGTAGAAATTTAAAACATCTATGACCTCAAAAGAAAAAAAAATATCATAAATGTAATCTCATTAGAAAAAAGAAAATCCTTTTTAGAATTAATCATACACAAATTCTACTTTTGCAACCTCAAAAATTGATTATCTAAAAGAGTTAAAAGTTATAAATAAAGATGCAAAATAAATATCAGAAGTACAAAGAATCATACAAAACAACACATTAAATAGAGAATAAAAAGCTCAGTAACTTTTACTGCATGCTGAAAAGCTTGAAAAATAGGCTATTAGGAAAGAAAAGTTATTAAGAGCATAAGGAAATAATATCTCTGATTTAAATGTCGAATCTAGCTTAGATAATTAAATTGTAGACACTTACATTAATGCTATAAGAACAAAATTTGCTCTTTTAGAAAATCCTTCTTGATTATAAAGAATTAACTAATTTATTTAACAAATTTTGTTTGTTGTATAAATTAAAATTAAATTTTTAAAGCATTAACTAATTATTATAAACTTAAATGAAATTATTTAATTAGATTTTTTTTATTTTTAAGATCAATTGTTAAAAGGGTAAATAATATTTATTTTAAGTCATTTAAAAAAAACCAAAACAGAATTATTATTTTTGAATCATCTAAAAATTAAAAAATAATCAGTAATGAATTTTGTTGTTTGTTTTTAATACTTTATGAGTATTTTTAAATAAATAAATATTTTATTTTTAAACAATAATTTATTCTTTCAGATTAGATTTAGGAATTTAATAACAAATATATATATTTTATATTTGATAGCAATTTTAAAAAAATAAATTATTATTTTAATTCGAATAAAAAATTAATATTAAAAAATAATCAGTAATGAATTTTGTTGTTTGTTTTTAATACTTTATGAGTATTTTTAAATAAATATTTTATTTTAAAAAAATAATTTATTATTTCAGATTAGATTTAGGAATTTAATAACAAATATATATATTTTATATTTGATAGCAATTTTTAAAAAAATAAATTATTATTTTAATTCCAATAAAAAATTATTCATATATATCTAGTTATGTTTAACAATATTGAGATAACTCTTTTAAAAACTAATAATTAATTAAATTTTAGCTAATTTATTGATTTTAATTTAATATTTTTTTAATCTAATGATATAATTATTTTTATTAAGAATAAATTCAAATATTTATTTTACTTTAAAATATTTTAGATGAAATATACATTAAAATAAATTATGAAGTAAGCTTACAAATATTTCATTTTTAGTTATTATTTTAATTATTTTCACTAAACTATCTTTTAATTTCTGTAATATCATTTTCTACTTTTTCTGGAAATCCTTTAAGCATAGTTGACATATCAAGCAAACCCTTTCCAGCAGCAAACACCAAATTTTTTATATTATGAATGCTCTATCCTGCTGTAAGAACTTCATCTATTCTTCTATCCAAGAATTTCCATGTCTCTGAAAAATCTTTAGATTTGTCAGTAAGCATGAATAATTCTGTAGAGGCATAAACACCCAATAAAAGAGTTCTTTTAGTATAATAATTGTAATCATAAGATCTATCTCCTGATAAAAACCAAATATCATCTGCTATTTTCCATAAATTACTTGTTGTAGTAGAAACATTTTTTGGTAAAACACCAAGAGCCATAGCTTCATTCCATGTATTTATGTAAGGAATTTACTACATTAATCTAAATTTAATACCTAAATAAATTCTGTCTCTAACTTTCATAGCTTCTAAGTCTGTTTCACGCAATTAAATTAAAGTTTTTCTATTCCATTCTCTCATCATATAATCTACTAAATCATAAGCTCCATTTTGTAAAATCCCATGAGATGCGCTGCTTAAGTTCAAATCATTACAACCAGCTTAAATAGCTTTTTAATTCCAACCAAATTTATTAACATGAAGTAAAGAAGCTTTAATCATAGCTTATTTTAAATCTTCATGAGAACTTTGTTAAGCTTTCATTTAACAAAATCCTCTCCTTAAAACTCTACTTAACATCTTATTTAAAAATTGAAAGACTTTTTTAAATTTTGAAAAATTCTAATTTTTAAGACAAATAAATATCTTTGGAATAATTAAAATTTATATTTACCAAACAATTAATTTAATTATATTGTTTACTTGATCTAATAATATTTTTATTACTTTCAAAACTTTTTGCTAGAAAGCACTGTTATTTTTGATAACTTTTCGAGAACCATCTATTTAATCTAATACAATTTAAAATTTACACATATATATTTTAGTTTATGTAATTTGTTTTGTTTACCTTATTTTTTTTAAGAAGGTTTACAGATATGGTCATTTATGGAGGTATTAATTCTTTATTTTATCAACAAAATTTTTATTTTAAACAAGACATCTTCATAATATTTGGTAGAGCTAAATCAAACAACTGATTTAAAATTTGAATCGTAGTTGATTATAAATTTAGAAATCAAATCTAAAATTTGTTTCTCTTTTTTTTTAATAATTAATTCATTTATTCAATATAGTCTGTTTGTTTTATTACATAAATAATTTCTTACTTATTTTATAATTTAAAGATAATCTTAAAATATTTCCCTACATAACAAAGAGTAAATTAAATATAATATTTATTTGACTAAATTTTCAAACTCTGAAAAAGTTTGAATTAAGAATAAGTGATATTTTGAGTATTAATTTAATTACTAACTTTGTTAAAATTAATTAATTTATTTATTTTATGATTATTGGATATTTAAATAAGCTAAATAAAATAATTTGGTTATTGCTTTTCAAAAAGTAAGTGATTAAAATATTTATTAAATTAAAATATCTTTAAATTGCTATATACAAAAATTTTTATTTCAGTGATTTTATATATGAAAATAAGTATCAATTTAATTAAGGTTAAGGTAATAATTATTTATAAATAAATAATTTAATCTTAGCCATTATTTTTTCAAATCTAAAGAGTAAAAATAGCCAAAAAGAATTATTGAATTCGAATTTTTCTATTTCATTAAAGCAATAGTCAAGCTGTTATTCATAAAAATGTTTTATTTTAAATTATTATGATTAAAAATCAATAAATTACTGTTATTTCAAAGGTATTTACTGGGCTTCCTAATTTGTTGTCTATAGTCCTTAAGAAATCAGTTGTTTTTAATAAGAGTAGCAGAGATCTTTTTAAATAAAAATTATTTTTAACTTGTTTATAGATTCAACTTTACCTGTTCATTTGGTGTAATATTTAAATAATCTATCTATGGTATTTGGCTGCATTTATTGCTATTTTATCTCTTTCTTCTTAGTTTTAAGGACTTCTTAAACGCTCTTTTACAGATTTTTTATCATCCATCAAATCTTCGTATGTTCTGCTAGTAATCATAGAGGCAAAGAGAGGGTATTAATCTTCTTTAACACCTAACTCGATTGAAGACTTTTAGATAAGTTCTTCGTTTTGAGTTATTATACCTTTCCAAAGTTTGCTATAACTCAATCTAAACTATGGAGATAGATTTTTATATAACCCATGATCCAAAAGAACAACTTGGTCTATGGTTTTGTGAGGGTTTTTAGGATCTTTTACTTTCCTTAATAAAAGATTTCCTTAATGAGGATCGCTATGAACAAATCCATTTTAAAATATCATTTAAGAAAATGTATCACTTATTGTATAGGCAATTTTTTTCATGTCAAATTTTTCTCTCTTCAGAGTTGGCACATCCATAATTGGGAATCCATCAATAAATTCCATAGTAATTATTTTACTATTGCAAAGGCCAAAGTGGTTTATAGGAACATAAATGTTAGGTTTATCTTTCAATATTTATCTGGCTCTCTCACTGTTTTTAACTTCATCCAAGAAGTTTAATTCTTGAGGTAGAATTTAATCTATTTTAATTAAAATATTAATCAGTTTAACTAGAATTTACAATATACCAATTGGATAATTATAAGAAAGAAATGTCCAGCTTTTCATTTGAAATATAAAGAAATGTTTTATTTATATAATAAAAATACTTAATTCTTCTGAAAACCACTTGAATTTAAATTCTGGAAATAATAATTCTCCTATATCAACAAATAGACCTATTACTTTTAAATCTCCTTTACTAGATTCTTACAACCAGTCATGCATCACCTTAACAGCAACTCTCTCACCTGTTTCTTTTAAAACGGCCTCATGAACTTAAGCAATAGATGCCGATTTTAGTGGCTTTGGATTAAACTCTATAAATAAAATAACATTGAATATTTCTATTCGATATATTTTTAGCTTTTACCTGAAAATACCTCATCTATTGGTTTTCTTAATGAGCTTTCTATTGAATGTTTTACATTTTAAAAACTATTTTCTGGACACTCATGACACAATGGTTCAAAATTTCTTCTATATTCTTCTGGTACAACAACATCGAGCTTTTTAATTATAAATAATTAAATGGAAAAAAAATATTTTATCATATCTCTCTTGCAAAAGATAAAATTACTGATGATAGTAATTATGCAAATTTTAAGTATAGTCCAGCATTTTTTACAAAAGCATCTTTTAAAATCAATGAGGCTTCATTGTGTTTTGTCTCGATGCTTCGATTATCATCCTAGCAAATAAATAAAATTATTTTAACTTAATATTTTGATGATATTCATACTTTCATATATATATTTGCCATTCTTGCTCCTGCTATAGCTACTCTACCTGTACGTATTAAAGCTTTAATCATTTAACTTTAATTATGTCTTAATTCTGGAAAATAATAAAAGCCTGCACCATAAACTAATGCGAAAGGAGAGATTAGTGCAGTACCTAAAATTTTAAACTTATTTCTCCTAATAAAATTCATGCTTGACTTTAAAAAAGTTTGATTTAAAGGAATTGATATCAGTCTTAATATATCTTTATTAATATTGTATTGTATACTATTAATTAAATGAAATTAAGTTAAAAATAAATTTTTTGTATTATCAAAATCTAAAGATATCGATTAGAAATATATTGATTGATTGGATATTGTTCATATTTTTAATTTCTAGAATTCCTTATGAATTTTCTATCTAAAAGAAATTACATTAATACATTTTGATATATGTAAATTAAGTTTATTAAAAATATCTGCAATAAAGTTGTTTAATCCTATTTAATTAAGTAAAAATAAATTTTGTCAATTACATTTATTAAAAATACTAATAAATAAAAGCTTATTTAATCCTAGATAATTAAGATAAAATAAATTTTATAAATTATATTTATTAAAAATACTTTTATATTGAAGACCTTTTAATTCTGGTAATTAAAATAAAACAAATTTATTAAATTATTAAAATTTTTTCATTGGACTTTTTAGAAATTATTAAATAAAAAAATGATAATAATTAATATTGTTAATTATCATCTTTTATTAAAATCTTGAATAAAAATATTTTTAATCAATTTCTTTTTACTAAAATATCTCAAAAAGTCAGAAATCAGATATTATACTTTCTCTTACTATTAAATTAAGTTTTTAATTTTATATTTAATTTGAAAGAATAAATTTATAAAGTAAACACTTATGACGTAAAATTTGTTGATTTTTAATGAGTTCAGTCAGTGATGCTGCATATATAAAATAAGTAAATAAAACAAATAACAAAAAAATTTGCAGATTTTAAAAATGAAAACATAGCTTAACCAATATATAAAGTAGTAATCTTTGAATTTAATAAATTGAATGAAGGTTATTATTTTTTGAGATAGTCATGAAGGAAAAATTATATATTGAAGAATTAAAAAATGTATAAAATAAATATTTTAAATTATTCTAAGCTTATAGTAGTGATAGAGAGGAGAAGTAAATACATCCTAGAAATAATTCTATGAACGCATATACAAATTAAGGTTCTATCTAAAAATTTTAAGAAAAAAAGCATTTTGAAGGTGTTAGCATAGAGAAGAGTTATTAACTATTAATTAAAAAAGAAATCAATTTAAATTAAATAAATTGAAAATAATAAAAAAATATAATTTAAGGTCCATATAAATATTAAATAAATAATAAACAGAAAGTAGAAAACTCACTTTCTAAATTTCTTAGTAAATTTATAAATAAATCAACCAAATAGCAAAAATTAGATAGATAAAATGATTCAAGAATAAGTTTAAGTAAACCAGGAACAAGCTCCTTAAGAAAATTAACAACAGTAATAGAAAAAAGACCTAATAGAGAAACTATCAAAAAATTGCTCCGATATAGTTAAAAATATTAACATGAACAGTGCTTACTTTAACATATTTCTAATTTTAGTACTCTTAATTTAAGCAGCAGATCTTTCATATATTGTTGTATTATGTTTTCTATGGGTATTCGATATATAGGAGTTTTAGAATTAAATTAAGTATTATAGATCTATTCAGCATATAGATAACGCTTTTGAGGCATAGTAATTTTAGTTACATTACTTCACTTTGAAATTAAAAAATCATTTTACTATAAATCTACTACAATTTCTATGATTTTCATGCTCTAATTTTTAACTTAAAATAGCAAATAGAGAATAAAGAGATAAATTAAAATAGAAATATTGGACTGCATAGTTGGGTTTCTATTTAAATTAAGCATATTGCTCTATTTTTAAGGTTATATTAGCTCCCTCTCATAGCCTTCGATTGCAGCAATTGGATATTATTTCTTGAGAGTAGTTTTTAATCTACTTTGTAGATCCTACAAAAAGGAGGATTTTGATGCAGAAGTAGAGCTAAGTGATGGTTATTAATTGATTCAAGCTGAAAAACAATCTAACTCATTCTATTTTATTATTGTAATGCAAAAAAATTATTTTTCAAAATACTTTCCTTTATTTATCACATGTCATTCATACATTTTTACTAATTTATTAAGTTATTAAGCAAAGAATTAAGTTCTTTACAATAACAAAACGAATTAAAAACTATTAACAAAATTATCAATGGTTTTTTTACTCAAAAATTTTAAATAAACTGAACTAACAAATATTAATTTCCCTAAACAGAATTACTGGATTTTTCGCGTTTACATCATCTCATAGGCAATTTTCTTTAGCTTGAAATTAGAAAATTATATTGACTGGAGTTGGAGTGAAGTATTTTGGATTTATTGGGTATTTTTTTGCATCATAATTGGTATTACCTTGATTATTTTTCTATTACTTGTGGTAAAAATATGCGATTTTTGTGGAGGAGCAAAAACTGAATTGATAGAAAGTAATTTAAATTTATTTTTATTAAATCATAAAAAACTACAACTTTTAAATGGCAATTTGCATCGATGAAAAAAGCCAACTTTCAAGAAAGAAAAAAAAGTATCAACGAATTATATAAAAGAAATATTTTAATAAAATTTACACTGATATTTCATCTTTCTTGCTTGTAGACCTTTTCCCCAATAAAAATTACTATTCTATTTGATTTATCTATCTAACTAATTAATTGTCAAATAAATAAAAAAGTACAAGGGCTATTTTGGTTTTTCTTGATTATGGGATTTATTTCAGCTAATTCGAGCTATTCCGTTTTAACTTACACTGATGTTTTAACTGATTTAGACCGTGCAAATAATACTATTGGTAAAACTACAGAGCAAATGTATGAAGATCAATTAAATCTAAAAAATACTTAGAAGAGTTTAGTACCAATTATTTTTCAAGTTGTTGGGGGATTTTGTGGATAAATCTTATACTTTTTACTACTTAGACACCAAATTTCGTAATTTATAATAAAATTTTTTTTTATATTATTCTCTATTTGTATTTTTTAAATTAATTCATATTTTACATTAAATTTAATTTAACTTATTAAAGAGCTTTCGTGAGATTAATAATGTTTGAGTATGGAGATTAGTAAGAAGAAGAAGATTTGGAGCATTAGCATTAATAAGAAGTAAACGAATAATAAAATTAAGCTAACAATATCAGAGATTAAAGAGCTCCTCCTAAAAAAGTGAGGATGGCATGTAATTTTGATAATATTTTTATTCATTTTTATTAAAAAAAGGTTTTTATATTTTTGTATTAATTTTATTAAGTTTAATTAAGCAAGCTATTTTTATTTAATAAAATGAAAATTACAATTACTAAAGATTCTTAAAATATTTAATTCAGATAAGTCCAAATTAGTGCTAGAAGAAAAAGAGGTAGCTCCTACGATGAATTTACCTCAGTTTGTTTCAAAAGTTTCTTCTACTTATTTTAAGTTCTTAATGAATAAAAAAGATGCCTAGAATGAAATTAAGTAGAAATAAAAGTCTAAACCAAAAAAATAAAAACCTTAGTAGGTTTAAGTTAACTCTCCTTAGAATGCAACTGACGAGAGAAGCATGAAAGGAAAAAGCTATTCGAAAAGAAGTACAAAAATAATTAAATCAAATTGATTTAGAATTATAATAATATTAATGTTTTTTTTTGAATCAAGGTTTAAATAGAAGTGCTACAGCAACTGTAACTATTAATACACAAGGTAATGTCAACACATAGGCTGATATGCTACATTCTTCTAGATTAAATACATAAGACAAATAATTTGCTGAGAATGATTTCGAAGATGTTTTCAAAGAAGGAAGTTCTGGAAGTCAAGACAAAAAGGATTTAAGAGGAGAAAACAATTTAAAAAAGAATAAAAAGGCCCTTATTAAATAAAAGTTTAATGAAATTCCTAATTTTATATCTCCAAAAGAAAAAAATTCAATAAAAATTTAGCTCTAATAAAATGCTTTTGATAATAATTAAGATGATGATTAGCATGAACCAAATTAAAATCAAAGAAGATAAATCAGTATGGCAAATCCTAATAATCATATGAATGCAATATCAATTGGTAAAGGGCAAAAAGATCTAAATATGACTGCTCCCTTTGTTGTTCATGGTGCACATGATCATATTAAAGAGGAAGAAGATGAACATGAAAGCTATTTCTAAGATAGAAAAAATAATTAAGAGATGCACAATAAAGAAGGGATCAGTCAAAATGAATGTGTTATCCAGTTTGATGAAGAAAGCTAGGTGCAAACAAAAAATGGTTTGGATTCATCAAGAATTTAAAGTTAATAACAATCTGTTTCTACATGTTTGGTATGCTTTGATGCTACCCCTGATTCTATTTTCAATCCATGTGGCCATGGAGGTAAATTCAATATTTGCAGAAATTAATTTATCTATGAAACAAATTTTTAGTAGAATTGTGCGAATATTTGGCTTTTAAAATATTAACATCTATTGATACAAATTTTAATTTTTTTTTGGGTAAATAAAATCTAAATTTTCTATTTATTGATCCTCAAAATTCTGAAATTAAAATATTTTTGTGTATTTATATTAAAATATAAAAAATAAAACAACTCTTATTTTTAGTTATTTTTATTTTACGATTATTTTACACAATAAAAAATGTATTTAAATATCTAGGTTTGTGTTACGAATGTGCCATAGATTTAATGAAAAAAACTGGTGAGTGTTATCTCTGTAGACAAGTAAAAATTTATTTTAGTTTTTCATGATGATGATAATTTTAATTTCTCCATTAATAAAAAGAAAATTGAGGAAATATTGAAGATTGATATAGAAAGCAGAAATCAAGGAATAATGAAAATAATTACAACAACAAAATTAGTAAAAGTTAGAGAAAAGATAGAAATAAGTGAATAAGAATACCAGTATTATTCTGCTTTAAGAAGGAATCGTAGATAATAGCAACAGTAATAAGGTATCCCTGAATAGCAATCTTCGAATGGCCAAAACTAAATTTAACATCCATAAAATTAATAAATCTAATAATAATTGTAATAAGCTATTTAACAAAGAGAGTAATAATATTAATCTAATGATCATTAGCATTAAAATATAAATTAGATCTTGAGTTAAGAAAATATGGATGTTAATAATTAATGTTAAATCTAACAAAATCTAGTAAATTAAAATGAAGACAATGTAGATTGAAACATTAAAGAATTTGTTTCAATTACTGATAAGCAATGATTGAGGTCAAAAGAAAATATAACTATTTTAATTAAAACACATTTTAACTATTCTATAAAGACACATAAATATTACTTTTATAACAAAAAAGTTAAAAATAAACTTTTTCAAAAAATCATCGAATATGAAAAAATTTTTATGCAATTAAAAGAGAAAGTGTTTTGAAAAATTATTTTATCTATCCTAATAGATAGTTAAATAAGGTATTAAAAAACGCATTTAGTAATTTTATAACTTACATAATAATATTTGTTTGATGATTTAATTTTAAATCATTGTAGTTACTTTCAATTATTGTTTGTTGTAATTTTACTTGATTAGATTATTTTTTACAAATCCACAAAAAAATGAAAATTAAGTTAAATTAATTTTAGTTAATTCATATTTTACATTCAAATTAATTTTAAATTTGATAAGAGCCTAAATTTAATTTTGATAAAAACTCAAAAGATTTAAATTTTTTAAATTATTTATTTTAATAACTTATTTATATTTATAAATTAATAAATGAATTTAGTAATTTTATTTATGCTTTAAATGCATGGTTTAGCAATAAATAATACAAATTTTCATATTATTTAATGTTTTTTTTGTTGTTGTTGTTGTTTAAAATTGTTTTGCTAGTTTTGTTTAAAAATTTTTTAAAATGAGAAGAATAGAGAGTTTTGCTTTTAAAAATTATAAAAAAAATAAATTTTATCAAGCTTTTAAAAAAATGAATTAGAGTTGAGTTGAAATTTTTAAATTTGAACTGAAAATATAAGTCATATAATTAGTAAGTAACATAAATTATATTGTGCAATTGTTTATTATAATATAATTATAATTATAAATCCAAATCTTAGTCCAAAGAGCAAAACCTTTAAATTTTAAATTTGCTTTATTAGTTTTTATATTTATTTATTTATTTATTTATTGATTGATTGAATTTTTATTAGGATAATAATTGTATAACAAATTTCATTTTTCTTAGTATCTCTCCATCACGTTAGTAGTATAAATCTAATCTATTAAATCATTTACAGTTAAATTTTTATAATCTAATACGTATTGGAGATAGATATTTGGGTTTTCTTAAGTTAATGAAGCTATTTGTTTAGCTTTATTTACTATTTCTTCAGGATAGTCTTTATGAAGATTTTGTATTATTTCTTAATTAAGCTGCAAGGCTTAATTTTCTTTCTCCTTCAGAATCTTTTTAATATTTTCTTCTTCTAGCTATTTTTCTTTACGGATTTTCTCTTATTATTATTTCAAGCGCTCTTCAACTACACAATCATCTTCGTACCTAGAATCCTTCTTCACCATTACCAATTTACTAGAATCGACTTTTTCATCTTATTATTTCTTTTGATTGCTGGGATTAGATATTTCTTTGCTCTCTTCTTCAATGTCTTCTTCAATATTTATTTATTGTTACTTAATTTACGACTTAGCAATCATTTCATCGCTGATATTAGAACTATGATTTTTTTGGTTTACTTAGCTTTAAATTAATTCTTTCAGTTACATGTCTCTAGCAATTTCTAATTTTTGAATTAGGGTGGTTGTTAATTCATCATATGAAGTGTTTAACAAGTTGGAATCAGTGATTAATGCAAGGTTATTAAATTTAGGTATTAATTCTTGGAATATTCTGTCGAAGCGAGATATCTTTTCTTAACGACGGAAGTTTTCCCAGTTAGCTCTTGAGTATTCTGGTAGTAATTCATTGACTCTATTATCTACAAATTACTTGATTTTCTCTTCAACATTTTCATTTATCAAATTTTATTGTAAATTTTAGATCTAAGATTCAAACTACTATGATTATTTCTCCAAAACCTTCAGTAATTATGCTTAGTTTTCTTCTAACTATTTGATTCTTTCAAGGTAAGGCATAAAAGATTAAATTTCAGATTTTTAGTTGTGTTGCTCTTGTTTAAGGGATTCAACTTGAATTTCTGGCTAGCTAGATAAGCTTTTGTTTTGATTAGAGCAAGCTTATTGTTAGAAATCTTCCATATTAATCAAGTCAGCTTGAATTTAATTATCACATTAATCTATCTTTGCTTGAGTTTTTTTGTCTTATAAATCAACTCTGACAGTTTAAAAGGAGTTATCTATTAATTCCACATTTGCTTGAGACTATGTATCTTTAGACTCTACTTGAATTTATGTTGAATTATCTACACAAACCGCAGAAAGAGTTTAATCTTAGGCATCACTTTAATTAATCTGTGCCTAATAAGATTTATCGCAATGCACAGTATAAATCTACTATTCTTAATCTTTTAAAGTGACTCCAGCTTAATTTTATTAATCTTAAGTTTCAATATTCTTTGAATCAAAGTTACATTAAACAGATTAATCGTTTTCTAATCTTGTCTAACTTCTTGAAGAACCCTAGTCAACACCATTTTAGGATTTGTCTTAGTTTTTTTGTTCTTCGGCTTCTTCAACTTCATCGTCATCACTGAATTCATCATTAAATGAAGAATTGTTAATTGCTTCATCATCTTTCACATCTTAATCATTTTAGATTTATTCTCTTTTTTAAGAGTTTCCACCATCTTACACCATATTCTCTTATGCTTTATCTAATGATTTGCTAATTTCAATTTTATTATCATTTTAGTTTAAACTTTTTTATTAAGCAACTTTAGCCCTTTCTTCTCCAGAATCCGAATCACAACATGAGCTTTCTTCATCTTCTTCTTCCTCTTCAGCTTCTTCATCGTCAAAATCTTCATTATCTGTGGCATCTGAATCTGAGTAGGGTTTAATATTAATCACAATATCCTTTTCTTCAGATTAAAATGATTGCAAGTCTTCATCACAACTTATAGTAATTTCATCATTATCAGAATCCACATAATAAATTCTAATCTTATCTGGAAGAGAATCAAACTTTAGTTTGATGACTTTTTTCAGATCTTCAAACGTCTTCACGCTTTCTTCCAATTTAATTAGCTTATCTTAAAATTTTATACTGATTTTTTTACTCGAATTCATTAAGCTTTTTTTTTTGATTTCACTTCTTTTCTATATTTAAAAATTCTATTCTGAATATAATTTTTGTAATAATTTAAAAGTGTTTATCCTTAAATTAAAGCCAGTTTGCACCAAGCAAATAAGAATTTCTTTAACTTTAATAGAAGAATTTTAAAAAGAGAGGCTTTTGATCTATATTATCAATAACTCCTTCAGAATCGTATTATTAATTTCTTTCTGATATTCTTAATCAGAATTATCTTGTCTGTCTACATGAACTATTATTCTAATATTTCTTTCTATAAATTTTAAGGGCTTTTCATTAATAAAGTTCAATCAAATTTAGAAAATAATAATTAACCAAAATTGAAGCAAAATAACATCAAACTTCTTTTTAAATTATCAAAATAATAGAAATAATAACTTTAAAAAAATAGCATTAATATATTTCTTTTACGTGATTAATTTAATTATTTGTTAAAATATGTTTTAATTAAATAATAGCTAAGTATTTTTAAGGTTAATAATTATTTTTAATTTTTATGTAAAAACTCTTATTGTCTTAACAATTAGAGTAGAATTTGTCTATATCTGCTATGGAAAATTTGTGCAGAAAAAAGATGATAATGAATATAATATGAGTTTTTTTATTTTATAAAGCTTCCCATAAATTTTAGATTCTCCAAATTAATATACCTAAATTTCGATAGATTTATTTTATTTTCAAATTTCATTTAACTTTCATATTTAAAAAAAATAAAATATTAATCTCATCAAATGATTTAAAAAGATGATTTATAAAGAGCTCTGCAATATTTTTTACTGAATTCAAAAGTATTTTAATCTAAATAGAATATTTAACCAACAGATTAGAATATAATAACTAAAAAGAGTAAATAATAATATAAAATTGATAATGGTTTATTTGTTTTTTTAACTTGAATTAGTGAGTGTTGGCTGATCAAATAAACATTTAATTAGTAATAATAATTTTTTAGAAAAGAGTTTAAAATTTAATTCACAAAAGTAAAAAATTAATGCTATTACAAATACAATTTTGCTGAATAGATTTCAATACCTTTGATTAAATTAACAATTTACTTCCAGAAAATTTCTTTGGATTTTTCGCTTTTACATAAAGAAATAAAAGAATTTATTGGAATTTATAAAGGAAAATTGCTTTGTCTTTTGGACTAACTTATTTAACTTTAAAATGATTTTATCAATATATTTAAATTTTACATAATTTAGAAAATAAATGAATGAGTAAATGATAGATTTTAAACATTATTAGTTTTTATTTGAATTAATTATTTTAATTAAATCCATATCATCTATTTATGTTCGTAATATTATAAATTTCTTCACATTATAATCAAATTAGCTTGGTTTTTAGCTAAGTATTATTAAGAATATTAATAATTACTTGTATCATTCCTATTTAGATAATTTGTAAAAACTTGTAAATCACAATGCTTAATAATAATTAAACTATTTAAAGAAGGTCTACACCTAGTTAGCAATAACAGCAGCAAAGAAGAATTTTGCTAGCTTAAAAGACATCTGACGAGCCTCAAATAACTAACAACAGGTAAGTTTAAATCAATTTCTGATTTCATTTCTGATTTCTTTAGAGATAGTTATTTTATGATTTTAAAAATTAATTAATTTTGTGTCTTTAAAAGGAATATTAGAATCACTACTTAAGCACAGTAAAAGTATGTCCCTTCTGCAAACAGACAAGTTTAAAATGCATCATAAAATTAAAACTCGACTGCAACTAATGTTATAAATAAAAACTACAGCAGAATTACTGAAAAGAATAACTAAAATTAAGAAAACTAAGGTTAAGTAGTTTAATCTAATAATAGAGTCATCATCGAAAGATAATAAACACTGATGAAATAAAATAATGATATTACTTAAAGGACAAGCATTATTTCAAATAATCAAAGTAGTCTTTAGAAAAATACAAAACCTTCAGGGTAGCAATAAAGCAATATTAAAAGTGAGTAAAAACCCTCATTTATGATAAGAAAAACAAATAACAATATTATCCAAAATAAAAGCTCTTTGACAAATAATTCTAGTTAGAATTCAAATTAATAAAGTTAACTATAGCAACAAAACAAAAATACAGCTTCATCAAATACAGCTACAAATAATTTAGGTGTTTAGAAATCCACATACCCAAATGCTTAAAATAATTTATAATCCCCCACAAATCCAATAAGGAAATATAAAGAATCAACAAACTAGAATATGATAGGCTAAAATGAGCGCAATAACCTTAACGATCTAACTGATTCAATACCATCTCTATCATAACTTAATGGAAACAGTAACTAAAATAATGTGAGTTCAAGCAACAGCCAAATACCCTCTTCTAGCAATCTAAATAATTTCAGAACTACAGAATAATCAAATATTGTAAATAGGAGGTTAACATCAACAAATACTGCAACAAATGTATCAGCTAATACATAAAATTAACACTCAAATTAAATATCTTAAAACAACAATAATATTTTTACTCAGGCCTCTTAATAATAATCAAATAATGAATAAATTAACACCAACACAAATTCTAATCTCAGAAATCCTCAATAAGAAAATAGAATATTTGGTTCTTCTAATATACAAAATACTTATTCCTAAAATAATTCTGAAAATAATACACAACAGACACAATAAAATAGTTAAATGTAATCATCATAGTAAAGGACACAGCAGCTTTCTAATCCTTTAAGCAATAATTCACTGGCTTCTTAGCTGAATAGCTTAAGAGGTAATAATCCCTAAAGAGATAATAATCAGAATACTGTGAATACTTAACCACGTTAGGTCAGATAAACTATTAATACAGATAGCAATCCTACTCTAAGCTAAAATAATCAAGTTTCTGGAACTTAGAGACTGAATGGGCCAGATAGTTAATGGCTTAGAGAAACACAAAATGCATTACAATCTATAAATTCTATTTTAAGCCAAACCAATAATGCTCTAAACAGAGCCGAAAATTTATCAGGAAATGTTATAAATACAAATATTTCGTCATCAACAGCTACCCAAGCACGCAATACAAGACTTAATCCATTTTCCCCTTCTAATACTGATACAAACAACAGATAAGAATCTGCAGTCGAGGCATATAAATTTTAACATTAATATAAAATATTTTAAAATTTTAGTTTATGTTCAGATATTATTACGGATTTAAATATTTATTCCATAATTAAAATAGGAGATGTAAAGGGATCTCGAGTAGCTCAGCTAGCAAAGAAGATAACAAGAATAATAAATTTTAGCTAGATAGGCATTCGAAGATAGAATGGCTAGGGCCAATCATTAAGTTCGTTAAATTATAAGAGATGATTATAGGAGAAATAATGGAAGAGACATGAGTGATCTTTCAAGCGAAGATTCGAACCTTGAAAGTGATGAAGAAGAATAAAAAACAAACGGAAATAACCGTCTATCAAGACTTAATCGTTTGATTAGGAATAGAAACGAGTCTTCAAGTAGCAGTGATTCTGATAGTGAAGAAGAGAAAAAAGATGAACAAGATAGAAATAGAGATAGAGGAAGAACTTATGCATCAAGCAGTGTGCCTCCTGTAAGAAATAACTCAAATTCGAACAATGTTTATTTGCTTAATTTTAGAAATAGAGCTAATAATGAAGCTCCAAATTAAAATAGCAATAGTAATAATAACGGTCCAAGCTAAACTTTAGCATAGAGACTAGGAATAAATTTTGATATGGTATATAATGGTAGATCAGAAAATCCTAGCCAAAGACCTCCAGGCTCTTTTGTTCAGAGATTAATTGAGTAATCAAATTAAAATAATTCAAACAGGCCAAATAACTAAAACTAACCAGCATAAAATGGAGGGACGACTAGAACCTTTAGAGTTACTTTACCTATAAATCCTAATAATGTAAACTAAAGAAATTTATTAGAGGGATTGAGCAACCTTGTAAATTAAATGAACAGCAGCTTGGGAAGTTTATCTGGTTCAAATAACATTTCTAGGCTAGAAGAGTTAGCTTAATGGGTAGCAACTATTCGTCTTCTTTAGTAATTTACTTAGCCTAGAAAATTATCAGAAGAGCAACTAAGAGAATTTCCAGTTATTATTGTTAAAGAAGTAGAGGATAATGAAATATGCTCTATCTGTTTAGATGAATGGTAAATAAATGATCAAGCTAAGATTTTAGGTTGCATGCACAAATTCCATCCTAAATGCATCGATGACTGGCTAAAAGAAAAAACAATATGTCCTTACTGCAAGTAGGATTAAATATAATTTTTTTCAGATAAGATCCCAGAGAATCTGCTGTAGTAATGACAATAAATTTGGTAATTAAAAACTAATTTAAATTGTTTATTCTAACTGTAATTTAAAATAAATTTATAATATCTGAATTAATATTATATTTTAAAATATGTTTATTATATATATATTTATTTGATTGTTAATTTACTTGAATTTCATAAATTTATGTAAAAGCTAAATTAATAGAGTTTCAGCTAAAATATAGTTCTTTTCTGAATTGTCAAACATTAAAAATAATAACTTATAAAATTAATTATCGCATAATAAAAAACATAAAAGTTAAATAAATTAATTTGATTTAACTTTTAAATTGTTCTATAAGATACTCTTTTATGTCTATTTGAAAAAAAGAAAAAAATTTTGAACAGCTTTTTGTTTTCGTGAAATTTAAATAAAATAACAAAAATACATTTGTCTATTTTTATTATTTATTTGAATATGTCAAACAAAACACTGTAAGTAAACAAAAGAATGTTTTTCAACAGAAATAATATTTATTATATATATATATAATTTGCTCATTAAACTCCACTAATTAGTGAATTAAGTTTAATATAGTTAACATTAGTTTAATTATTTATTTATTTATTTATATGTTTTGAAACTTTTGATTTGTTTAAAAGTTTGTTCATTTTCATTCATTATTAGTTAAGATTATTAGAAATTTGATCACTTAATTCAGAAAATTTACTAGAGATAAAAATTAAATTAAGTTATGTTAGTCAAAATACATTTTTAAAGAAAAAAATATGGAATCTGTTTATTTATCTTATTTTAATGTGAAAGTTATTCTATGCCTTTTTTTGCTTATAAGATAAACTAGTCAATTACAACTCAAATATCTATGAAAAGATATTTCAGCTGAAATTACGCATTTTAGTTTTACAAAAAAATTACATTTTTAGTAGTATTAATTTTGTATTTTGAAAAGTAAATTAGATGAAAAAATTACTGTTTTTTTGATTATTATTTATGTTTGTAACAATAAATATTTTAGAAATCAGTAAGATTTTCTTTTTCAAATTTATTTTTTATAAAAATAAGTAATTAAATTGAAAGACGCAAAGGTATTTAAAATATTATTTCATTCATAAAAATTTTGAATAATTTCTTAAAGTTACATTCAACAACATATATCTTCTATAAATAAAAATTTACTAAAAATAAATTTAATTCTTTTTTATTTAAATAAGTTCTATGCTTCCTTTTTTACTTGGGATATCTCTAAATTTAGTAAAAACTAGCTGAAGAAATTCAATTTTGGTAATAGCAATTAAAATAAGAATAGATTCACAAAATTTTTGCAATTTCAAAATAAATAACTCTTTTTAGACAATAAATTTGATTCAAATATAAATAGTGTTTGTATGTTATCACCTTTCAAAGAAAAATAACAAAAAAATAAATTTTTAAGCAAATTACAAATTAGCATCAAAAAATCAATAATTTACTAGTTTTTATAATTTAATTTTACCTCGAACAAGCTTGAAATGTGTAAAGCTCTAAATTATTTAACTAATTAAATTTACTGAGTTAGTTAGAATGACTTAATAAGATTTAGTTTTTTGTTAAGCAAAATGACTTTAGAGGTTTAAAATAATAAATAATTTGATGTACAAAATATAATTTTAAAACCTTAAATTATGAGAATTTTATATTAATAATTTAGCAGATTTATTTATACCTTATGCTTATTCGAGAATGAGAGAATGTTAAGGCAATCTTTATTTACCAGAATATTTTAAAGACATGGTTATAATTAACGCTTGCATTTTGCTTCTTTTAATATTTCAATTTATAGATCATTAAAAAATAGAAATTATTTGAGTAAAAATTGTAAAAATCCATTATTTAATAAATTGAAGGTAATTAATTAGAAACTATTAAATAAAAAAATTAATTAGAAATCTTTTCGATCGATTAATTAATTTCTGTAAAAAAAGTAAAAAATATATTTAAGATAACATTTCTATGATTTTAATGAAGTCTTTTTTTCATCAGATATTTATTATTCTTGCTATAAACCATCAGATTTTAAGTGCTTAGTTTCTTTCTAACAGATCACTTCAAAGTATGTATTTAAATAAAATATTTTTTTAACACATTTTGTCAGCGTTATTTTAATTTAAAAAATATTATTAGCTAATTTGAACTGACTGTATGAATTTTACTTATTTTTGTATAACCCATCTAATAATATAATTAGCAAAGGAGATACATACATATATACATACATTCAATGATTTGATAAATATATTTTTTTAAAATAATAATAGATCAATAAGAAGTTATATTGTCTGAGTCAAATTATGGTGACTGCTACGACTTTACAACAGATAATCTTTATGAAAATAAATGGACTCTTTTTTAAATACCTAGCAAATCTATTATATTTTATCCAGATTGTGTTGGTAAATGCGGACAATTTGGAAGCATTTTGGGTCCTTTTTCAAGCTCAAATGGATTATAAAGGCTAATATAAATTTCGAAACCACATACTAAAGTTACAATAGAGGCTGCATTTGTTTAAATTGATGGATGGAGTGTTGGATAATAATTTGTAATGATAATAGATGGATAAATTGTTTACACTTGGGAGTATTATGGCGCAGATATTTTAGATGTTAATTAATGTGATGTAGTCTTGAATGGAATTTAGGACCATATGCAAGCTTTAAAAGTAACTGTACCTCACAGTTCAAATACAATTAATATCAGTGTATACACAATTGATAGTAATAGCGAGCTAGTTAATATGTGGGGTTTAAAAAATTTTACTGTATTGACTGACATTTGTGAACCTGGAGTAAACTCTTGTTAAGATATAAGTCCTTTAAAATATATTTTAAATACATAAAGCTTTAATTAGCCAATGATCAAACCTATTATTTAAATACAATTCAATCGACCCCTTACATCTGGAATTCTTAATTCGGATATAAGTATATAAATAGACTAAGTTGATAGCCAATTATATAACTATACTGTGAGTTAAATTGATAACTAATATTAGACATTCTATATAAATTTTGATTAAATGAATTTTTCAACTTATTATGGATAATTGATGACTATAACTATATTAAAGTAAGTCAAAGATTAGAATGGCATGGCTTTATAATAACAATCTGTACAATCAATAATGCCAAGCTATTACAATTACCCAATATCAGATATAAATATGATTTCAACAGTGAAAAAAATTACACAAGGATTCGCCACTACTATAGTAGTTTCAACGGCAATTTTGACATTCGGATTTGATAAATTCAACTGGTTGTTCTATTCTACAGATATTGGATAGATTTTATATTTATCTACTTTTATAAATGTAAAATTCCCTCAAAATGTGGAACAAGTTCTTTTTGATGGTTGTTCAATTTTTCATCTTCAAGGTTTGACTGAAATATTTAAATAAATTATTTCAAATTCTACTATTCAATAGCAGTAACCTTACTTCTAACGATTCTAAGATTTAGGTAATAATAATTATTTTCAAATTCTAAAAAAAGTACTTGAAATTAAGAAAAAAAGATCAGCTTTATTAATTAAGCTCTAGTAATTACTATTAATATCATTGAAAAATGTTTTTTGTAAAGTTACATTAGTAAATAAAATTAAATTTTTGAGAAAGGAGAAGATTGTGATATTCATAATTTTATAAGTTAAAGAATATATTATTTTGATCAAACTAGAGAAGTAATAGAAAAATTATAACTATGAAATTAAGAATCTACCCAAAAAAATATATATAAAATAGGTGAGAGATACGCATTCTTAAATTACTTTAATAAAAATAAGAAGAAAATATAAAAATACTACCTACCTATATTCTTTATTATCTTTTCCAAATACTTTATTAAAATTAACTTTTTAATTAAGGGAACAGTTAAAAAATATCAATAACATAAACTTTATTTGTTTCTTTATGAAGAAAATAACATTTAATTTAAAGCGTGATTTAGAATTTCCAGCAAATTTGTTTTTAATTTTACTGAAAAACTTTGAATTAAGAAAAGAAATAAATTTATGAATTTTAATTGAATCCAGATTTATCAATTTATAATCTTAATACAAATTTAATTTAAATAGGTATCAAATCATTGTTTCTTTTAAATGCAGGAAATCTAGTTGTCTTTATCATAGTCTTTCTCATAATTTTTTCAATTATTTAGCTATTGTCTTCATTCAATTTGATTAAAAATCAAAGATTCAAAAGCTCACTCTAGTTTTATCTTGAAAAGAAAGTAAAATGGAGATTATTTTTCTCTTTGGCTTACTTTTTATATGCTTAGATTCTCTTTGCTGCACTAATATAAATATTTACTTGGAGTGCAAATTCTTTTTCTGAAATAATTTCCTATATTCTCTCTTTCATCAGCATACTATTTGGAATGCTAATGCCTCTCGGAATGTACAGACTTATTTCTAAAAACATGGCAAAAGTTCTTGACAATTCTCTAGATAAAACGTTTACACAAAAAAATGGGATTGCGTGGCAGGATTTAAAAAAACCTGAAAAAAATGGTTCTAAGAAGACAATTTTTTTCCACTTCTTTTTACTCCTTAGAAGAAGCTTCTATGCTTGCATTGTGGTAATTAGCTTACATTATATAAATTTAGATTTTATATCATTACCTTTAATAAGAAAAAACAATTAGAAATCATAGAAATCAAATTTAAGATCTATTCAATCAATTAATTTTTTAATTAGAATCATTTATAAAATTTATAAATGGTTAAATAATAAACTCTGCTTTTCTTTTATCTTTTTGAGAAATTCTTTATTTTTTATAAAAAAACAAAGTCAACTATAATAAATAATATTACATATTGATTAAATATCATTTATTACAATCTATTCTTTGCTTATTGCAAGTTAATTTTTTCCCTTTTAATATTGTAAGGTATTCTTTCAGTTTAATGCGAACCTTCAAATTGCTTTACTTAATATCTGTAATGTATCTATTATTTTCGTTGTCATTTTCTAAATGCCTTTCACAAAAAGAAGAAGTAATTATAAAATAATAATCACTGAATTCGTCCTCGTATGTGAATATATGGTCATCTAAAGCTACTAAAATGAGTAAGAAAATGAATAATCAAGGATTAGCAGAGGATGGATAGTCGCATTCGCTACAGTGTTTATTGTATTTTTACAAATATTTTTTCTTTTAATTGATGTGTTTGAACCTGTTGTAAGTTATCTGAAAGTATTCTATATTAAATTGCAAGAAGCTAAATTATAAGAAGCACCAGTAGATGTTGACTTAGAAAAATAAAAGTTAAAGGTTGCTGAAGAAGATGAGGAATAAGTGAAAATTAAATAATCTAATCTGCTGAATGATTCAAATCATGAAAAACATTGTAATCACTCAAAACTTTATTATAATTTTGCAACTAAGATTTAAATAAAATTAAAAAAATTATTAATATTGGCTGAATTAAAATTAATGGAGAAAATTAAGCTTAATTAAAAGAAACTAAGCTAAAATAGACCATAAATACTATATTATTATTTTAAAGAAAACCTTACTTTGAATATTTAATTAAAACCTCTTTTCATAGCAAAAGATATTTACTAGAAGAAAAATACTATGAAACAAGCAATAAGATATAACGCCATAAATAATAATGAAAACATTACAAAATCAAGTGTAATTGAAATAAATAAACTGTATCATTACAGTTAAATTTTAGTTCTATTAAATTTTAATTTCTTTATGACTTAAATTTTGCTTATATTGAAAAAAGAATTTGAATGGAACACATTGATAAATAGAATAAATAAATAAATATCCCTTATTATTAACCATATAATTTATTTACATTCATTACTCAAAAATAAAAAAACTTTGATAATAATATTTACCATACAAATATCTTAAATCTCTAATTATTTTTTTATATTTAAATAGAAAATTAAAAGGTGAAAGTTCCCATCAATTAAAGCGAGATAGCTTAAAATAATGTATCAACACCATAGATTTTAAATAGAAGTTCTTTTAAGAGGACAAGCGAATTCAGCAACAGTAAGCTATAGTAAAGTAAATTATTTATAGGCACTGTAGCAAAAAGCGAATCTCAGCTTAAAATACCTGCTTTAAAATAAACAGATGGAGTGATACCCTAAGTTTCCTTAAATTTGTTAAGCAGTCCTCCATCTTTAGCAAATTAAAGTGAGTTGCTTGTCTCGAGCTAAAAATACTTCGGAAGTAATAGAAGTATTAAATTAAAAAACGCGTAACTACCTGCTAGTAGCACTTTACCTTCAAATATTAATAGCAATCCTCACAATAATCATCAGGTGCTTAATACAAGCAATAATAACGTATCTATTAACTAATTTGATTAAAATTTGGAAATTGTTCTGAAAAATGACAATATAGAAAATATTAAAAGAACTGATACTTAATAAGAATAAAATAACAACCAAATCAAAAATACTCCTAAAAAGATTTTGAAACACTAATAAAGTAATAATAGTGTCAACTCTACAAGCTTTTAATAGTTAGATGGGAGCTATTACATGCCATAAATTTAAAACTATGATTAAATATCAACAAAAATATCAAATAGATAGACTATCGCTGAGACTTTTAATAATAGCAATTTATTTATTTAGTAAAAGCTAAGCTATGAAGATGATAATTCACTTAATAAATCAAATTCTCCACACAAAAGCTCATTAAGCTTCTAAGGTTTTAAAATAAAGAGTGACTCTGAAATCCCTTAGGTAAACAGAAGAGTATCTAGGAATCTGAGTCTAAAGGTGTAATAACAATTTATTTCTCCAGATACATACAAGAGAAATGCAACAGAAGAAACGGAAGAAGAGTAAGACGATTAATCTACCTTAAAGCCTCATTTTTTCTCCAAAATGGTTAGAAGCAATTAAACTATATAGGAATAACCAGGAGAAGAAAACGGATCTATAATGGGTTAAAGCTAAGTACAGATTAGATCAATTAATGAAAGCCCTATAGACATCGCTTCTCTTTAACAAAAAAAAATATTTCCACTCCTTAGAAATTTCCCTAGACATTAAAGTAGAATAATCCAAAGAGAGTTTACGAACATAGAAGAAGAGAATGAAGAATCAAATTAAAATTCTAATTCTATTATAATTCATGACGGGATCTCTTCAAGGGACATTTAATATACAGGGGAGTTGACAAATAAAAGTAAAATAGCATAAGAAGTCATAAAAAAATTCGGATTTCCTTCTTCAGACGAAAATTCACAAGTCAACAACGAAAACGAAAGCCCTAGATAAGCCTTTACAAGATTAAATGATAGAAAAAAGAGTCAGTTTGCTAAATATAATAGTGAGAATAGCATTTAAGATGATGCCACATAAGTTGGAATAACTCCATAATAATAATCTTAAACCGAAATAGGTGAACAAAAGACGAATTAAATAGAGTAATAAGAAGTCAAGGAAGAAAGATAAGACCATTTAAGTGGAATTTAATAAGATGTGAGCATTTAAAGTGCATAAGACAATCCTACAAAACTTTAAGCAAACTGATTATAAAAGAGAAACTATCTACCTACGTACTTACCTTTGTACAGGTTTAAAAGAAACATATTACACAAAAAAAGAAACAAAATAATATAAGGGAACTCTAAAAAAAATTATGTTAAAAATACTCTCTAAATTGAAATATAATGTCATAACAAAAATAGTAAATTAACATTTAATAAAAAATAAATAATAAATCATTTACTCTACTCTAAGCACCAGAAGTACTTTGAAATTTTCCTGATAAAACTTAATTAATTCCAAAACATCAACCAATTAATAAATTATTAAATCTAACACTAATAAAAATATCTGTATGTAAATATTTATCAAAATCAATCTATTATTTAGTTATTTTTTCTTTTTAAGAAATTTATAATTTCATTTTTTTCAAAAATCTTTCAAGAGTAATTTTACTTATTAATAAATTTATTCAATAATGTTGTTATTTCATTTTATTTACAAAAAAAATGATCTTATCAATTAATCAAAGAATCAAGTTAGTGATAATATATATCATTATTTAATTTTCTTTTGTTATTATAAAAATAATCCTCATTTCTTCAAATAAAAAATTTAAAACTAATATAAAAATTTTTATACCTTTGTTAGGTGTGTTTTAATTTCTCTAATATTTACAATTATATAAATAGGTTTTAACAATACTGTTATTATAATACTATGAAAAGGAAAACTGAAATAAATAAAAAATAAAATGTTCTACAAAATTTTTTAAATTTGAAGTTAAAATCAAATATGTATTTATAAAATAATAAATATTACTATTAAATTTTGTTTAATGCAATTTTATATTATTTCATAAATGTTAGATCTATTATTAATTTCACTAATATTTAGAATTATTTAAATAGGTTTTGACTTTACTGTTATTATAATACTATGAAAACGAAAACTGAAATAAATAAAAAATAAAATGTTCTACAAAATTTTTTAAATTTGAAGTTAAAATAAAATATGTTTGTTTATATATAATATTGAATATTACTATAAAATGTTGTTTAATGTAATTTTATATAATTTCATGAATGTTAGAGCTATTACTCAGTCTTAGAAAGTAAACTGAGTTAAAGTTCTTTTACTTAACGTTTATTTAATTGCTATTACTAGTTTTATTACTATTTTTAATCTAAAACATTTTCTATGTAAACATTTTTAGCTTATGATTCTGCATTTGCATTTATAGAATTTAAAATTTAAGAAAATTTATTTAAGTATAAGCTATTATTTTTGTTTTTATCTCCATTACTTAAAAACTTTTAACTAAAATTTTTTTAATTTTTTTACAAATCTTCTTAAGATTGGTTTTTAGGAGATAAGTTAATATGATTTTTGTTTGCTTGCGAAATCATATTATTTTAAGATAAACTTTCTTTGATTTAGTAATTTATATTATTTTTCTGACTTTGATTTAATTTACTATTTATTTTATTATTTGAAAATTTAGATATAATATTAGCATTACTAGGACTATAAGAAGTCTACGAAGTAATCAGTTTAAGATTTGATTGCAAAAAGCTTTATTTTCTATTGAATCTATTTTCTAAATGGTTAAGTAAATTGCTGTCTTCATTAAGTTGAGATTTTTAATCCTTTTTGCTTTACAAATTTATAACTGTGAAATTCGAACCATTCATAAATGTAGAATTGATAATCATTTCAGATAAATTATTAGATTTGCTTTGATTTTCTGTATATAATCTTTATTAGGTAATTACTTAATTTGGAGATCTATCAGTTAAATTTTAGTTACGCCCTGGTGAATTTAGAAGATATTTTTCTTGTGCAGATTCCATGTCTGTTTAGCAACATTAGCTTTACTTGGCACCTAAATTTGATTGTGTTACTGATAATTTATCCATTTATTTTATTTTTTTACTATTATTGTTTATAGAATTTGAATGATACTAATTTTTATAAAGCTTATTTTATGTAGACTTTAACTGATTCTCTTACAAAAACTAGTCATCCACCAAAATATTATTGCTATCAAAATTATTATTGAAGCTATCTGTTTCGTTTTTATTTTAAGTAATCAGCAATCCTTGACTCTTGTTTTATTTCATCGTTTAGTTTTGTTTGAAAATTTATTACAAATTATAGTACTCAATTTTCTTATCTCCTTTTGATGAGTTAGTTTTAATTACAGAAAAAATCGTTCTTATATTTTTGCTTTTGCTATTCTTTACAGACGAAACCAGAGATTTCTAGCTTTGTAGACTAAAATCACTGTTCAGGGATAAGTCAAATAATTCATTTCGAATAAGTTTAGGTTTAATTTTTGGGGTTTTACCACAGTCTTTAGCCTACTCCAAAGGATTTTAGCTACTTTAATAAATTAGTTGATTAAAATTCTTTTATAAATTTAATTTATCATGATTGTTTTAGGGTAAAACTATGTCTTATTATTGAAAATTTTAGATGCGAACAGATTTTTAATTGGCTTATTGTTATATTTGTTAATTCGTTTCTAATAAATTAGTATGCTTTAAATCTTATTTTTAATTTTAATTTTAAGAATCAATTATTTATTTTTGAACAGCAGGTTATAAGCTGCTACCCTTCTATTCCTTTTTGCCATAAAATTAATTCATGATAGTTTCATATTGCATTATGAATTAATGTCTATTTTATTCATCTACTTTTTTACTTAGCATTTTGTTGAGATTAACTTTATTGTATTACTGATGGTAAAATTATAATGCTTATTGCTATTGTTAATAATTTTAAATATATTTTTAAGGATGTTAAATTCCTTATTGCTTATTGCTTTTAGCTTATGAGACATTAAAATAGTTTTAATAGGTTTACTTGCTAATTTAGTTAATTGATTGGCATTATGTTTATGAAGAGATATTTTACAAATTAATACATTTTTAATCTTAAAGTTCAATACTTTATTAAAGATCATCATTAATATCCTAATGGTCCTTCTTATTTATCTATTCAATATTTTATTAATTATCAGCAAAGTTATTTTCTAAGATCTTTTATATACTCTTTTCTTAGGTCTTCTTTAAATATTCCATGCTCATTTTTCTTATTCCCTAAATGTATGAAATTTATTTTTAATATTGAGGACTGGAAAATTGTTGCATCTTCTAAGGATTATCTTAATGAATATTAGACTTTGTATTTTTTATGCTACTGAATATGGCTTAGTTTAAATTACAAAATTAATTGTTTTCTTCTAAATGTGAATTTACTTGAGGTGATAAATTCAAAGAAGACTAGCTCTTTACTAAATTTTGAGCTATTTTTTTAGGAGTTTATTCTTACTTTTGAGTATTTTAAGTAATATTTTATTGGTTGATGTTATAATTCTACAATCTGCTTTCTTAACTTCTTTTGAAGTGAAATGAGTTAGTTTTATCGTTAAGTATTTTATTGTTAAAATTTAATTACCTTTCTAATTTATGGAAATCTCTGTACTTGTTTTTGTTTGCTATTTCTACACTCATAACTCCAAAATCACAGTCTTAAAAATTTTTGAAAACACTTTTTGGAGTATTTTAAGATTTATTGTGATTACTTCTACTTTCTGTAATTCTTGAATTTATTACTTCGTTTTCAAACAACACACTTATAGAAGGATTACGGTTCTAATTAAAGATGTTTATGTTGTTTTAATAGGTTTGCAATAATCTTTGCTCATTTTAGCTGTATTATTGTGACCACTCATAGTTTTATGCAAGTAAAAATTTCTATGATTGAGTGGTGTTTTATTTTTCTTTGTCTTCTACCTTAAAAACAGTTTATAATATATCACTACTCCTAGCAGGTAGAAATCTTCTCTAAAAGTAATTGTTATTCTAAAAATTTAAATCATCCTCTTCATCTTCATCACTTTCACTACTTATTCTAATTGCTTAATTTAATTAATTTTTGCATGAAGCTGAAAATTTCATTTATCGTTAGTGTAAATTTTAATTTTAGGCAAAGCTTTTTGTCAAATCTGAAGAATTTTTCTACAATTAATAGAGTTGCATTTATTGATGTTAACTTTACTCCTATTCTTTATGAGCATTGCTTTCTAAAATTATTTTATTTGAGAATAGTAAGTTTTAAGGTGGGGATGCCTATATGCCTTAACCCTGGTTACTTATTACCTCTTAATTCATTATACAAATTTTCTATATATTTCTTAACAAGATAAAGGTCTATTCAATTTTTGATGTGCTTATTGTTATTGTGATAAACTTTTTATTTAATTCTTATTAAATCAGTTCAATAATTAAAAACTTAGCTCTCAATTCAAAAAAAATTTCTAGTTATTTTTAAAACAGTTTGAAAAATTAAAATCAATAATTATGTGCTTTAATAATTTAATAACAAATACAATTATTTTAACCTCTTTATATAAAGACAAATATAAAATATTAATAAAATGAAAGTTTTATTTTATTATTAATAAAAATAAAGCTAGGATTTGTAAAATTAACTTTCAACTAACTAGAGATATACCCAACACATAATTAAATTGTGTTATGGATAAATGAAACTTTCATGTAATTTTAAAATAAAATTATTGTTAATTATGAAAAATAAAGATAGAATTTGTAAAATTGCCTTTCAACTAACTAGAGAGATTTATCCAACATATAATTAAATTTTGTTATAGATAAATGAAAATTTTATGTAATTTTAAAATAAAATTATTGTTAATTATGACAAAGAAAACTCTATAATTTATTTATTTAGATAGTTAACCTCATGAGCAAAGCTATTTATTATGAAATAAAAAAAACTAATATTTAGAAAATAATTTAAATGACTATTTTTTTATATAAAAAATATTTCTTTCACTTTAAAAATAATTTTATTTAATTTAATACATTATAAAGTTTAAATTGATTTAATAATTTAACTTAGATAATCAAAAGATAGTCCAAAATTTATAAATAGTTTATATACTTTAATAAAATATATAACTTCAATAAAAATTTTATTAAAGTAATTAATTAAATGACCATTTATTTATTTAATTCAAAAGTAATGAATAAATCATCAATTTAAAACTTAGAGAGAGTTATGCTAATAAAAAAATATATTTTTAAATTCAAAATAATTTTATTTAATTTAATAAATCAATTTATGAATTTGTTTTGCACAATTAATAAAAACCCAACACTTATAAATAGTATAAATAATTTAATAAAATATATAAACTCTATGAAAAGTTTATAGGAAATTAAAATAAATAACCTTTTAATCTAATTGAAAGAGGATAGTATATTAGAATTATTCATTTATAATCTTGCTTAATTTTAGATATTGTTTGATTAAATAAAGAATATGTTTGCTAAGGCAGATATTTTTTCAATAAATTTTCCTATCTTAGACTAATTATCCAATCAGATAATCTATATGATTGGAGCTTTGTAAAAATAATTTATTTTCTGGAGTGTTATCTATAATAATTTTATTTGATTAATTTTATTATTTATATATATCATTAACATAAGGATTATCATATCCATTATTATAGTTATTCACTACTTGAAGCTTTTTGATTTAATTGGATTTATCATATTACATTTATTACCTAAAATTATCGTTAGGGATATGTTGCTACTAATCATTTGTATGGATTTCTTTAATCATTCCTCCAATTTCTTCTAAAATATTATCCAGCTACTAATCTTTTTCAGCTGACTTATCAAGTAAATTATCTTGTATCTCTTCAAGATTGTTTTTTTCTTGAATTGAATATAGCTTTTTATAATCGATATTTTAGTTTTCAATTTACTCCTTTTGCTTTTGATAAAGAGACTTTTCTTTAATCTTTCTATAAGGGATAAAATCACTTCTGTTTTTTATATTTTATATTTTAACTTCACTTCTTTTATTGAAGGAACTAAATGGTCTTTTAATAGGTTCAATTTTTAAGGATTCTTCTTCCTATTTCTCGAAATCTTTTAACTAATTCTAAGATTTGTTGTTTTAATTTGATATTTTTATACTTTTTTAGCTCTCTATTTTACTAAGATCTAAATTATTAATTTCCTCATTTTTACTATTTAAGCCTGCACCCTAAGAAACATTTGCATCATTAAATTCATTATCTTATTAAATTTTAGTATCACTTTTTTTAGTGCCATTTTAGTTTGTCTTTTAAATATCAGTTTAACTATTTTTTTCTTAGTTTTACTGTTAATTAGAGTTGTTACTCTTTTCCTCACCTTCTTCTAGCTAATGTAAAAGATTATATTCAGTGAATTAAGATTAATTTAGCTGGTTTTAGTTATTTTTGTATTTAATCTTACTAAGATCTATTTTAGCACCTGTTGAATTACTTCTTACTCTGGCATTTGTAACTAAATTTTAATTATCTCCTTCATATAATCCAACTTCTTCTTAATAGAAATTATCTAGCATTTTTTCTAAATTTTCATCTTCTTCTTCAAACTAGTTTCCTTGTTAATTATAGCTCTTTTACTTTAATTTTTTATCAAATTTGTTTTATATATAGTTAGGATCAAGCATTGCACTTTAACTTGGGAGTTCGTAATTATGCTTAAAATAGATGTTATCATATTTTTCACGAGGGACTTCTAGAGATAAGTTAAGACCTTGTTTATTTTAGAAGTAGTTATGGGGATTATATTCGTTATCTTTTTCATTTCTAGTTGTAGAATCAAAATATTCGTTTTTAACATTTAAAGCACGAGCTTTATCATTATTAGAAATCTTGTCTCTCATGATAACCATTTCAACATAAGATTTATCCCTTTATTTTTAGGCATTTTCAGCAATCACTCTCAGTTCTTCCTTTTACTTCTCAAATACTTCTCCCTACTTTTTGTACAGACCTTTTAACACATCAAAATCAGCTTTACCTCTTTACCACTCTCCGCCAGGTTACCAACGATAAGCATTTTCAGATTTGTTCAGTTCATAGTATAAAATATGATTTTTATTATCTATTAAATTAAATTATATCATTGATTGATTAATCAACACAATAAATAAACAGATTTGGAAATGTAAGAAAAAAATATCCATTGAAATAATTACATGAATTTGTAGGCTCAAGCTAAAATTAAAAATTTTAAGGACCATTTTAATTTGCTTTAGATTAGATTTTCATAATAGAATCTAAAATATTTGATCTATTCTTTTCAAGGACCTCGCTTTCTGGTAAGTAATCAATTTGCTTTGGCCTGTCTTGTTATTTTTATTATATTTTTTTTTCATTTATTTAATCTGCCAATCCTTAAGCAAATGCTTTTTACTTTCTTTCCTTCTCTTCATAAAAATTGTCATTGTAGTATTCTTTAAGTAAGCTTCCTCTATAATTTTTAGGCTAGCTCCAATAGACTTCACTCTTTTTTAAATACTCTTCTCTTTTTGCTAGATAATCTTGATTATTAGGAAAATTTTGCTATTATAATCTATAATTAGGTTGCTACTAGGGAGTTTCAAATTAATTATTAGTATATTAATAGCTATTTTGATTACCCTAATTAAAAATGTCTGATTTCATTTAAAAATTCCTATTTTATTACAGGTCTGATAATTATTATGGATTTTATACTTAAGATCTATTAAAATTTGTATATTATTGCTCTCTTTAAAGACTTTTTTAGTCCTATTTTTCTTGCATTTATAATCTCAATATTTCTCCATATTCATATTTATTTTTTGCATTTTTATTTATTGCCTAAGCATAATCTTAATTATAAATAATATTTTCTCCTATTTTGGATAAGTATGCGCTCTCTCTCCCTTAGTTAAACTGCAGTGATTAATTTCCTGCTATGTAAGGATTACTAGATGAGTAATACATATATTGAAAATATTATTAGTTTTTTATGATTAATTATTATTTATCAAAAAATATAAAGCTATTTTTAAGCACCAAACATTATAATTAATATCATCAATACACTTAATAAATAAAAATCTAACTTTAAATAATAAACTATCTGTCTGATGAATTTATAAGATATATTTATAAGGCCGTTGTTAATTAAAGTTGTTTAATGAATGGATCTAAAAAACTATTACTTAAAAAATTTAAAAAGCTAGGTATAGATAGATCTAAAAAATTATTTTAGACAATAATTAATAACAAATGAATGTATGTATAATTTACAAAATAATTAATATTTTTTTAGTTTAAATTGCAGTTTTTATTTAATTTTTAAAGTCTTTTAAGCTTTTTACGATTAAGCAGTTTAGATATATATCAAAAAACCTGCTGATTATATGAGGAGTGATTTAATATAGAAGTTGTCAAATTTTGATATTTTTGTGTAGTTAATTAAATCTATTTTTCTTTTTATTCAATAAGCTGGTTATTGTAGTTTATGCTTTCTATCAATCTAGCTTTTTCAGAGTGTAAATTCTCTATATTTATTCTTAAATCATTAATAATTAAATTAAATCTCTTTGATTTATCTTCTTAAATTTCATTTATTTCGTCAATTTAATCTTGAAGCATTTAATTTTTTTTCTGCATTTCTTCTAAGATGTTTTTGTATTAGGCCTAGTATTTTGTTTTTATTTTTTCAAGTATTTTCTCTTCGTGTCTTTGTTAATTGTATTTTTGTTAGAGTATCTTTTCTTTTGTCTCAATTAAGTCATCAAATTTTTATATTTTTTGTTCAATCATCTTCCTAGTATCTTCTTCCTTATTCATAGCCTCTTTTTCCATTGCCTTTCATTATTAAAATTATTTATTGGTTTTATAAGATTTAATTAAATTACTGTAATTTGTTGAAGGAACTTTTTCTTTTCTTCTATTCTTTTTACGTGAGTTTCATTAATTAGCTTAGATAAATTTGCAATTTCAGACTTTAATTACTTTATTTCCTTTTGAGTCACAAAAGCAAAACTTTCATGATTTTTTTATGATTCAAGGTTTACTTACTTCAAATTTTCTAATTCCTACTTGCTGCTTTCAACTTTCTTTTCCATCAATTTTAAAGTTTTATTCATATTGTTCAGTTAGACTTCTAACTCTGATTTATGATTTTCTCTTTCTATTTGTATGAGCTAAGTCAAACTTAAAATTTCTGTTTTTAACATGTTTTTTTCTTCTTCAGCTGTCCCTTCTTTGATTACATTCTTTTACTAATTCTCTATTAAAAAATAAATGAATTTTTATAATAATTTAAAATGATTTACAAGTAAAATCAAAATGTTCTTATATCTTTTAAAAGAACTTCTCTCTTTATTATTCATTTTTTTCAATTTGTTCTTTTAGTTCTATCAATTATTCGCAATGCTTCTTAAATACATCAAATCCTTCATCAAATTTTTTTGAAGGAACAGATGCCATATAAGCATTTTATTCTAATTATTCTTTTATGAATACTATTTCCTTTTCTAGTATCTCTTACAATTCTTGGCATCTTCCTTCCAATAGCTTTATTTCCTCCATCAAATTGTTAAATCTTTCACTTTCAAGATAAACCTTTTCAATTTCTTTCAGCTAAGCTTTAATCGATTCAGCTTCATTCAACACGAGTCTGAGCATTTTTTCTGTTTCCTTAATTTGTTAAATTTAAAATAATAAAAAGAATTAAATTATTTATTAATTACTTTATTTTTATCTGCAAAACCATTTGACGTGAAAGAGATGTTAGGATTATTATTCATCATAATAGATTTATTTGCACCACCGCCATTTATACCTTTTATAGCAAAGGATTTAATTGTTGACTGGTTAGAAATATATTTGCTTTGTGCTAATGAATTATTTTTTTAGTTAGGAGTGGCCTACTTTTAGTTCTAAAATTCTGCATTTTAAATCATCTTTTTAAATTCTGTGAATTTAACATTATAATTTTCTTCAATTCTTTATATTTCTTTTATGAAAAGGCTTTCGTATTTATCTTTCATTTGAGTGTAAATTTCTTTTTCACTTTTTAGTTCATATAATTCTTTTTTATAAATAGCGTTTTCTTTTTCCAACTCAATTTTTTCAGAACTCAACTTTGCAATCAAATGTTCTTCTTCCATTTCATCTTCATTCATATTTTTGATCTTCTTTTTTTATTTAAAATCTTCAATCTTCTCATTAAGCTTTGCTTCAAGTTTTTCTTTTATGTTTTCGATAAAATATATTTTTAACTAAAAAAAACTAAAAAGCGAAGGAATCGATACCTATAGTTTCTTTATATACTATAAGATTCTTTTTAGCCAAGTTTATTTCTGCGTCTTTTTTGGTAATGATTTCATCATATTTGGTTGATTCTATTTCTGCCTAAACTGCCTTAAATGCCAAATTTAGAGCATTCTTAGATGAATTTATATTCTATTCAATAGGATTTTAATTTTCAGAAACACCAATGTCCTTTCTCATTGTGCTGTTTAAGAAACTTTCTTCTTTATTTTATTCCTATTGGTTTACTGCAATATTTTAATCTTTGGCTCTATCCAAAATTTAGTCTATCTATTGAAAAAATTATATTTTTTATTTACCATTTTAAAATTCAAAAATAATTGATACTTTATTGCCAAACTCGTCTGTTATCATCATAAATTTATCAAGAGCCCTTTCTAAATTAGCAATATTTAATCTTTTATCAGAAGCTTTTTTTTCAAACTGTTAAGTTTTGAAACCATCAAGTGCTGAAAGCTTATCGGTTAGTTTAGTAATTAATTATCTACCTTCCCTTAAAACTTCTCCTGCTTTTTTTTCATTAAGAGCATTTCTCATCTAAACATTAAGCTAATAAAATAAAAATTATTATTTTATGATTTAAAAAAATAAACTTATTAAATACCTTATCAAAATTGACCAGTCTATTCTTAATCATCTATTCCCAATTAACATTTCCTCCATCTTTCTTTTTATCTTCTAAAGTAATCAATTTATTTCTCTGATCATAAGCATTCTAAAGTTCAAGCACTGATGTTTAAAGGACTTAAATTTCTTTTTGCATCAAATCTTCTCTTGTTTATCCAAGGTCTATTAACTTATGCTAAGCAATATTAAGCCTCTCTATTTCAATATTTAGCTTCTTTTCTTTGGAATTATAAATCTAGTTTTTATTTATAAAAAATATATTTAAAATAAAAAAACAGATAAAACAAAATAAATATCGAACCTTTTTCAAATCTTCCATGTTCTAAACTAAAAGCTCTTTTTCAGATTTAAGAATTTCATTTTCTCTGATATACTTTTCTATTTCTATGACTTTTTCTTCTGATAAAAGGTTTATCTACTTTTCATAATAATTTAATTTAGTGTCAAAACTTTCTTATTAAATCTAAATTTAGGCTATCAGTTCAGCCTTTTCTTTCATCCAAATTTTTTCACCTTAATTTTAATTTTAAATAAATAACTGATAAAAATTGGCATTTGCTTATTCCAAATTTTAAATTTATTTTTTGCTTTGTTTTTATTTAAGATTTTCAAAAGTAATTAAAAAATGAATATATATAGATACCTTCTATCTAGGTATCAAGTAGTTTCAATGCTTTATTGTCCTTTTCTTCATTTGCTCTTTATAATAAAAAATATTTCATTTATTTTGTATTCATAAAATAATTAAAAAAATTTATTATTACTTGAGCAATTAAGTATTTTTGAGCTATAACTCTTTGACTAATTTTTTCAACTCCTGTTGAAATTGATTTAACTTTAAATTCATATCTTGCTCCAAATTGTGGTTAATTAAAAGATATTTTTCAGCCTTCTCTTCAAGGAATCTTTTTTCGTCAGCATGGATATCCTAAAAATTTAACTTATCTTTTTAAGACATTTCAAGTTCTCTTCTGTAATGAACAATCTATGCCATTAAGTTTTCTTGCATGTCATTAATAAATTCGTTAATCTTCTAAACTTGTATAATGTACTCTTCCTCCGAAGTGTAGTTGTCAAGAGATTGTTCAAAATTTTAATCATGCTTTACCCCACTAGCTTATTTAATTAATTTAATTTCTTCATCCTTTTCTACTAATAACCTATCGAAATCTATATTGATTTGCTTAATTTATTTTTCTAATAGATTTATGCTGCTATCTCTATATTGAATTTCATTCTCATAATTTTATTTCATTAGCTCCAAACTTTGCTGTAATTAGAGTATTTATTCTTCATAATTTTTTTTAGTTTCTTAATTTTTCTATTCTAAAAGTTGCATCTGCTAAATAGTCTCCTTCATCTACACTCTAACATTAATTATTTCTTTTTCTTAACTTTCATAATCAGCTATTTTTTTGTTAAATTTCTGAATTGTATATTCTTGTTCTTTGATGATCTTATGCAAGTTCATCTCTCTAACTAAGAATTCGTTCATTTTTAGAGTTCTATCAGCCATGTTTGGATTATAATTTTACATAAGTTTCTAAATTAGTAATTAGTCCTCCTATACTATTTTTTTTATATAATTACTTATCAGAATTAATTTTACCAATAATTTACTTTTTTTAATATAGTTGTTAAAATTAAACTAAAGCCAATATTTCTTTGATGAATATTAATTAAAATGATAATTACTCTCTTTTTAAAGAAAAATCTTAACGATCAACAATCAAGTTAATCTTAATTCATTTTACAATATATATTTTTTTTCACAATTTAGATGTTTCTGAAAATATTTAAAAAAACTCTCAAAATCATAAATAAATTATATTCAAAAACTTTTTTAAATATTAATTTATTTTATGAATGAAATCTGCATTAAAAATTTATTAAACTTTTATAAATATTTTTTAATAATTAAAACATATTAAGTAAAACATATATTTAACTGTTATAAATAAAATTTCCATTTAATATTTTTCTTCTTTTCAACTTTTAGTTTCAATAAAACAAGTATTTTTAATTAATTTAAAAAAATAAAAATAAATTTTAAACTATTTTAAATATTTATTATAAGTGAAGATAAATACATTTATTTCAAAAAAAAGATATTTAAGAAACTTTGATAAACTTTTGGAATTATAAAATATTAATTGATCATCTTATTGACTAAAAATAAAAATTTTCTATAGATTTTAAATTAAATTGTTTGATTATTTATATTGATATAATAATTTTATATTTAATGAGTGACGTCTGTTACAATTAGAGATGAGTTATATAAGAATTTTTTGGAATTTTTATTTCTTTTGCATTTATTTTAACTGAATTGGATTATAAATAACAAAAAATTATCATTTTCTTAAAAAAAATAACCACCTATAATAAAAAGTAATTTTAAAATAAAAAACTAAACTTATTCATTTGTGGAAAGAAAATAATAATTGGAAATAGCAAAAGCTATTTTATAACTTAAACAGCACAATTGATAATAAAAATTTGTAAATTAGTCTATGTAAGTTAATAAATATTTATGTTATGAGAGATAAAATTAAGTATATCAAATAAATAAATGAACATTGAGTAGTACATAATTTAAATAAATGTCAAAATAAGATCTAAAAACCTAAAATTAGAATTAAATATAATTTTGCTTCTATTTTACAATTTTGTTCATTTTATGAGATATTTAATTAATTTATGTTATTTAAAATTCAAAATAATTTGGAAAATTAATTTATTATTAAAATTATTGCTCTAAAATTTCTATTCTTTCTTCGTTGAGTTTAAACAAAATGTAAATTGCAAAATTTACTAGAAAAAGTGAAATTATACTAAGATCAGGTGATTACAATTTAATTATTATACAGTCATAGAAATTTTCTAATTTATAGTTTATATTATTTAGAAAATTGGCTTTTCCTCAATTTAATAACAATAATAAAGCCAAATAATAAAGAATGTTTAGTTGAAAAGCAATTTCCATATATTTTGTATGTAAATTGAAAAAAAGTATAAAATTAAAAAAAATACACTTCTCGAATATGATATGATGTGTAAAATAGGAAATTAATTAATTTGATTTTTTTGTTTAATTTTAAAGGGAGATTTAATAGTTCTATTAAAAAAATTTATTATTTTGTTATATTTGACAATAATAAAATTCTTTCTTTTTGCTAAAGATTTGTTTGAATAACCAATCAATATTTTATCAAGTTGAAATAAAAATATTTAAGAATACTACTATTTATTTTGCTAAGATAAAATTAATATTATTAATTAAGCAATTTGTAATTTATATGAATGATAATAATTTATCTTATCAAATTTACTTTTGATTACTTACTGTATTCTACTCACTTTTTATTTTTGACAAGTTAAGTTGGTGGGGTTTGCCTTTAGTTATGCAATTACTCTGTAACATAATTTATTTGTTTATTTTGACAATATGATTATACTATTCAATATAAATTTCAAATACCATATTTATTTCCTTTCTTCCTGATAAAATTTTTTTCCCCAAATTGTAGTAATGACTTGTTGCTAAAAGCCATATGTTGAACTTACGGCTCATATAAAAGTTAAGAATAAAAAATAAATAATAAAAAATCATTTAAATTTATTTAAATATAGTAACTTTGTTTACTTTTTTAATCACTAGCACATATGGAAAAAATAAGAAAGAAAGTTGTTTTAAAAATACATTTAATAAAGGGATATCTTACATATTTTTAATTAATAGACTGGTATTTTATTGATTTTTTTTGGGGTTATTACAATAATAAAGATTACAAAGAGGATTATAAAATCTAATCATTATTTTGTTAGGTTAACACTATTTAAATTTTTAATAAATAAATAGCTAGTTTACTTGAATTAAAAACGATGAAGGTAAATTAAATAAATGACTAGCAAGCTAGCTAAATTACATAATCAATTAAAATAGATAGAAACAATAAGCTGTATTTGATTATTGCTCAATTCTCCTGATTCTCTTATATTTTAAACCTTTAATATAGCAACAGGAAGAAATTAATCAATCATAGTGTAATTTAAAAAAAAAGAAAAATACAAATAATATCTATAGATATATTATGAAAGAGGTAGCTTCTTAATAGAGCTATTTAATTGAAAGATTCAAGTAAAACTTTAAAAGAATTAATTAATTTAGTGTTTGAAATGCTAATAACGAATTAATCAGAACAGACGAAAGAGACTATCTAAAATCCACAAAATTTAAAAAAAATATTAATTAATTTTTTTGCACGCAATTAGTATCATTAGGTTGATTACTTTCAATTAAAAATATACTAATTACAGTTTTCATTAATAAAAATATGCACACTATTCTGATAATACATACATATTTTGCATTATAATCTTATGCTTCTTTTATATTTTAATTTCAGGGTTATCATATTGAAACTGAAAGTCCATTTTTAAATATAAAATATGTTTTTAAACAAAATTTAAAAATCGTCAATCGGTTTGTTTAAAGAATAAATAAATATTTTCATCAACTTTTAAATTTACAGTGAATAAAATAATCTATATTTTTTTTTAGTAGTTAAATTTATCATTAGTTCGCAATCATTAAATTATTCATCTAAAATTATATTTGGAGGTTTTGAATTTAAGCTTCTATTTTACGTTGGCTTAACTCAATCAGTCCCTTGTTTTTAAATTAATAAAAAATAAAGTTAAGGCAATTTGACTAAAGAACTTATCTCAACTGATTTATTTAGAGAAGTGAATTAGTCTTTATCAAATTTTGTTTGTTTCTAATAATTCATTTACAAAAACTAAAAGAAAATCTTTTTTATTTATCATGTTTTAATTTTTTTTTCATTGTTCCAATTAATAATATAAATCCTTTTTCGAATGTCTGGCTGGATTTTATAAAAGCAGATTCGCTTCAAAACCCATAAATCAAAAACTTAAACAATAAACAAAAAAATAAAAAATTAAGAAACAATAACAAATAAGCATGGGTTCATATAATAAAATCATAACAATATATTATTTTATTACTTATGCTCTTTTAATGTAACTTGGTTATGGAGATAGTGGAAATCCCTCCCTAACACTTTAAGACAATGACAGTATTTAATAAATTCAATGTTAAACATCTATAAGTTAACCTTGTCTAGTTACTTTCACTCCATCTTCTGATTTTCATGGAGCTGTAGAGTTGAATTTTTAAACGATAGCGGAAAGCTTAGGAACAAGTACATCTACTTATTCATAATAAATCTAATTGCAATATTGCATGAATAATAGCAGTGTTTGTGATTTTGGAGCATTTTAAATGGGATTGCGTAGTTAATCAATTCAAGGAGTCTTCTCATAAAATACATAATATACCTTTATTTTATAGGCTTAATCAAATGATCCTCTGAATTTGGTTTTCAATTTTTCTATCTCAAAAGGATAGAGATGCATAAGTAACAACTGTAGTGGTAATGGAGCTTGTATAGTTTCTAATAAAGTCAAGCAATGCTCTTGCAATTAAGGATATGGAGCCAAAAATTGCTAAGCTTAAGTGTAAACTATTGCACCAAATGTATTTTTGGATATAAATGTTTCAGGTTCTTCATAGAAAATAATTTAATTTACATCAAGCAACCCAATTTAATAAGCTCTTTTAAACAATTAATATAATTTAATTATCCAAAATTAAAATAATTAAAGATTTAATATTTACATTCTAGACGGAAATTCTCAAACAAGCAGCGGAATATTTAGTTAAGAATACAGTTCTAATTCTAATGATTCTCTAAATTTAAACTAAATTTTCTCTTCATCCAATACTTTATAAAATTTTTTACTTATCTTAATAATTAACAATGAATCTAACATCTCTTAGTCAATAAAAGTATAACTCTAAATATAGTAAAGCTCTTAAAACTAATCATCAAGTGATTCCTATTTTATTTATTTCCTTATCGGAATGGTTGGTTTGATTATGCTAATTATTATTTTAGGTTTCATTTATTTCTTATTTAAAAGAAGATTAATTAGAGAGCGTGCTTAAAATAACATCCAAATCCTTGCATAGGCTCTTATATGTCCTTCAGAATCCAAAGAAACTGATAACTCTGAAAAATTTATGAAATTATACAATTAAGCTATTCCCTCTCATAAAATGCAGGCCTCAACTTTAGAAAACTTGATCAAATAGAATAAAGAAAAACATGATTCTAACAACAAGGGAGATGCTCAACTCCCTTATTAATCTGAAGGTGGTAATTCAAACTAAATTATTTGCTCAATTTGCCTTTAGGCTATACAAGAAAACGATAAATACCGTGAAACTATTTGCAAGCATCTTTTTCACTAAGAATGTCTTGATGTATGGATTTAAAAGTAGCGCAACTGCCCTATGTGTCGTTCTAACCATAAAATAATCGATTTGTAAAAATATTTAAAAGAAAACAAGCGTTGTTCTATCACCGAAACTCATCAAATAAATGGTCATGGAGTTGTATTTGAAATGTAAGAAAACACCTCTCCAAATCAGAGAAACTCATCATCTCCTTTTGGTTTCATACCTATTCTTCCCTTTTCCCTTACAAGATAATAGTAAAGTGGTAGTGTCTGCTAAAATATGCAAGAATTAGCATCACCTAAGAAGGCATCTTACTCTCCTCCTAAACCTATTAGACCTTCATTTTAATTATAATAATAATAAATGAACGATTCTTCAAATGTATAAATCACAATACCAGATAATACAAACGACTTAACAAACTTACAATTGCCATAAGCTTCTTTGAATGAAAGCAGCATTAACCAATTTACTTTAAATAATTAGCTTCTGAACAACTCATTAGCTGGTAAAAAATCAAAAGACGAAGAATAAAATAACACATTAACAAAATTAATTGATATTTTGAACAATAATTCTTCAATATTGAACTATATCTCCAAAAATCCATAAAATAACAACAACAATAACTAATAATAATTAAAACCTATTGCTGAAGAAGAATAACAGCATAATTCAGCTTACTCCTCTTACATAAGATAGTCAAATTACAATATTTTTACTGATAACAATTAAGCGAGATAAGAAACTGATCTTGAAAGAGGGAAAGTTGGTACTTAAAATACAATTTAATAGGAGATGACTAGCTAAGCAACAGAAAATTATTATCATCGCTAATCTATTGCTTCAAGCAAAAAGCTGAATTACAATTTTCAAATTTAACCACAAGTTTAGGCCTAGTTCATGAAAGCTTAGATATTTACTTCTCAATTGAACAATAGCAATTTATATAAAAATAGAGTTATTTTATGAAAGGCTTTAGAGAAAAATTTGTAATTGAATAATCAATTTTCGCTTCAATCCCCTCCACTAAAATAAACGAATCAATAAATAAATAAATAGCATGCGCATAAAAGTGCTAATCAAATTGTTTGATGTAAATTTACAAAAAGCAACCTCAAACATAAATCAATTATAATAAAAAATTCCATAACATTTAATTTACACCTCAAACCCAATTAAATCTAATAATCATATAAAAGATAAATTAATAAGGTCTTTTTTGAAACATATTTTCCTTCTCTATCTATCACTCTCTCTCTCTCTCTTTCTCACTACTATATTCACTTCACTCCTAAATTAATTACTTCTATACATAACTATATATTTATATTTCAATTATTTATTTTACTGTAACTTCCAAATTTTATTTATTCATATAGCCGATAAATTTTAATTCCATAATTTTATTAATAATCATACTACATATATTTGATTAAATTTTTGCTTTTTATTTTTAATTTAAAGTTTTTGTTGTATTTATTTATTAATAATTACACTTACTAAAATTTTTGCTAAAAAGTATTTTATTATTCTTTTTAATTTACATTGAGAGCGAATAATATACATCACAAGTTTATACTAATTTTTAATTTAATGACATCAAAATATAGGACTAGTAAATTTAAATATCAACTTAAATCACTAATTATCCTATAAATGTAAATTTTATAAATTCAACTGCCTACAAATTCCTAGTAAAATTACTATTTTTTTTGTCATTATCTATTACTTCTTTCAAAGAAAATTAATAAAAAAGAAAATTGTGATTCATCTCAATATTTTTCATACATACAATATTTATCACTTACTTTTTTATTTTGTTTTATGAGATCTTTTAGGATATTGATAACACTTCTATTATTTTGTTTCATAGTTCAAGCATAAAATAAAAATAAAAACGAATTCGAAAGGTTTTACAAAGAAAGGTAGAGGATATGTTAGGATATAAACACTCCTCCATATGGGTGTAAAGGAATACCTTTTGATTTTAGTTTAAATTGTATTAATAGATGTATTTCTAATAAATGCTATAATGATTATTATGGTTAAAATCCACTTCTACCCGGTGAATAAGATTCTAAAAGGTAAACAAAACAACTCATCTATTTCTGTTTAAAAATTTATAAATGTTTACATTTCATGAAACTCTTATTTATACGTAATAAATACATACTTAATGTACTTATAATACTTTTTATTCATAGAGAAAGGGATTTTAAAATATGCGTAAGATCTCTACATACATACTGCAGAAACAAATTAAAGGGTGATGAAAATTATATATGTATATATTGAAATTAGCTAGAAAAATAAATAAATAAATAAAATATTTAAATGCAAGCTATACTTTGAGACCCATTTTATATTTGCATAATAAGATATATTGATTGAGCTATAAATTAGTAATTTATTTAGAATAATCTATAAATAAACAATAAAGTAACATGTATATAAATCAAAAAATAAAATTATTATTTTTGGATATCCTTCAATTTTTATTCTTTTCGTTATTTTTGTATGGATTTTGAAATTCTTACAATATATTTAAACCCTTTTTACCAACGAAATAAGTTGTAGTGAGCATAAAAAGTGCTAAAGATGACATTACAACATAGTCTTTGAGGCCTCGATTTTTCTTACTTTCAGCATCTATTTTTCTAATTTTTTCCTTTTGCTCCCTACACATTTTCTCATATGGATCTTCCTTCTTATCAGAAAAATTATATTTACTTATTTAATAAAATGCAGGTTGGGCTCTTAGAGACTAACAACGATTTAAAACAATCTTTTAAATATTCATTTTTGATATAAATTTTTATGTTTAACACTTTTAATCATATACTAAAATATTAAAAAGAAAATTATTGAATATGTACTTATCCTAAATTTAAAGGAATAAAACTTATGAGGCAAGTAAACCAAACATGTAAATCAAACATGTATTAAGGTTCAAAGTGACTTGAAAATATTTTATATTATATTTTTCTGAATTTTAATCATTTTGATTGAGATAATTTTGATACTAAAAATATTTTTTGCAGAATAAAGATATTCAAAATTAAAGAAAAAATAGTGAATTTATAAATCATTAATTTTTTCCTTATTTTTGAATAAGATTAAATATAAATTAATTTTAAAATATTATAAATAAAGCAGTTTATTAATTTATGAAGTTTGAAGGTGAAATTTTTTATTTTATTATTTTTTTCAATCATTATTCTAGTTTAAATGCTTTATCTTCACTAGAAACTAACTTATTTTTGTTTTAATTTCATTTTAAATTTCTAAATTTCAGTAAGATAGGTAAATAATTTTTCATTTTTCATTGTTGTATTTGCTTTCTATTTCAAAAGGAGAAGGCTAGTATGATGATAGATTATTTGGCAGTATATTATTAATTTTCTGATTATCAATAGATTTAAACCTTCTTCCTTTAAATTTAGTTATTTATGGCTCCTCTGTATTTGTTTATTTTTTTTACTTTTAAAACTATTTATAATTAAAATAATAAATTAATTATCTTGATTTTTTATAAGTATTTAATCAAACTTACATCTAATTCTATCCTGTTTACTGAGTGATCGTTTTCTTTTTCGATTTATATAACTGGCAGTACTTTTGGGGGAGAAATATTTCTCCTTGAGTTTAATTATGAGTTAACTCCTGATGAAAATATCTGCAAGTTTAAATCGTTTACATTTTTAGGAGTTTAATGAGCACTCTTGCTTGCTTCTTTGGATTTATATTACTTTTACTACTGTTATTGATTTTATTACTACGAAGCTTTGTCTTTAAGCATTTATTTACTTGCCTACTGTTTTTCATTTTGTTATTGTGCTTGGAAAAAGCTAAAATTTTTATCTTAAAAGCTGTTTTCTGAGCTCTTTGTTTGTTTTTCGATAGGTTAATTTTTTTTATCATTTGAATCTATTATTATTTCTTCTTAGAGATACTTTGTATTCAGCACTTCTCCAGCTCTGTTCACAACTTCACTAAGCTTCATGTGCCTAAAAATTTGATAATTAAAATTATTAAAAAAAAGATATTATTTATAAAATTTTACTATTTATCTTTAGTTGTTCTCTCTTTTTAGTCTACTTACTAAAATTAAGCTGTTATTTCTAAACGCTAGTTATTATGACGGCGATCTGATTAAATTTAATTTTAGTTGTATTGCTAAGGTGCTAATTAGTAGTTATGGTGGGGCTAATGAACTGAATAAACATTTCTTTTACGGAAGGAGTTTCTCCTTTATTGGGGAAATGCTGAAAATATTTATTAGGGTTTTGTTTCATCTAAAGTTGTGCTATTATGGGAATTACTGTTTCCTAAGAGATCGTCTGAAATTTATTTGGAGTTTTTCCTTCTCTGTATTAAGTTATTTTATAAATAATTGGCATAGTGCATTGAGCTAGGAAGTGTAGAAGAGTCTAAACCATCTGAAACCTAGCTTAGCATATTCACATTTGGTAAGGTACAATTATCACACATAGATCTTGTTAAAAAAGAGCTACTATCATTTTAATTGAGTATATAATTATTGTTATTATTATTTAAATAGACAGTATTTCCTTACGAAGCTGTTTCGTAAAGTGATAATTTATCATTACAAACTGAAAGTATGTCATTATTTATAGATAATAAGTCAGCATTATTATAACTGTTATTCATAAATTGAATATTTAACGTAGATCCTTTCATACTAAGATTATTGCTATTTTAATTTAAAAAGAGCTTATCCTTGTTGAATATCATAAGTTAATCATCCAAATTATTGAAACTCCCCATTTAGCTATTATACTTTTTATTATCGTTCCCACCTAAAGGTTCTAAATCGATTTGGCTAAGAAGTATATCTCCCTGACTATATAAATGAGTTTCTATTTATTTTTAGCTAAAAGTTGCGTTTTATTCTAATAAAGGTGTTGTTTCAATTTTTTATAATTCGGCTTTACTTTAAAAATTACTATTTGGATTGCTTGAGCTGTTCTGTTTGTTTATTTAATTAGAATTTTATACTAAAGACCCGTTCTTTATTATTTCTTCAACTACTTAAGTAGTTGATGAAGGATGTATATTATTTCTATTAGTATTTATATTACTTATTGCACTAGTTTGTTATTGTTTTTATAGAATGTTTTAATTGTTTCCAATAACCTATGATGTACTACTTATAACATTTAAATTATTATCGTAGTTTCCATTATTTTTATTATTTATATTAGATATTGCCCCATACTTTTTATTTACTAGTGTGCTATTCTTTTAATGAGATTAAGACACTTTTGTTTTGTAGTGGTTAGTATTTAAATCAGACAACTTTATTAAATTATAATTTACAGTTTTTTCTTTTTCTAGGGATACATTTTAAGAATGACTAGGTGGTTGGGATTAATATTAATTGTACACTTTTTATTGCTAAGTAAGATTGTTTATATAATTTTATTCTATGTACTAATTAGTTAATTTTTCTTTGTATGGTTAAATTAAAGGTAAGCCTGCATCACTGTTAAGTCTATTTTCAGCTAAAATATCATTGTTATTGTTTGGCTATGTCATTAGAGTATTTATTGTATTTCCTATAAATAAAATATTTATTTGTTGATTTCATTTTTAAAGTAATCAAAAAAGTTTAATAATTACCTGTGTAACCATTGCTATTTCCTCTAATATACATGATTGGCGAAAAAGATTCTTCCCTGCTTTTTGGTTATATTTAATGACTAAAGGATTAATTAACAGCACTTGTGTTTAATTAATTTTTCTTTCCGTTGATATTTATAGGGGATTTAGGTAGATTAAATTTATCAAAAAGTGGTGATTTCTTTGAAATCTTAGGGTGTTTAAGAAGTATATTATAATTATCAGGTTTCTAAAAATACATGATATTATTAGTAAAGTCTATATTTGCTCTATTAATGCTTCTAGCTCCAGAGTTAGTTGAGGAGCCCGAACCAACAACGTGTATTTAATGATGATATTGGGGCTAATTACTGAGCCCATTTATGTGGTGATTGTATGCTTAAAATTTGTGGTTTTGGTTGTCTTTCTAAAAAGAACATTTGTTTTTTCTTCACTCCCCAAAAGTTGGTGTGTTTAATTGGCTTCTCATTTACTAGAATTTTAACTATTATTATTCTAAATAAAATTTCATAAGTTTAAGTAAAGCTATTTTTAGAAGTAAAGCCCAAGCAATCATTCAAATAAATAAACAAAAAATATCTATCAACTGATATTTTAATAGTAAATGTATATAAAATTAGGTTCTTAATTTTTCTAATTTCTTTTACTACCAAGTATATATATATATATATTTATTAAAGAGGTAGCTCTTACATAGATACAACTAATTATTATATTTTACCTGCAAATGAAGATGAAAAATTATCAGCGCCATTCATATACGCCTCTTTTTAAAAATTTTTGCTATCAACTCTAGCATTCCCACCTTAAATATTGGGAGAAAAATCATTTTCTAAATCAGAATGCTAATTAAGACTGTTTAAAATACTTCCTAATGCACCATTTTAATTGCGCTAACTCACAGTGCGAGTTTCAACTGACTAGGCTCTTTTATTGTACATTTATTTTGGAATATTATCTAATAATTTATTGCCATTACAGCTCTCCACCCTTATTACATTATTTTATTTACTTGCCTATCTATTATTTGAATTTCCTCCTGCAGGAGCTACTCCTGAACTATTTAAATATCCCAAATTCGCATCAGCTAATGATATCTAATTTTATATGATTAAATTTACTAAAAAGCCACATTTAAAAACATGAAAAAATATGATCCAACTCTTTGCTTTGAGTATTATATATCATTTTAAATAGATACAAATTGTCTAAATTAAGAATTACTCATACCTAAACATTCAGACTGTCTTCAAAGTAATTCATTTGATAACTTAAATATTCTTTCCTGATTATAAAAATAGTAATTTAATTAATAATTTCTTTTGTTTACAAATATAAAAGGATTTATTTGGTAATTCTTTATCTATTTTGTTAAGACTTTTGTATTTTTAATAATATAGGAAAGTCAATCAAAAACCAAGATTTTAGTCATATTTAACAACCAAAATACTGCATAGTTGTTTGTTTGCGTATTTTTTCTTAATTTTTTTAAAAAGACTACATCCACAACAATTTTTATAAACAGAAAGTACTATTTACATATATTTCTTTATATTTCTAGCCATCTAAAATTTTTATTAATCCTTCACTCATCAATTACTATTTGTTTATACTATTCTTATCTATCAAATATTAAATTATATTTTTAATTTTATTACTCCAATATTAGTACCACAAATATTAATTTGGAATTATTATATTCAACCATTTTCTTCAATTTGTAAGCTTAAATATTTCTACAAAAGCAAATTAGCAAAAAAATAGATCCTAAATGAACAAAAAGGACATAAATTTTATTAATCAATGTTTTTAACAGAAAATTTCTTACATTTAACTCTTCAAATAAAAGTATTTAATTGATTTAAATAATTTGAATTAATTATTTATTAAAAATTATTTTTATAAAGAATACTAACTAAATGATAGCTTTAAAAATGAGATGATTTTCAATATAAAAGGAAATATGTTTGTCTATGAATTAGAATAAAACTAATTCAATTTACACATCCATCAAAGATCAAAGCTTAACTAATTAAAATGGTTCTATGAAAAATAATAAAACAATAACGAGTAAATTAAAATTTTCCTCAATAAAAGGATTAAAATTAAAAAGATAAAATTTTTTTAGAAATTATATAGATCCTTCTTTATTCTCTTTTTCAATACCAAATCAAATTTAATAGCTCCTCATTTTTTATTTTATAAAAATAATTATTATAAACCAAATACTCTTCTTTTCTACATAATAAGCAATACGCTAACATAAATATAAAATAAATATATTATTTAATTATTTGATAATATAGTCTAATATTAATTTAGAATTCTTCTTATCTTCTTCATTCTTCTTAAATTGTTTTCATTTGATTCTTTTATTGTAAATCAAATTTTTAAAAAGAAAAAATGAAAAAAATAGTTACTGTTGTTATAGGAGATATATATATATTTAGATATTTTCATAATTTTATAAAGATTTCAAAGAATAATAAAAAATTAATTAATTTTACAAGATTTTTACAACTATAAAAAAAATTAACCTCAAAATAAATTAATTTATATATTTAAAATTATTATAATAAATTCATTTGCTTGGAAAAATTTTTAGTTAATTAATTAAATAATCATTATTAATTTATTAAAAAATTATTTGTTTTTTTTCATTACTTGTCTTTTTTGTTATTAGTAACTGATAAATCTTTCATTTCTATTAATGTACTTTGAGGCTACTTTTATAGACCTTAATTCAATGTTTTACTAATAGATTTTTTTTCATTTTTAGGTTAGAGATTTTCTAATCTTGAATTAATCTAAGATTTTATCTCTTAAGTTATTCCACTAAAGGAGATTTTTAATTGAGTATTTTACTCAAATTAAAATTAATCTGTTTGATTATATTAATTCTAGATTTCGTACTAGTCTTTATGCATAGGGTTATCTTTAATTGCAAAAGATACATCAAACTGTCCTTTGAGTTCTTATTAATGTTTTTCTTCTTCCTCCTCTTCTTTAATCTATTCCAGAATATTAATATTTTGTAAGTCTTCAGGATTTATATTTTTACTATTTTCATCTTCTTAAGTGTAAATTTGGCATTTTTAAACATCTTCATCTATTATTATACTTTATTCCATTTAACTATCTTGTAATCTTTCAGATACAATAGAAGTGTTTGAGTTATTTATTGATTAAATTAAAGGAGAAATGCCAATTGTATTATTTTTTTTCCTAGGGGATTATGAGTCTTTTTTATTTAAAACTACAGCTTAGTAATTATGCAAATTAAAATTTTCAACTTAGTCTTCTCCTTATTATGAAGAACTCTTTTATTTAAGCTTTTACAGGGGCGATAAAGATTTCTTTTTAATAGGTGAGTCCAATTACTAGAAACTATACTTCTTTTTTTTACTCAATGATTTATTAGAAACAATATTCATATTACTTAATTTCTTCAAAGGAATATTTATTTCCATTTCCTTCTCTTTTTAATTTAAATTAAGATCTACTTACAATCCATTTACATTTTTATTTAATTTTTATTCACTTTGATCAGTTTTATTTTAAATATGACCTGAGCTTTTTCTATTATTTTAATTTAATTCTTTTTTATCTTCATTATTTATTTATTACTATGGTTGGTTTTATGATTTTTATTCATTTTATTAATCATTTTAAGTTATTTAATTTCCTTAAACTTCACTTTTTTGTTAACTATGCATCTAAAGATTTTATATCAATCTCTTTGTTCGTTCAATTACTTTGTTTTCTAATAGGTTTTTAATTTGGTTTAATTCTTGTTGAGATAGTTTTTATCTACAATGAGGACATGTTTTATCTTTTTTAAGCCAATCTTTGATACATTAGTCATGAAAAAAGTGATTACAGTAGGTTAAAATTCTTAAATTCTTTTTTTATTGTTTTATTTATTATTTTTCTTATCCTTCTTAGGAATTTATTTATTGTTAATTTTAGTTCTATTTTTTTTCTTTTTCTTATTATTAATCTTCTTGTTCATCCTTTTCTTCGTCAAAATCACAGTAACATATTGAACATTCTTTATTTATATCTTCAGCTTTTATGTTAGGATTTTCTTGTTTTAAGTAATCTTGTATTTATTGTAGTGTCATTAAAGGAAAGCACTTATCAAAATCTTAAAAATATTTTTTATCATCTTTTTAAACTGCCTAAGGCAAATTCATCAGTACACTTTGAGCTAATAATGCCATAGGATTTTAATTTAGCAAGGATTATAAAAGTTGTTAATCAATATTTGAAGAAGGGTTATTTTGCTAAAGTTCTTATCTGTTTCTCGAAAGCTGTTGTTACAATCTTCGTTTTTAGAGTTAGCGCTTTCTCCTAGCACACAGAATTACTATAACAAGCAAAATAATCAAAATTGCTACACTAACTGATGTAGCTATAATAAATGAATTCCCACTATATTATGGCTAATTTTGAGTTTGTTATACCATTATATTTATTTGCCCTTAAATAGTATTAAAGTAAGCGGGCTGCATTTACAGATTTCTATAATAATCACTGCTTTTTGGTATTTAAGAGAGAAACTTATTATCAATAGTACCAGATTAAACTAACGAAGACTAATAATTTTAGCTTGCTCTACATCCAATAAGTATTCTTAATTACTAAAGATTGTATGTTGAATAAATGTTTTGTATATCACTGCCTTTTATAGTTATTTACTATTATGCTTCAGTACCTTATCCTTATATCTAAATAATTTTGTAATAATTTTATGAATCTGGGAGATATTTGAGAATACTTGGTATCTCAAAATCTAAGTAGCAAGAAATAGTATTAGTATTAAAATTGCTCTAGTACAAAGAAAATTACAAATCATTAACTTAAGCTACATAAAAAGCAAAATATGTGTAGCTATAATAGCTTAGTGATATGCTGTACTGATTATATGTATCTAAAATATTAATTAGTTGGATTTGTTTGCTGCAATCAATATCAGCGAAATTGTTTAGGCATCAGCAGCTCCCATTTGATGTATCACACTGACCTTGCTAGAGTTATTAGAAGCACATACTTTTTTTAAACAAAATTAATAAATGAATAAATTTTTTAGATTAAATTATCAACATAGATGGCAAGGTAAGATAAGAAAATTATTTATTTTAACTTTTTAAAAAGTTATTTCTTATTCTTATGTAAAACTATTTTAAGAAATAAAAAATTACTTTTGGCAATTATATTTATATGGAGCGTATTCTTAGTAGCTTTTTAAAGTGACGCTTGCGTTTGCAGGTAAAGCAGGCAAATAAAAAGCAAAGTTTAAAAAATTAATTCCTAAGTTTATCATACCACTGTAGGCATTTTAAACTTAATTCAAATTTATTAAAAATTTACAAGATTATTATGAATTTTTTTTATTGTTAAAACTAATATGGTCTACTAAAGTATTTACTGGCTGATATCCATTCTATATAACTTTAAGAAAAGGACTATTTTAATTTAGTGATAATGCACAAATAGCTGAATAATCATCTAAATTAGTAGTAGGTATAGTTGTTGGTAATTAGGTAATATTATATAGAAATTCAATATATACTCCTTATACTTTACTAAAATCTATTGCTTATCTAAAAAATAAATTATCAGATGCACTTAACGTTTAACCTATTGTAGGAAAATTTTGATAACTCTAATTTGGCCTCAAATCTTTGTATTATACATTTTAATTTTGATAGAAGAATATCTACTAGTTAAAAATCCCCTATGAATAAACAGAGGAAATCAGTAACGCGAGTATTAAACATTATTAGAGTTATTTTGCATATTACTTCCTTTTAAAAAAGGCAAAATCTACAAAAATAAGTTTCATCTATCTTCTTATTTTTAATTTGTAGACAAAAGGTTAGGTATGTTAGGTTATGTTTTTTTTTAATATTATTTACTAAAATTTGTCAACTATCACCAATAGATTTTATATTATTTGATTACTTTATTTCTTATAATTACTTAATATTATACCTAAATATTATATTTACTTAATACAAATTGTATCCTCTATTTATTTTTTGTGGAGAACCAATTTTTCTTAATGATAACTCATTTTACTTTCTTTGTTGACTCCAAATTTTGATGTTTATAAGAGTAAATGAAATAAAATACTCACTTAATAAAAGAATAAAATATTAGATTCTCATTTTTGGTATTTTGAAATTTTTATTTTATTTTATTTTAAATATTTCTCATTATAATTTTTGTAAAGTTGCATTTGTTATTATTATAAATTAGCTAATGACTTTATTGATACTGTGATAAAATAAAATAAATATGTTTATACTTATTTCAATATAGATAGATAAATACTAATTTTTAATTTAGAATTATTTATATTAGCTTGAATAATTTAGGTTTATTTCCCTTTACTTAACTATTTATGAATGTGATTGATTGATTTTTAATTAATTAATTAATTATTTTATTTTTACTATAAAGTTTGTCTTTAATTATTTATTTGGTGAATATCTCTTTCTTATCAAAAAAGCAATAGGGAAGATGATTAATTCCGTTACAATAGCAGTAATTTATTTTATATTCTTTAAAATAGCTAAATTAAAAGCTTTGAATACAATTCTTTCAAAAATCTTCAAAGAGATGTTAGAGGTCTCTTGGTAGGCTTCTTGCTCCTTCTTAAGAATCTGGATACTTTTCAAAGCAAGATGCATCTTATTCATTTCTGAGTTACGGAGTCCAAGGAGCAGGTATATCCTTATTAAATACACTTTCCCAATCTACACCTCTAAACCATTTATGTTTGGAAACACTTTATCCTTTCTACAATAATTTTATAATTTTTATCTTAGTTATTTTTACATGTTTGCAAAAAATAAATAATTTACATCATGAACTCCTAACCTATAGTTAAGATCAGGGTTTAGTAATTTTCTAATTAAATCTTTAGCTTTATTGTCAAAGAAACGAGGGAATTCTATTATACCTGCTATAATCTTTTTATAAATGCCAATAGGTTCATTATCATAAAAGGGAGGATACCTATATATTTTTAAAAAATTGATAGTTAATTGTATTAACTTACAGCAAACTTGTTAATTAATTACCCTGAAAGCATTTCGAATACTAATATACCCAATGCCCACCAATCAACTGATTTTCCATAGCCAACTCTAGAACCTTTTATAATTTCAGGAGCAAGATATTCTGGAGTACCACAAAGAGTAAATGTTCTATCATTATCTAATTTTTTAGCAAATCCAAAGTCAGTTATTTTAATATTGCCTTCCTTGTCAATAAGAAGATTTTCTGGCTTTAAATCTCTATAAACTATATCATGTTAATGCAAATACTGTAAAGCAAGCAAGATTTAGCAGGTATAGAATAAGCCTACATCATTAGAAAATCTGCCTTCTTTTCTTAGTCTGCTAAATAATTCACCTCCTTGAATATACTCAAAAAGCATATATATGTATTTATCATCTTAAAAACTCTATTTCCTATATTAATTAAATATTAAATTTACTTGTTATTAATACTTTATTTATATATTAATTAAACAAAATTTTGATAGAGTGATAGAAAGAATCTGCTGTGAATATTTAATACTCAGCATTAATAAGTTGCTTATATATTAATAATTTTTTTAATTTACATTTATACTATAAAAGGATGCTTCACACTCTATAAAATCTTCTTTTCTGAATTTATGTGCTCAACTTAATTTAATCTTACTATTTCTGTTTTCTTTAGCATTTTTAAAGCAAATATTTCTTTGTTAGTATCCCCTTTAAGTTTTACTTATCTCACTCTACCAAATGTTCCAGTACCTTTTATTAATATCAAAACCATTAATCAACATTTGATCTATATAGATAACTTGATAATTAAACCAAATTAGCATAGAACTTCTTTTAAAGATTATTTAAATAAAGTATTTTACCTAATGTTGCAAATATTTCAAAATCGCTTATCTTCATTGTATCACTCTTAGTCTATATTTTCCCTTATTAATTTAAAGGTATTTCTATAAGATGGTTGAATTCGCTAATTAAGTCATCTTCTACAAAGGGTTCTGACTGCTAAATGTCCCCGTTTCTATTTTACTACTCCTCTCTTTATTTAATCTTAGCTAGCTAAATGAGCTTTATTTGAAACTATTCGAAAAACTATTCCTCACTAATTTACATTATTTTTAATATACTTGGTTATGGTCACTAACTAATTAACTTGCCAATTTGGATTCAATTTAAAATTTTTTAAAGTTTGACTTGATTATCTTGTAACTCTTTATAAAATATTTTTATTATTTATATTTACAGATAGATAGCAGTAAAGTAATTCAGTTGAATATTGTTTCTAATTTGTTATTTTAATTAATTGAAAAGTAATTCAAATAAGCAAAAAAGTACTTTTGATTTTTATAGTTAATTTTTGTTTGTTTGTTTATTTATTAATTTTCTTTTTTTTTTGATTGTGTTTTGAAAGATATTATAAAACAATGGTATATTATTATTGTTTTATATCGATCCGATATTTATCATTCAATTATTGACTTTTCATAATATTTCTTTTCACTTTATCACTTTATAAATTGAAACAAACAATCAAATAAATAAATAAATTAATATGAATGAATGAACATTACTAGCTTCTAATTAATATTTTCAATTATTAATTGTGAAAATTTTTGATTTTAAAATGTTAATTTTGATTAATTTTCTTTTTTTTTAATAAAAATAGTTAGCACCCATTCAATTATTATTTTTGGAGATGGTCTACCAATAATAATAGTGAATGACTGAGTTTAATTTTATATTTCTTATATGATATAATTTTAAAACAAATCTTAAAATTTGAAACTAAATTTGTAAATTTAAACCATTATATTCTTCTTTTGTAATTTTATATTTTAATACAAATTATATAAAACATTTTTATTTTTAAATTTGTTATGATTATTATAATAAAAATATATTTCACTTAGTCGCATGGTGCTAATCAATTTGATTTTAAATTGATTTAAACATTTGGTTGAATTCTGAAGCATTGCTGGTCTTTATTTTATTAACAGAACTTCTGCTATGATAAGATTCTTTGTGCTTGAGATTTTGTATTTATTCTTTATCACTCTCCTCTGAATTATCTTTAAATATAGGATGATAATAGTCATAGTCATCAAGAAGCTCATTCTTTATGTCTTTGTAGTCTGTCTTAATTTACCTTTTTCTGTATTTTTCAGAAAACATACGATTGTATAAGTCCGCCAATCCTTTTAAAGGGAAATACCTAAATACTAAAGCTATTAAAAAGCCTAAAATTGAGGTATAAAAGAACACAGATTTTTATGGAGAGGGCCAATCAAAGTGCTGTATATTACTTTAGGAAGTTTCAAATTTACTTACAGGCATAAACATTGTAAGCATATTACCAAAAGCAAAATAGACAGAGTATATTTTAAAGCTATTTAGCATATATTTAGCCAAATCGTATGTCAAATAATTTTTGCAAACATATCTCCTGAGTAGAAGATATTTGTCTACCCAAAAGGTTACAACCAAACCTATTATTGAGAGAGGGACACCTATAGGAATAAAAGGAGAAACCGAAGCAGTAAATAGCACAGTCTTATTTACATTTGCATATCTTAAAGCCATGTCAATTGGATGTCCTTCAAACAAACTATTAGCTTCCATTTGAGTCATCGTAGAGGAATCCTTTTCTGCTCTATATCTCATGATAAGTCTATATCCCCAAACAATATCAAACACATTGAATATAGACCCAATATATGAATTAGTAATAAAAAGGAAAAAGAAATCACCCATCAAGCCTTGTGCATCAAATGGGAATTCTTTTGCAGTACTTATAAAATAGTTTACCATATTAGACATCAGTGTGCTAATAACCATATTTACAATAAACATTTTAGTTAATTTTTTTCCAACACTAACAAAGTATTTTGTTTGAACGTTATGCTCCTCATAACTTACACCTTTTCTGATAACAATACCTTTGATAATTATAGTTTTATAACTTTTGTTTATTTTAAATGAATAATTTACCTAATAATGAGTTGAAAAGAGCAACAACTGTGGAGGATGTAAATGATAAAAGCAAAGAAATAAGTTGAGGTTGAACTGATTACTCTCTTTTAATTGCTTTCTTTAAAAAAAGGAGTACAAGAAAAGATATCAGAATCAAAAAGTAAGTCATAATATAGGACAAAATGATATATTTCCATTTCTTACGAGTTGATCCTATATTCGTCCATAGAATATCTGTTGGTTCAGGAGCTTTTCTTACTTTGATAAAGCAATTGTTGAAGTAATAGTCATTAAGTATTTATCTAGATTTTTTAGGAAAAATAACTCTGAAGTATCTAAAGAATTTCTCCTTGTAAGTTAATTTAAAGGCATTTCTTACACACTTAGCAGTTTTAAAACTATTGAAAGTAATAATTGCTCTCTAAGAAAATGTTAACTTCTTTTCATTTGTTTCTGATTCTTCATCGTAGCCTGTAAGCAATTCTTAAAATTCTTTAAGCTTTTAGTCTGTTTATTTTATATCACTTTCTATTTATTCAATTTATTAGTTAATTGTTGCTACTTATTCTTTGAATTACTAGTACTATTGTATAGTATTTCTTATTTTTAGTTCTTAATTTGAATTTTAGCTGTTGTTACTCTGAGAAATTTCTCTGTTACAGCTTTCGATTGGCAAACCTTCTTCATCATCTTTCCTTAAATGCTAAACTAATTAATTTTGATCAAAAGGATCAATTGAATCGCTACTTAATTTAGGCTCACACTTTTTCATCTCAGCTCTTAACTATACTAATTTTTTATTAAGTTTAATTCTTTTTTTGTTATACTTAACTTTGCTTTCATACAATTGAGCATACTCTCTGAGATCATAGAGTTTGTAAGATTTAATTATGTTAAGCTAACTTTCATCTGTGAAATCTTAAAACTTTTTGGAAACTTTATCAAAGAGAAAAGTCTCAAAATCTTTCATATCAAAAGTTTTAGGTAAATGTGTAATAAATACAGAAAAATCACTAATAGAGCAATGAAAAGTTTCTAATTTTTATTTCTTAATCTTTTATTAAATTTTGAATATAGAAATCATAATCATAGAGACAATTAAAAATACTTGGTTACAAATATTTTCAACATTTAATTTCTGTATTTTGTAAAAATTTTAACCTTAAAGTATGTTGAGAAAAGAAAGCATACAAATAAACGAACTATCATTATACTCTTTGCATTGATTTGAATTTACATTTATCACTATACTTGGAATACTAGAAACGAAGAAATGAATTGTCAGTAAAAGTGCACATTACTTTATAAAATCAAAGTACAATGGATAAGTAATTCCTAAGTGCAAAAAATCAATCGTATTACAATCTATTGGTATTTATTCATTTTCAATCAAAAATCCACAGCATGGACATTTTTCTCCTTATTTTTAATCTTGCTAATCAAGTAAGACTTTTTTATTTTCTTCTGATTAATTTCTTATCAAGTCAATGCTATTATCATTTTATTATGAAAAAACTTTAATTGTTCTTTCAACATTATTTGAATTTAATCTATCTTCTTTATTAGAAATTAAATTATTTTATGCTTATTCACATTTTTAATCTCCTTCTACACCGCTAATTACTTTTTATTGCTTCTAATTATCTTCATCAATATCTGCAATGCTAATTTAACTCAAATTTTCCAAACGATCTGTTTTTTTACCATCTTTCATATATTTTGTAGGCCTACAAACTCTTCTTGCCTACCCATGTAGTTTAGCTTCATTCAAATCTGGAGGGCACTTAAAGGGGTCATAAGCTTAAGAAGCTACATGGTTTTACATCATATGACTAATGTTACTAACACCATTTTAAAATCTTCTTTAATTTGTAAAATGTGCAAAATGTCCTTCTGACTAATCACTTGATTGACTTCTTTTCATATTATTGTGTGATTATTAATTACTAAACTTTATGAATATTATTAATTAATTAATAAAAAAAGAGAGTATTAATTATTATTATTATTTGACTTTATCACTTAATTTGCTAAAATATAGCAAACCAAGTATTATATATGTTCATAATATTTTTTTTAATTTACTTACAAAATATTTTAGGTTTTTTAAATAGTTAATAAAAATTGAGATAATATTATCTTAAAATAAAGGCTTTTAATTTAATCCTACTTCCTTATGACTCAATTTTTTATAAGTATTAAAAATATAATAATTTTAGTTTAGGAAAAAATGAAATTGTAAATTTTATTTAATGAATGAATGATTGTCTTTAAAATAATAAATTTGAATATTGTTTATTAAGAGCATAATTATAACAAATAAACAAAAAGTATAATAAAAATAAATTTAATTAATTAAGAAAAATAGCAAAATTTTAATTGTTTTTGACTTTATTAATGGTTTTTTTTTTCTTAAATGAGTAAAATATTTTTAATATAAATTATTTAATTTAAAAAAATTTTTAGATGCAAATTATATTTTTTATTTATTAGCAATTATTTCTATTTAATATTTAAAAATTTTCCTAATTCCAAAATAAAAAAGAAATTGGATTAAATTTATTTGAAAGGTTCAAACAGTTAAAAAAAAATTCAATTTAAATTGAATTTGAAAAAATATTTTTATAAAATAGCAAATTAATATTTTTTAATTTATAAATTATCCATTATCATAATTATAAAGCAAATACTATTACAGGTGGATCAGCAGTAATTTTATTAATAAAATCCTCAAATTTGTTTAATTATAATTCATTACTAATAAACTATCTATGATCATGGTCGTTAGGATATTAGAAGACTAGGTAATAAACTATAAATGTACTGTAAATTGAGCCGTACATATTTACATAAAGCAAAGAAATCACATAGCTGATTATAAACATAAAAGCAATCGGCACCATTATAGTTGATACCTAAAGAGAACTACTGGAAAAAATTGCTAGTGTAAAACTTAATCCTACAATAAAGCAAATTGAGTATTTTATTTGATTTTCAAAGGTTTCTCCTTCATCAAGCATATCTTCAAACCAAAAGGCTGTTTAGTCTATTAGTTTTTACATCTTTATACCAGCTTCGGAAAATCCAATTTGATTAGATATACTATAAAAGAATCCATAAGGCTACAGACCTTTCAATAATTCATTTCCTTCATACCACTAACAAAGACTTCTTTGAATTTTCATGAAGGAAGTATGAGGAATTTCTTCATCTCTAGGTATTCTACTTTAATTTAATAGTATGTCTTGTCTAAATTTATCTAATTTACGCTAATAAGATGTGTCAATTGATTCTAATATTGATCTTGGAATATACAATAGAAAATATAAAATTGAGCATTTTGCTATTGTGCCAATCCTAAATTAGTACATTTTTGTAACTTCAGTGCTAAATATTTCCTTTAAACCTCTAATACGATCTTGATCAAATCCTTCGTGATTTCTTTCATTTCTAATATTCATTTCCGAAATAGATAAATAGTATACAAGATATTCACAGAATTGGAGAATAAAAATGAATATCCAAAAAAATCCAACAAATAAAAATATCATCAGAAAATATGCAAAACCACTTGTTTTGAATTATTCAAATGGCCATCCTTGATCATCGCTTTTAGTGCTACCTAATGAAAATAAATTTAAAACTACTCTAAAAAACAGAAGGGATATGAGTATAAAAATGGCAAAAGCAAAAATAGGCAAGTATATGAGATTCTAGCATTTTATAATATCAGAAATAAATTCTAACATAGTGTTTCTCATTTTTTTTATTTATCCCTTTGTTTATTCTTCTGTGTTACTTTCTAAAAATGATTTGATGTATAAGATGCCATTCACAAAGCAAATGATTGAAATTAGTAAATTTCCTACAAATGAAGAATTGCTAGAATCTACTTCTTGCATAAGTTTGTCCTTATCACCAATAACATTTTTATCATCTGGCTATGATGCAGTTGCTAAGTGCAAAGTTCTAAAAAGGAATAAAGTTCCAAGAAGCATGAAACCAACAGTACTTAGGAAGAAGTAAACTTTTATAGATTGATTAACCATGCTCTTTTAATCAATGATGTACTTTGTTGCAAAACTCAAAACGAAAGCAAGCAAACCGAAGATAACTAAATAAGGGAATGTGGCATAGACATCGCTAAGAATCTAATCAATTTTGCTTATATGAAGAGCTTCAAATATAAGTTTGTAATACCCTACATTTTTAGGCATACAAACTTTTCCTAAGTAAACAGCTGTGTCATATAGTAAGACTTCTTCACTTCTATCATTAGATCTGGGAATGTTAAAATTGCAAGATTTTACAACTGAATTAACATAGCAATCAAGTTTATCATTTAATTAAGGCTAAACAGAATAAACTTTGCATTCCTTTACACATACAGTCCTACTCAAATATTGCTTGCTAGGAGTAACAAAATAAATGTATGGATAATCTTTTAAATCACCTTAGCCACAGGGGTTTCCATCAGGGTCTACTGGATTAGAAAGCTTATGAGGATCACCAATAATCACTATTATAAAGCTTAATAATAAAGTAATGCTTGTAACAATGTAAAAAGCATGCTTCCAACTTGGATCTGTATCTATTGGTTATTAATTAACTGATGGCTCTGGTTATGGCTAATCTGAGCTTGCTTATCCTAAATTAGATTTATATCTACTATTCATTTTTTTATTTTTTATCTAATATCTTATTTTTCAGTAAATAATAATTATTATTTGTAATCTTAACAGTCAATCTGCTAATAGCTAATTTAATAAAAATTTTGAGCAAAATATTGTACTTGTTTGCACACATAAAATAAATTAAGAATGGATCAATTTTAAAATAAATAATTTTTTATTTATTTTCATGATTTCTCAAAAAAATTTAAGATATTATCAATCCATTTAAAAACAATAATAATACATCTTGTTAAATAAATTTATTTATTTCATATTACTGAATTTAAATTTGATTGATTCATATAAGGAAAAAATATCCTAAATGTTTATTCATTTATTTATCTATTTATCTATCTATCTATCTTTGCTTTTTAAACTACATTTAAGAAAGTTTTATTTTAAGCTGGCTCATTATGAAAAATAAGATATTACATTAGCTTTTTAAAAAAATCTACTAAATCAATAAAAAAATTTATTTCGATGCTAACTTTATTTGAATAAATATCATATAAGACTAAACAATAAAAACATTAGAGCACAATACATGAAGCGAAAAAGGTATTTTCATTAATTTATGTTATCCTTTAGATATTTAAATGAACTATGTTTAAGCAATTTTAAATAGAATTTTACAACTTATTTTTCAAATAATTTTTAAGTTGAAATATGAAAGACTTAATAATCAAGCAATAGTTAAAATAAGATAGATATATTCGCTTTTTATTATCAGCAAATAAACTTAGGCTTCTTTAATCTTAGGATTAATAGAAAAAGTAGCCTTTAAATGCTTATCAAAAATATTAAATACTTTACAGAAAGCTTTAATAAAGCACATTTTGAATGATATCTTTCCTACAATGTAGAATTTTTATAAAAAATTAATATTTTCTAATTTTTGAATTCAGTTAGTACCTTTCTAGCACATATGCTAATTATATTTTTCTAATCTCAGTTAAAATTTATTTTCATATAATTTCATAAAATTTTCTTTAAATATTTTATACTAAATATCTAATAGCAGAAATACTATTTTAAAGTTGATTAAGTTTTTGTAAATTAAGCAATAAGCAGTATTATAAAACTATGAATTGAATAAGATTTTATTTTGCTATTAAATTTCTATTTGTTTTTAGATAAATTAAAATTATTTTTAATTTACTCAAAAATATCTAAAACTTATTAACATTTTTAGAAAAGATTTAATTGTAAATTTATAAAAACAATTTAAATATAAAATAAAAAATTGATCTAAGTTAACAAGGTTCATAATTTTTTTACCCTTTTTCTTTAAATTAGAATTGCTAAAAATAGTTATTACATCAAAATCGTTATAAAAATTAAATTTATTTTAGATTATTTTGTGAAGCTTTTTATAAATGATACCTTAATATTATTTAAATTAAAGAGTGAATCAAGTATTCGTTTATTATAAATGTTAAAAAATATTTTGGATACTATTAATAATATGGCATTATTAAATACCTTAAAAACTTTAATAAATCTTCACCTAATTATGAAAACAATGATAGGTAAAATAAAATCAAAAACTCATGTTAATTTACCTATTTATTTTTGGATTTGTTTTGCTAAATATTACATATTTAAAATTTAGAAATATAAAATCTAAATTTTAACTATCTCTTTAGATTAATAGCTCAGATTTTGAGGCTAGAAACTGTTTACCTAAATTTATTTTCTAACATTATTAGAAAGAAATTTGTTAAAAATTGTAATTTGATTAAGTAACTTTTGATATTAAGAAGTATTTAATTATATAAAATTACAATTTACAAATAGGCATTATTTTATATTTAAATTTAATTTGCATCTTAAAAAGTGTAAATCAAACGCTCTTTTAGTAAATATCTTAATACTGTAATTAATCACTCTTAAAAATATATATTCTAAATATCTTCTTATTATTTAAGTATCTCAAGGAGGAGATTATTTATATTTGAGTAATTTTAATAAAATCAAATCAATTATAAAACTTGAGAAAGACAATTTTAAATTAAAAAAATATGAAAAAAACTGATTTATATTTATTATAAAAATATATCAGTTAAATTAAGTTTGTTTTTAGTATGGTTTCAACGAAAATTTAGGAAAAAAATTTATAGTAAATATTAAAAAGCAAAACTAACAGAAAACACTATGATTGATAGTGAATTATAATATTAAAAAACATTCCCAAGTAATATGTTATGTGTAAAATATTGGATTACGAAGATTTTTATTAATTAGGAACTGACTGATGATTCTGATTATATATTATTTATATAGGAATTAACAATATTACCAATATTTTATGCAAAATCTGTTTTTATTATTAATCATTAATGAATGTAATTAATTATAAATCAATTATAATTTATAAAATACCAAAACAATATCAAATCACTCTACATTGTAAAGTAGAAGAGCTACGTAAAAAATCCTCATTTTCTTTCTTGAAAATATAAAAGAGTCGACTCCTGAATTTGAAAGGCCACTTACTCATTTTAAGTAGCATTAATAATAAATAATAATTCACATGGGTTGCGCTTCTATTAAGTCATAGCCTTTAAATAAAAGATATGATAACACTATGATCATTGGCAATAGCATTTTGAGTGAAACCTCTACAAAGACAGATGACGAGGAAGAAATTAAAAAGAGAGGCTAATTTACAAAAATAAGTGCAATTAGAGTTTCTCATTCTAAAAGCAATATAGAGAGCATTTAGTTAGCATATGAATTAGACTGTGGTACGATTATCACAGGTTTCAATCACCATAAACCTGATTTTTCCAAAGAGAAAGAATCTCCTGAAGAACCCAAAAAGAGCCTGAGTCAAGAGTTAAAGTCAATAAATAGAAAAATTAAAAGCGCTAGCAACCTAACAAAATCGAGTATATCTAGCTCGAAAGAGTAGCTGAAGAATGAAGTTTTCGAAATTTTGGAAGATGACTATCTTCAAGAAATATCAGGAAGGATAGGTAATGTTTGATACAAAACAAACAAAAATAATTCATTTATTTGTATTTGTTTTTATCTTCACATGATTTAAATTTTTAATATTTTAATCAATTAAAAAAGTGTTGTTTCTCTCTCAACCAAAAAAAATAATAAAATTCTAACTATTTAATTATTCGATAAGTTTTGCCTGTTAGTAAAAATTTCATTAAAATTTGCTTTATTCTTTTATTATTTATAATATCAGGCAAGCAAGTAGAACAGCTCACTTTCAAGACATACAGAGGCTAACAAATCACCTTTGGTAATGGCAAGAAAGGTAAAATCTTTTAAGTAAAACTCTCTAATGAAACATTTGGACCATTCACAACTAACCATGAACTAAACTCTTTTAAAATACCTATATTACCTATACCTTAATCATTTATTTAAGGAAATAACCAAATATTAAATACAAACACCTACTAAAGACATAGGACTAACTGATAAAAAATGCATTTGCATTTATATGAACTATATTTAGAGTTTAATTAAGAATGTTTTCTTGTATTAAAGTCAATGATTTAGAAATAAAAAAAATAAATTAGATTAGGCTGACTAAATTATTAAGAAACTATCTATATATGTTAGATAACATACTTTAACCCTTAATAATAAGAAATTAATAAATGCAATCTAGTAGTTCATAAAATATTAAAATTTTATTTTACTGATTTAATTAGCTAAACCAAATAAAAAGAGCTTGATTGATTATTTTACTAAAAATTCAAAAACTCCATATTAAATTCGAAAATTAACAATAAAAATAAAATTATAATATTTACTAAAAAAAATATAATATAAACTCCACATATAAAATATTAATTAAAATTATATAAAAACTATTTTTACTTATATTTATTTCTACATACTATCACTTATATAAAACTTTAATATAATTCATTTTTTTTCCTAAACAATTAATTTTTAATAAAAATTTTAAATGGATATTTAAAAGCATATTTAAAATAATAATATGAAAATACTTTAAACTTATAATATAATTTTCAGAAAATACATTATTAGTTTATAAATAATTATCAAAACTACTTAGAGGAATTTAGAGGAATGACCTTATAAATTTTTTAATTATTTGATTAAATGATAATTTGAAGCTTATAAAATTCTACATAAAAGGATATTTTTTGAAAGAACTTTTAAATTTTTTATGGAAATATAAATTTAAAAAAAATACAGTAATTAGGTTAATAATTTAAAAATTAATATTTTGTTTTAAATTCTTCTTTATTTTTATTTTATTTTTTATTTTAAGCTTTTTATTATTTATTTGTATTTTGATTTTCTTTTTTTATGTTTAAATTTTATTTTTATTTATTTCTTTATTTTTTTTTAACATTTTTTATTTAGTTGATTATAAAGTAATCTAATTAATTTCAAGAAGTCTTAATCTAATTTTTCTGAGCGATGAGAGATGAATTGAAGAGCTAATCTTTTTTATATTAATTAGTTTAATAAAAATTTAAAATAAAGAGAAGCGATTTCTATTTGATTTTTTGATGCTACCAATTATCTTAATTTTGATAATTTTTTGGAATGAAAAAATAACAATCTAAATAATTAAGAAATCAAATCAGCTAAAATTTATAAGTGTGAGAAATTCCAATAGATTTTTTGAGCTGAAATGATTTTTCGCAAAAAACTTAGATTTTGAAAATTTCATTTATTTTTTAAAAACTTATTATTTAGATTGTTTTTTTTTCTTTTATTTTTTGTAATAATTTAATCAATTTATTTCTTTTTAATTAATTATAATTATTTGCATCATTAATTTCCCTTTTTAAAAAAACCTGAAGATTTTAAAAGATCAGAAAATTCTTTTTTTAAAATACAAATTTGAAATTAATATAAAAAGGGAAGAAGTTCAAACAACCTTAGAAATATAAAATTAATTAATTAAAAAAACAAAAGAAAAACATCACCCAAAATTAAGATGATAAATATAGTCAAGAAAATAGTTTTTAAATCCACCATAATACAGAATCTAATTTGAAGAAAAATCTTTGTTTCTTTACGCTCAAATCGCAGCAGCGTTTAGCCTCTTACGAGGCAAAGAAATAATTATTCTATTCAATTTGATTCAGTTTATTTTAATATTCTTTGTGATTAATATTTAAGCTAGTTTTATTAATCCTATAAGATACGATTACCACCCATTAAACATACTTTTCTATGACTTAAAATATCTTAATTTAATAGCATGTCCTTGAGACATGAGGAATTTCAAAATCACTAAAAACACCAAAAATTTAAAATTTTAATGAATGAATCAACTTAATTTCTCTTAGACATATTTTATTTATTTTGAATTAGAGACTATTTCCTTAGATATGCTGATATTTTTTAAAAAATAAAATTTTCTTAGATATTAATAAAAGCTAAATAAATAAAAATTTATTAAAAATAAAAAATAATAAAATTATGAATTAATTAAAAAATAAATAATAACAACAAATAATTAAATAAATAAAAAAAGAAATAAAAAGTAAAAAATAAAAAATAAAATAAATTAAAATAAAATAAAGAAAATAAAATATAAGTTTTAAATTGTGATTAATTTTTCAGACTTTAGATTTATCTTTTGTAAAATTTAAGAAAAATTGGGTTTTTTGATTGATAATTTTGAATACATTTAATATTAAATATTTATTTCTTTAATTACTTATCTTATTTTCTTAAAATCATTTTGTTAATTAAAAATATTAATAAAATAACTTTTGTTAATTTACATATTTTAATAAATTTTATTTTCCTATTTTTGGTCTTCTAATTTCTTTACTTTTATTAAATAATAATTTGCAATATTTTTAATGTATAATTTAATGATGATGATATCTTCTTTTTACAATTTTATTTCATATTTTGATATGAATTTTATTAACCAAATTATATTAAAAAAATAAAAGTATTAAGTAGTTGTAATAGATTATTTTACTATTTATTATTAGGATTTATAGAATTTAATATTAAAAGATAAGTTGCTAATATAAATACTTAAATGTACATTAAATTTATTAAATCTTTTATTTTAAACATTTTTTTAATATAATTTTCAAAGTTCTGTTATGTATGAGTTTATTTTTTTTTTATTTATTTTATATAATCTCTAAGAATAAGTTAAAAATGATGTATTATAATAAGAAATTATTAATCAAGCAACAACTATGGCTTCAAATTAAACATTCTAAAATTTTATTTTTTTTCATTCATTTTATGAAAAAATAGTATCTGGAATATTTTGATATGACTAAATATTAGAATTTGTACAGCTTTTAAAGGCTTTTTCAATTTGAATTTAAGCCGATGCATTGTATAAGTTGTTAGAATTCATTGAGGATGATGAGGGATTGTTTGAATTTTGGTTGATTGTTCTGATGTTAAACTTTCCATTTTTTTATAAGCATTTCAAATTTATTGAATTTTTCAAATTATTATTTTTAGATCTTTCTCTACTAGAGTTTCTAGGCTTGTTGTTTTTATTACTGTATCTTGTACTTGCAAATTAAGCTTCTACATTTTATGTCATCTATTCAGGATTATTCAAACTATTTAATCCAATTAAATTGTTACAAACTTACTATTTTAATGATAACTAATTTTTAATGCTACTTAAATCTTAAGATAGATTTTTTTTATGTTAAAACTTTTATGTGAATTGATTAATTATGCTATTGTTGTTATTTGTGTCATTTTATGAATTTTAAGCTAGAGAACTTAAAAAAGAATTTTTTTAGGTATTTTATGACTTATTTGTCATATTAAATATATATTTTGTAGTTTTTAAATTTAGATTGTTATGGCTGGATAAAGAACTGCTTGCTGCTTCTTGTAAAGAAATTTTTCTATTCATTATACAGTTTTCTTTATTAATGGCGTTGGAGCCTTTATAATTTAATTTGAACATATCTTCGTTCAAGATACCTTGGTTAAAAGACTTTTTAGATAATGGCTGTGTATTTTAAAGAGATTTCGATCCTTCCCCTAATGTATTTATACTTAGATTAGTGTTGTTACATAACTAAAATAGCTACTAGTTATTACTGCTTGCGTTATTTTAATTTATTTCTTCAGCTTATTCAATTAGGTAATTGTTTTAATGCTGAGATTATTGGGATTTGCTAGATATTTTTACAATTTTTCTTTTTGAATTACCTTTTTGAATTTATTTTTTTTGATTTAAAGAACTATTGTTGTTATATGATGTATATGATTACTAAAAAGCTTTATTTTACAGTGCTTAGTTATTATTTTTAGTTGAGTTTTGACCAATTTAGTTTAATGCATTTTAGAAGAAAGAGGTCTAAGTTGAAGATAAATGATTATTACTTCCAGAGTGGTTGGTCATTGATGATGTGTTTGTTTATAAATTTATATATGAAATATTAGATTTAGATCTTTGATGATGATGTAAATTATAGTTTTCATTAACAAAATTTGAACTGCTGTTATTATTTCCCATTTTAGATGCATTTCCTTACTAGCCATAAATGTCTGTATTATAGTAATTATCTTTATCCTAATTTATTGTTATAGTTTAATGAGTTTCAATATATTTTATATTAACAGAGTTTTCTTTTTTGCTCTTCTCTTCATCACCCATCTTGCTATTTGTTTCTTATTAAGTTTAAATATTTTTAGAATTAGGAGATGAAACAAATATTGAGAGATTTCTTTTTTTAGCAATTTTTTAACCTACTGAAGGTAGGGTGCTTACATTTTAGCTCACTTTTGACATTTGAGTAGGGGAATTTACTGATTATTATTGTTATTTAGGTTATTCTACCTTTTTTATTTGATCTATTTTTTCAGTTTAATTAGGTATGTTTTAAGTTATTTTCTAGGGTTTTAGACATTCAATATTTTACTATTAACCTACTTAATTTACAGTATTTACTTGCTCTGCAAAATAGGCATCTCTTTCAGCTCTAGTGTTAAAAATGGGTTTGTTAGTTAAATTATTTACAGGTTTATTAACTGAACATTTTATTTATTCCTAATGAGACTCTTTCTCAATTTAATTATGATATGTCTAGTTTTCAGTTTATTTACATTGTTCTTGTGTTTTCAATTTTTACTGCTATTATTAGCGCTACTTTTCTTATAGGGCTATGGCTTCGAACATGAAAATAAGAGATTTTTGAGCTTAAACCTCCTTGGGCTTAGGAATTTACTTATCAAATTTAACTTCAAATAGTTGTGAAAAGTTATCAAATATAAAATCGCTATCTAATTAGAATTTTAGACTAGAAGATTGTGTTGGAATCGTTGAATAGGTTGATTATTCGAAGTGAAGAGAAGATCTGTGACCTCTAATAGCACCTGTACTTTGCTAGTAGTCGTTACCTATTCTACTTGAACTGGGAGAGTCAGCTGAACTATTCTTTAAATAAATGTTAAATTACAATTATGATATTGTATAAGTGTTATTTGAACAAATATGAAATATCTGTTTCTTTTTATTAATGATGTAAAGATTTTCTTAACATTAATTTTGATAATTTAGTAAAAGAGATGAATAATAACTTACCATATTGTCATCTTATCGGCTGTTACATGTAGTCTGTTAGCTTGATATATTACAAGTATTCTTAATGATTTGTAGGCTCATCATATGCTTAATGGGGTGATGAGATTTAAAGTATCTGTTTATCTTTTATTTATTTATTTAATTTGTTAATGAAATACTCTCAAATCAGTAAGGGATTAATCAAATTTTGTAAATTAATTAAATTTCATACGCTTTTAACAATCAAATTTATTGAACATGAAAAAAGAAAGGAATTAACAACCAGATTTAGTATAAAAAACATCTTAAATTTTCATAGTAATTATTATTTTTAAAATTTCGCTGATTATTTACTAAAAATTATTCATTTTCAAATGAACACCAATATATTTTTATTATTATCATTAAATGTATTTTTGTATTTTGTTTTCTATATCTTGTAAATAAATAGTTTTTATTTTTAAATACTTTGATGCTGCCATTTAAATCAATCAATCAATTAAAATATCTTATTAATTTCAATTTATTAGTTTATCTACTATTCTAACAGCTATAAGTAATTGAATGGTTGAATTATTATTTTAATTTGTTATTTTATATCTTTCTTTCTTTACTTTCAATTATTTTAAATTTTTACATGAAGAAATTTTATTTTTCTTTTCAACTCAATTTATCTTTTAGCTTTCTTTATTATCTCATCAATTTAAAAAAACTTATAAGTTAATTTACCAAATATTTAAAATAGATTCGTAAGTTAATTTATTATCCTTCTTTCTATAAAGTCATCCAATTCTAATATTTTTTTCTTCTATAAATTAAATTTATCTCCTGTAACCCATATTCAAATAAAATAATTTTTTAATTTTTAAAAACTTTTTAATCAATAATTTTATTTAATATTAAAATGAATAAATAAATACATATTTTTCTTTTTTTTAAAAATTCCAACAGAATTATCGATGAAGATATTAGAATAAACAAATTTATTTAGTTTTTTATTTATTTATTAAATTTTAAATTATTTTATTTTATGAAAGCAAAAAAAATAAAATTAATTATGTTAAGAAAAATAAATTAAAAAGAAAGTCAAAAATAAAATTTTTATTTTATTTAAAAAAATAATCTATTTTAGGAATATCTTAAATTTTAACCTTAGATTAAATTTTAAAAAAGCAAAAATATCAATTTTATTAAAAATGATACGCCAAATTTATTAAAAATCAATAAAGTTATAAAATAGTTTATATAAGCAATCCTTTTTTAATGGATAAAAGCCTGAAAAATGTTTTTCAAATAACATTAAAGATCGTATCAAGAAAGAAAGAATGGAAAGGCTTAAAAGGGAAAGCATTTATTTCCCTACAGGAACATCTAATGATTTAGAAAAAATACGTAACATAGGTATTATAGCTCATATAGATGCAGGAAAAACAACAACAACTGAAAGAATGCTTTATTACGCAGGAGCACTAGTAGAGCCTGGAGGTAATATTTATATGTCTATAAGAATATAGAATTAATTTTAAAATAAATTTTGTGCTACTTACTTATTTTAACATTTAAGCTAATTAGTAGAGAATAAACATGAAAATTCTAAGCTTTAAAAATTTCAGATATTAGCTTTTTAAAAAAATATATTATAAAAATTATAGAGGTTCATGATGGTAACACTGTGATGGATTATTTATAATAGGAAAGAGATAGAGGTATTACTATACGTGCAGCTGCTATTTCATTTAATTGGAATAATTATTAATTTAATCTTATTGATACTCCTGGTCATATTGATTTTACAGGAGAGGTAATAGGTTTAAATTTATCTTGAATAAAATAGATACAAGCTAAATAATTTATACTTTTACTAAAATAATCAAATAGGTTGAACGTTCACTTAGGGTTCTTGATGGAGCAGTCGCTATTTTTGATGGTGTTTCAGGTGTTTAGGTATTCATTTATATAACTTTAAGTGATAAATTTAAGTCATAGAAATTTCTCTTTTATATTTAAATGAAACTAGACTTAGAGTGAAATGGTGTGGTTGCAATCAAATAAATTTAATATTCCTCGTTTAGCATTCATAAACAAAATGGATAGAAATGGCTCTAATTTAGACTCAACATTATAATCTATCTAAGACAGGCTAAATATTGACCCACTTATTTTGTAAGTACCTATTGGAGATAGCGATTAATTTAAGGGTGTTGTTGATCTCATACATATGAAAGTAAATTAAAAATTAATGTTTATAATGAGCTATAATTTAATTTTTTACTTAATAAGAAAATTATTTGGTTAGATTAAATGGGAAATACTGTGGACATTTCACCAATATCTAAAAGTGATATGAAGCTTTATGATTAGGCACATATTTATAGAGAAAAGTTGTTAGAAACTATTTCTTTATATGACGAAGAGCTAGGAGAAAGAATTCTAGAAAACCAAGAAAGTGTAAATGAATAAGAACTTGAAATGAGTATAAAGAAGATTTTGCAAAAATATCCTAAGGATACTAGTGCTGTATTATTGGGATCCTCATTAAAGAATAAGGGCATATAACCTCTCATGGATTCAATCATTAAATATTTACCCTCTCCTGTGGAAAAAACCCCAGTTTTCAATATTGATAATCCTTCTTAGATTAGAAAGCCCTTACCAAATGAGAAGTTAAGTGCTTATGTATACAAAGTTATAAATGATGTTTAAAAAGGCCCTCTCACCTACGTTAGAGGTAATTTTAGTTTCGAGAAAAATAATTAATGAATACATATAATAATTTATAAGTATATTCTGGTACTTTGTAAAACCGTCAAGGATTATAAATATCTGAAAGTTCAATATAAGAAAAGCCTCAACAATTATGGAGAGTTAGAGCTGATAACTATGTTTAAATAAATGAAATAGCTGCAGGAGATATTGCTGCTATTTCTGGCTTAAAGTAAATAACCATATTTTAAATTAAATAAATATTTCCTTTCATTAATATATATTTACTCATAATTTATTAGATACACAAAGAGTGGTGATACTTTAGTAGATAGTAAGGATAATGAAAGATTTATATTGGAGTAATTATAAATGCCTTAACCTGTATTTATGGCTAGTTTGGAGTATAACTCATTAAAAGATAAGCCTTTAATAGATTAAGCTCTTTAAGTCATTTGTAGAGAAGATAATTCCTTGTTAGTAAAAGACGATAACGAAACAGGATAAATTATTGTTTAAGGATTAGGAGAGTTACATTTAGAAGTAACATTTTTATCATTTTTAAATTTTTGGTATAAGTATTTTAAAATAATATTTTAATATTAAGATATTAAGAGATAGATTAGAAACTGAGTTTAATTTACCTACAAAATTGGGAAAAATGAGAGTTACTTATAGAGAAAGTATATCTGAACCTTACGAGATAACGTAAATAAACAAAAATCAAATATATTGATGGAATTAATTTATTATTTGAACATGAAAAAAGCTACACATTTGAAAAAATGATGAAAGGAAAACCTGCATACTTTGAACTAAATCTTAAAGTGGAACCAATTGAAGTGGAAGATGCTCAAACAATGAAGGACTCTTAAAAAGTAAAGGACAAGTTAAATAAGCAAGAAGAATTTTTAAAAGAGCACAATAACCAAATAATATTTGGATTCAAGCGTGATCCTGAATTTGATGGATTTTATAGAGAATTTAAGAAAAGAATTTAATAAAAGCAAAGTAATAAAAAAGGAGGTAATTTAGACTTAGAAATATTAAAATAAATTTTCTGATTGTTTTAATAATAATTCAAAAGAGAGGGATATTGAAGAGACTGTTGAGGTTCAAAAGGAAGAGTCTAAAACATTTACAGAAATTTAACTTGAAAAGCTTAGATTTATTAAGAATCCTGAGAAACTAACTGAAGTAGATAAATTATAAGATGATTTTGGTGAAGAAATATTATATAGCTTATCAGGTATTGATTTCGACTTATTCTATGCTTTAGAATAAACAATATATAACGGATTACAAAGTGGATCTATTTTAGGTTATCCCTTAATTAATTGTAGAGTAACTATTCTAGGTAATTTATAAAACTAACTTATTAATTCTATTCTAATAATATTATTAATTCATTAAAAGGTGGTAAATTCTCGTTAAAAAGAACAACTGAAGTTGTTGTTCAAATGTGTACTGGTGAATTAATGTAGGAATTAATTGAAAACAGCTCTCCTCAGCTTTTAGAACCTGTTATGGATGTAGAAATCTCAACTCCAACAGTAATATATTAAATTTAAAAAAATTAAAAAAATTTTTTTAGCTAAAATATGTGTTATATTTTTTATAAATTCCCCCCTTTATAGAATTTAAATTTTATTTAATTGCTTTTTAATCAATTTAAGGAATTTTCGAGAGAGATTATTAACGATATCAGTTCCAACAAAAGAGGTAGAATTGGAGAGATGGTGGAAGAAAAAAGTAGATTTGGATCTATGTCTCCCAATAGAACAACTATTAATGCTATTGTTCCATTATCTGAAACAGTTGGTTATACTACTTTCTTAAGATCAATATCAAAAGTAATTTTATTCTTATCCTATTTTGGTGATATTAAATATATGAAATAAATAATAAAGGGAGAAGCTAGCTTTTTGATGAAATTCAAAAACTTTGAATTTGTAGGAGGATAAAAGCAAAAAGAAATTGTAGAAGGAGATTTTTGAATTGAAATTTATTATTAATAAAAATATATTAAAATTGGTTAATATAAATTTAATTTAAGAAATACATTTTATTTATATTTATATCAAAAACTCATTCATTTTAGTTCAATTATATATTGTATTTTTAATAGCTTATCATTACACAAATTATAATTTAAATGAATCCATTTTAAAAAATATAATTATAAATGCTCATATAATAAAATAATTATCTTTACTTGATTTTTTAAATAGTTTTAAATTTGTCTAACTAATTATTTTAGAATCTAAATTCAAAGTTGTTCAAGTAAAAGAAATTTTTAGTTTTGTTCTAGTAACAAATATATATGATGAAATTTGAAGAAAAAACACATAGAGAGGACAAAATGATGCTATTATTAAAAAATTTAAAAAAAAACATAGAAATAATTAATTAAATGAATAAGAAGTGTTTGCTTCACATAAAAATTCAAAATTGTTTGTTTATAATTTGGCTTTCACAAACACACAGAGCTGAATTGATTCGTTAAGAAAACAGATTAATAATTCGAATAAATTTTTGAATTGAAATTTTTTATCTAAGTTACTTGCTAATAAGATTTAGGGAAAATTTGTAAAGAAAGAGTGTGTGAGAAAAAATATATTTTGATTTAAGAAAAGTGAAACAAAAAGAAAAAAAAGAGTAATTAATTGAATATATTTTATATATTAATTAAATAAAGAAAGTAGCAAGTATAGTTTATAACTAAATAAAGACAAATAATTATTTCTTATCATAAATATAAAATCAGCAGCTATTCATACAATTAATTAATTCATCTTAAATAACCATAACCACACCACCATTTATTTAAGTTCTCACTTATCTACATTAACAATCTAATCATTCAATTAATAAAGAAATGGACTACTCTTATGGCAAAGAATATATTAATCCTTAGTAAATATTTCTTAACTGTTAAATATTTTTACATTCTCCTAATCTTTTACTTAATTCAATGCTAATTGTTAAATTTATTCTTGTCTGTCAAACAGATGAGCTGAAGATATATCTTCTATCATTCCCTCACAGAATAATTAGATAAACTTACTTATTTTTTAAAAAAGAGTAAAAGATGTACATCACTATGGTGAAATGGGAGTTTCCAAGATCCATAGAGGCATGCCTCCTCATTACCCTGTTTATCCTCATCCTCCTCACTCTTAAATGCCCATTCATTAAATCAGCCCTAAAAATGTATATATTTGCTGTCAAAAAAGCTTCAGTTAAAATTGATTTTTAATTAAATAAAGGGACATTCTCCTTTAGCAGGATAGCCTCAATATGTAAGAGGACACCATGGATAGGGTTACGGTAATATTGAAAGCTGCCCTCCCCTTATGAGCAGCAATCACCATCACCATCATCCTATGGGAGAAGTTAGCAATTTAGAACCTCAAAAGGGCTAAAGAGGAATGTACTCTTCTTCATAAGAGGGGTACTCTATGCCTCCTACACCATATCAAGGAAATGAAAATATTCCTTACTCTGATTCAAACACTGAAAAACGCCACAATTCCAAACAAAATACATCATAAAATCTCTCTGGTTAAAAATCAAGTAATTGATATTTAATATATATAGTAAAAAAAACAATTTGATTTTTTTGATTGAAAGGAAATAACTGAATTCTATCTGATTTATTCAATTATTTTTTAAATTATCAACAGAAGTATAAAGTAGTGCATCAAAATCCAAGATTACCTAACAAAATAACAAATCGAATAAGTAAAACTCTAAAAGTAGCAATGATTCTACGAAGTAACTTGATTCAGAAACTAATAACAGCAGTAATTAATAAATATTTTTGTAAAAATATTCAAATTATCATTATAAAAAATATAAAGCTCCTCCTGAGGAATAAAATTTTAACTACTATCATGAATTCTGCAGACTTTTCACAGCAAATGTCGTCCTAACAAACCAAGTATTTATTAGTTTATTTCCAAGAATTAAGACATTTTATTCATAAATTATTTTAATTTATTGTATTTTCTATTAAAAATAGCTTAAAGAACTTGTTGGCTAAAAAACTGATCTTCTTTAAAAGCTAACCAAATTAGAAGTATATTTTTATCAATTATTTTCTAGTCTTTATTTTTATTGAGATAATCTTTTCTAAAACCAAAATCAGAAAAAAAGTGAAGAATTAGGAGAGTAAGAAGGTGATGATAAAAAGAAACGTTTTAGAAGAATTGCTTCATAAATTGACAGACATTACAAATGCCCTCATACATAATGCCAAAAATCATATGGGTAATGATATAATTAAAAATATTTGAAATACTTATTTATATTCAAATTAAAAAAAGATCTGAAGGCAGCTTAAATTAACATTTAAAGATAAAGCATCCTGAGCTCTATTAAGGAGGACCTACAAATAGTTTAATGGAAAGTGATAAAAATAGTTGCTACAATGATAATATGGAGAGCTTCTAGGATTATGATGATGAAGATAGTTTGGAAGACTAAAGCATGTCTTAAAGCTCTGTTAAGGTCAAGAAATAGAAGAACAACTGAATTAAAAGTTCAAAACTAAAAAACTACAGTTTATTCTGTATTGAAAATTGCATTTTTTGAAAATATATAAACCTACAGAGATTTTCAATTAATAATCAAACAACTTGATTTGCCTTTAAATTAAATAGATTTATGAAGAATGAACTATTTAAGGAGTAAGCAAAAATCAAATAATTTAAGATATAAGAACTGAATATCTTATTTTAAATAATAATTAAAATAATTCTATATATAATTAATCACTCATACAATTTATTATAACTATCTTTCCTTTTATCTATCAATCAATCAATTAATCTATATTAAAATTGAATTCAAGTAATAAATAATTAAGTCTAGAGAATGAAAAAAACTCATTAATTTTAAATTATGTTAATTTATGTCTATATATTAATTAGAATTGCATTTTATATAAAATTAATTATCAACCACTTTCTTAGATTTTCTGGTTTAAATGTTTGTTTTTTTTTTCAGATTTTTAAACATTTTTTCTAACTGAATATTTATTTTCACCATTTATTCAAAATATGCATGGAATTTCACAAAAAACTAAATTAAAAATAAAATAAAAAATATTTGAAAATATTTAAATTTCAGTTATTTATTTCACTACAATACCTAATTGGCATTCTTATTTCAAGATATTTATTTAATAAATAAAAAATATTTTTTATATTTTTTTAAACAAAATTTACTTCATTATTATAGCTTAGAAGATATTTTTATTTTATCGTTTCTTCTTAAATTGTTTAAATATAGTGTAAATATCTCGGATTTTCATGCGAATATGGTAGGTAAATAATATTATGAACCCTTTTTGAGAAAAACCTAACTGGTTTTAAGCACAGACATAAAAAAATTAAGTCTTATATATATATTTATATACAATTAGATTAATGTGAATAGCTTATTTGAATAGTTAAGAAGGAATTTAATATAGTACTGAGATCGAAAGATCTTTAATATTTAAAAAATTTTGTTTAACCCGCGAGGCATGAATGAATGTTTGATAATTAAATAAAAAACAAAAGAAAGAAAAGAAAGAAAAAGCATATAGCTAAATTTAGGAAATTTTTATAATTAATGGAACAAAGTACTTATGAATTATTTTATAGATTTATAGAATAAAATGATTTCAGTGTTACATGATAAAATAAACAAAATCAAAAATTAAATAGAGGAGTGGCAATAAGACAATTAGTTAGTTAATTAGTAAATATGAAGCAACTTATCATAACATAACATACATCATTAATAAACATTATTGCAATAATAAATAAATAAATAAACATATTTTTATATCTACACATTAAGTGAAAACCAAAGAAATACTTACTCAAAAGTTGAACTTTTAAATTCCTCTCAAAATCAATAAACATTTTACACTTTATATTCACATCTACTACATTTAAAATCATGCCAATAAGTTACTGCGCCCCTAAAGATATGCATTTTACTAATATCTAATAGACGCTCTTTATACATTTATCATGCACAACTGAAAATAATTTTTGTTGACTAACTTTTTCTTTTTCTTTATCTTTCTTTTATATTCTGTTCAAATAGGTCGTACCCCCAGTTCTGAAAAATAGCGCAAGCGTAGTTCATCACGCAGTTCGAAGTAATTATTTACAATTTTGCGCTTTTTATTCTTAAATTCATATGATGAATCAATCACTCTGCATCTATCAATATTGCTTTGATTTAGAAAGCAAAATTTTGTATTCCAATATGACAAATAATTTCTCATATAAAAAAATAAATGAATTTAACTTCAAATTCTTCTACATTTTTTGATTTCTAATTTTTTCTTTTTACAATTATCTTAAAGGTCAGAAAGCAGAACAAAGCTCAAAGGTTGACTTTCATTTTTATAACTAATTACAGATTAAATATACTTGATTATTATATCTAATCTTTCACTCTCCAACTTCTAAACAATTGACATATTAAAACAGATAGAAAGAGTAGAAGCAGATCTAGAAGTATTTCTAATGACAGAAAAAAATCTAGGTACATGAGTGATGGTAATATACAAATGTTATAATCATTATTTTAAACTTTAGAATGATTTTTTGGTGTTTTTCAATCTCCAATAATTTCAAAAGGAACGTATGGTAAGATCCTCTTTAAAAATTTGATATTTTTGATTATGTCTATGCAATAGTGCAGTGTAAAATTGTTTTATAACACCCTCACACGCACTACACTACAAAAATCATTCTAAAGTTTCAAAAGAAAATTATTTAACAACAAAATATATCAACTCTTATCTGACTAAGCAATCTATTTTTTAAAAGACAAATTTGGAGGAAGAAAGTAATCAAGCAAACCTTTCAGAAAAATTAGATACAACATTCCAATGTTGGATGGCCCCCTAGTCAATTTTAGATAGTTTATGGAGCTTCAGGTAAATACATCCCTTTATTATACACTTATTTTAATACTTTTAACGCTAATTTTCATTTTTTTTCTTTGTTATTTTACACGCATCATTTCGAAAGTGGGCCAAACCCAAAAATAAATAAACACAAACAAAAATTCTCAAAATTTATTTTATATTTAAGATTATAATTAAATTTCTTTTTTCCTTTCCAATACTTAATTTTCTTTTTTCCCTTCTTTGTTTTTTCTAATTCATACTTCAAAAACTACAATTTGATCAATTAATTAATATTTTTTTCACTTTCAGTAAATTTAAATTAAATTTAAAAGATCTTTATCTAAATCATCTCCATTTCATTTGTTTGTTTACTTTTACTTTAACTTAATCATTTTTTAATTATAATTATTCATTTTTTGTTTTTTAAACTAGACTGATAGAGTGGATACACATAAGGCTGAGACTCACTATCAATATTACAAAAAGCATTGGGAAAAAAGACAAAATGAAATATTTGTTAAAGAACACATGGTAAGAATATATTTAATAATTTTTATAAATAATAATTAAAAACTACATTAGGAAGAAGCATGGTTCAAAGAGAAGTATGATCCTATCATTAGTGAGGAAATACAAAAAGATAGACTTTCAGAATGCAAAAAAACTGCTGAAAAGTTCATTGAAGATTATAAAAATAATGTATTTAACTCCATCTGCTTAGAAATTACTGAAAATGTATTTTATCAATCTATATTTATTTTATTAACATCATTAAAATTCTAAAATTTTTTTAGAAAATATAAGAAATAAAATCTGTTGAAAATAATGAAGAAGACTAAGAAGAAAATGATAAATAAACTGGTGTTGCTCATCAAAAAGTAATTAAACCAAAATTAATATTTTTATTTAACTTGTTAAAAAAAAATAAATAGATTTATTTGAGCGAAAATTTCGACGTTACTCAATCTCCATATTTTGGATTTGACCCTGTTGTTCGTACTCTTTTCATTAAGACTATTCCTAAAGAACTTGGACGTTAAGATATTTATGAAATTATTTAAAAAATTCCTGGCTTCTAAAGTTTATCTCTTTCTGAACCAGTTCCTAATCAATAATTCTAAAGGTATCATAATATTTTTTTTGTAAAAAATTAACCAATTATCCTATGTTTAGATATGGTTGGATTACATTTGAAACAGAAGAGTAATGCAATTATGCAGCAGAAAGATTTAAAAGCGACTGTCTTGTTATTAACAAATATGAATTTAATATTGTAAAAAATAATCAAAAAAGAATGATAAAAGTAGCTTAAAAAGTCGATCTTAAGAAATCTCAAACTGATTTTGAATAAATCATCAAACTTATTGCCAAGTTTGACTAGTCAAAAACCATTACTGGTAATCCTTTAGTAGAGTTTAGCCCAGAAAATTTCTCTTTCAAAAATCTCGATATTTGTCTTCTTTACTTACGTCGCATTCATTCTTATTGCTACTATAGTGGAGTTCACGTAATTTAATTTAGTTTTTCTTATTTTCACATTTTATTAAAACTAGTGCAACGATGAGAGAATGCTTACAAGCAAGTGCGGATCTGTTCACTTAAGACTTAAGTCTGATAACCCCAATGAAGAATGGGAATTACCTAATTGGTAAAATAAAGTACAAGATCTTGCTAATTAAAAAATTATAGAATTAGAACAAATAAAGGATTAACTTAAGGGTGTTGCTTTATTCAAGGAGAGATTAGCTTCCAAAATAACTTACAAGGTACAAAAATAAATGAAGAGCGAGAATGGAGCTTGGCCATGTTTCTATTGCTCCAAAAAATTCAAAGGCTCAGAATTCGTTGTTAAACACATTGATAATAAACACTCAAATGAAGAAAAGTATTAATAAGAACTCAATAAGGTAAATAAATATTATTTTTACAATTTTTTAAACAGCCTAAATATTTAAAATTTAAACATTATTAGATAAGATCTGCAACAACTTTGGAATTGTATTCTAATGATAAAAATAAAATTACTCATTAAGCACCTTAAAGCAAGGATGGTTAACATTTCCAAAACTTCATGAACAGAAACAAAAAATTTAATGGAGGTTTTAATAAAGATAAAAAATACAATCAAAAAAGAAATTTTAACAACAACCATTAATTTAAAGATCTTGATGAACCTGAAATTGGAAACGAAACTCAAATTTCAAATAACACTGCAGGAGCTATTAATTATTTAGAAATTTGATTTTTGTTTTTATATCATTAAACTAAATAATATTTCCCTAATATTTATAATAAATGTATTTTATTTGTACATTCAGTAAAACGATTGTATCTTTTTTATTAGTTTTTTTGCCAAAAATTTTATCTGTTTCTATTTAAGATTTCAATTAAAAATTAAATATTGGTTATTCTTTTCACAATTATTTTTCTAGAAAAAATATTAGTTATAATTAAAAAAAAAAAGATATGTCTGAAAGTAAAAATATACAAGACGAGCAAATGAACTCTTAAAACTAAACAACTCCTAACCTGTAAGCAGATCATCAAAAGGTTGAAAGTTAGTAGAAAATATAAGAGTAATTTAAATAATAAGAAGAAAAAATAAGTGTCACAACAAAAGAAATAGCTAAATTAAAAAAGGAATTATTTTATGATGTAGCAAAATCTATTTATGATAACAATTACAAAAATTCAAGAATTGATTAAGATATTTAAGAAAAATGCAAAAAAGTTGTTCATAGCTATTATTTTATGCAAGGATCTTTGGGAGTAAGTTTAGCATATTTTGCTGGTAAAATACTATTTTAGAAACGCTAAAGATATACTAAAAATAATTTGGATTCTATGTTTATTATGGCCTTGTTTTTATCTGCTGGTGTATCAGGAATTAATTATAATAGTAAAATCAATAACTTACAATAATATTTTATGTGGGAAAATGGAAAATTTAAAAACATAAATGTTGTAGAATACAAAAAAGATCCCACAAATTATGTAAAATATTTATTAGAAGAATGAACGTATATATTTTTGTATTTAATGTATTTATAAGACAAAATAAAAAATAAGATCATTCATTTTTAACAAAATTAAACAAATAAAAAATTTTTATGTGAACAAATTTTAAATAAATTTTTTCTATCAAATTTATTAAGTAAAAAGTGTTTTAAGTTAACTTGGGGTTGGGGTTGGGGGTTGGGGTTGGGGTTGGGGTTGGGGTTGGGGTTGGGGTTGGGGTTGGGGTTGGGGTTGGGGTTGGGGTTGGGGTTGGGGTTGGGGTTGGGGTTGGGGTTGGGGTTGGGGTTGGGGTTGGGGTTGGGGTTGGGGTTGGGGTTGGGGTTGGGGTTGGGGTTGGGGTTGGGGTTGGGGTTGGGGTTGGGGTTGGGGTTGGGGTTGGGGTTGGGGTTGGGGTTGGGGTTGGGGTTGGGGTTGGGGTTGGGGTTGGGGTTGGGGTTGGGGTTGGGGTTGGGGTTGGGGTTGGGGTTGGGGTTGGGGTTGGGGTTGGGGTTGGGGTTGGGGTTGGGGTTGGGGT